AATAATTTGAAGGTTATATAACGATCTCTTAAAAATTTTAATTCACATTTCTCTAATGATAATAATGTCAAGCCTTTTATATTATTTTCCAACACTATAACTTCTTCAATTAAAGGTCTCCGGGTCTTTATTTTTGAGGTTTCTTAGACATATATTGCTTTTTGTCAGATATATGCACTCTTAAATTACTTGATTTTCTTTACTTAGCACTGTATTATTCCTGGAAAACGCAAGAAATGTAAGAATATTTCAACCCCATTTACCCAATGCCTATGTTTGTGTAGTTATGATGTCCTTTAATTCTACATATATTTAAAATTCCATGATAGTTCGAAATAACTAGGTGTTTTATTCTGTCTTTTAAAAAAACATTTGCAGATGAATAATTTAAATAACTCTTATTTATATTTGACGTATTAGCACTAATTAAGAGCCATAAATTATATTACTATATGTTTGTTTACCAGTAATCATAAGTTATTTTAGATGAAGTACTTAGCCAGAAGTTAGAGAACAGGTAATTATTTGGTGACTCTTGTTCATTTATTGGCAACTTCCATAAATTCACAGATTGTTTATTTGTATATAAAAATTCCTGAGAGATGTGTTTTCATCTGTTTTATTTTTATATATTCTATAAATTAATATGCAGTTAAGTTTTCTTATACTGTGTCTATAAGAATAGGTCTTTGGGGTAAATGAGATTAATTTATGCTCCTCAAGGAGATTATAATTTAGAAAGTCATTTTAATAAACAAATCAAAAGATGCCTTTATTTTTTTTCCTGTGAGTATATCTTATAATTTAAAAAATAAGCCTTTTGTATATAATGGGAATGAATGATTATTTTGGTTTTGTTTTTTGGGCCAGACCTAGCAGTGCTCACGGTGTACTCCTGGCTTGGTGCTTCTCCTAACGGACGATGTCTGGTCAGCTCTGTGAAAGGCAAGCACCCTACCAGGTGTATCAGCACTCTGGCCCCTGAATTTTAAAACGTCTCATTATGTAACTTTTTCTTTTCCATTTACATAGACTTGAAGGTGTGAAAGGAGATGGGGGACATTTATATGGATTAAATCTTAGCAAATTAGAGCAAAATATATTGTGCATGTATATAATTTTCATGTTATATTATTTGCTCTCTCTATATCCTTATGCTGAGTGTTTTCATACCTTGTCTTTAATAATTGTGAAGATTGTAATTTCCCATTCATTTTATTTAGCTAGGCTATTCTTGTTTTGTGGGTAGAGGCTGTGCTCAGGACTAATTCCTAACTATTCATTTAGGGATCAGCTAGACTATTCTTGAAGTGTGTGATTTGTTCATTCTGACTTACCATAGCCATAGTCGAAGTCCAATCTTTTCCTACTGATGTGTGGGGTCTTCAGCGTGTCAAAAGTTCCATTTTGCATCTGCTTCACCGTGATTGGCGGTGTATCTCCTACTCATGGGGTGTATTCAAGTTTACGTAAGTCAGAATTTTAGATTATAGGCAATATAATGCTTTAATGTTTAGTAATTTTTTTATTTTTGAGGTCAGGTAGAAAAATTTTAGGCATGAAATAGTGATGTGAAATATTTTTTTTTGCTTTTGTTAGTGGAAGCTCTTTAGCTAATGTCTGTAAAATAGAAATGAAGATTCTTTGAGGGTTGTTGGAGAGTTTAAAGCACAGGAAATTCTTAATTAATGAATTGACATTTATTCTGCAAATGTATGTTGGAGACCATGATGGTGGAAAACACTCTTCAGAAAAAGAAGATTTTGTGGAACAGATGAGTCGGAATCCCCACTAGAGAATTCTGTATTCTCGTCTGCCTTCACAAGTTGAAAAGCAAGATCCATGATGCCAGGGTTTGCATCTAGTAGCAGTAAGCAACATAAATGAAATGAGACAGGGAAGCCAGAGCGATTGTACAAGGGTTAGGGCTCTTGTCTTAAGTGCAGCAGAGACCCTTGTGGCACTGCCTCCTCCAAGCACTGCCAAGAGTGATCCCTGAGCCCTGCTGGGTATGGCCTGAAAAACAAAAAATTATAAAGAAAGGACAAGAAAAGGAAAAAGAGGTGAGGGTAAGGTCACAGAGTCTGATGGTCTGGTACTTTCTCAAATAGGGTTGTCAGAAAGAGGTTCTTTGAGGGTGTCATTGAGCACATCTGACTGAAATAAAGAAGGAAGCATGTAAATTATTCAGAGAAGAAAGATCTAGTTCCTAGAAGAAGCAGCTTGACAATCTGAGGAATAGTTAAGTGTGGGTAATTGTAGTGGTAAAGTCATGAAATGATAGAGGTACCCAGGGTTCTGGGGATGGTGAATGCAGGAGATGGGTTGTTGATCCCAAAATAACTTTGGTGTAGAAATATCAAATGAGGACTGATGGTGCTGTTTTACTTAGTAGTTATCTTTAATTTGTATGCTTATAGCAAGTATACACAGTAATTATAGGATTCTTTTTTTTCCAAAACAGAATTAACTTTTCTGTTGTTAGTTACTGCTTACAATTTTCTACCTGACGTGAACCAGACAGGGAGGTTTGAAGGTACAGTCCTCCAGATTGCCTATTCTGCCCAGAACTTGCAAACACACAGCAAGGACCTTATGTTACAAGTATGTAATTGAAAAGAAGAGTCCATACAAGACCACTGTCACTTTTGACAAAAGCTGAGAATTCTGGGCATTTTTAAACGATGCTGAAGTAAAATAATTAACAAGAAGGACTCGTAGAAATTACTGAAAGCTGTTGTATGTGTTTTTTTTTTAGATTTTATTTTTTTTATTAAAATTTTTTTTTAATAGTGAGACATCATGAGGTACAGTTGCAGACTGACACATTTTTGTGCTTGGGTTTCAATTATACAATGATCAAGTACCCATCCCTCCACCAGTACCCATTTTCCACCACCACGGATCCCAGTATCCCTCCCACCCCCCATCTCCCCTATCCGAGTGCTACTAAATTTTATTTTTGTTTCTTTCTTTTTTTTTTTTACAGTTGTAGATTTACAATTTTTTGTGCTTGGGTTTCGATTATACAATGATCAGATACCCATCCCTCCACCAGTGCCCATTTTCCACAACCATGGATAATATCCCCCCACACCCATCCCCCCCATTTCCCCCTGCCTCTGTGGCAGGGCAATCCCCTGTGTTCTCTCTCTCCTTTTGAGTGTTGTGGTCTGCAAAAGAGGCATTGAGTGGCAAACATGTTCAGTCCATAGTCTACTTTCGACATGCATCTCCCCTCCTGGGAGGATCCTCCAAACACCCTTTATTTGGTGCTCCCTTCTCTATCTGAACTGCCCTTTCCTCTAGGATACCCGGCTGGCCTCTAAGTTATGGAGTAATCCTCCTGGTGCTGATCTCAGCTATTCTTGGGTATTAATCTCATACTTTGTTACTGTATATCCCCCAGATGAATGCAATCTTTCTATGTCTATCCCTCTCTTTCTGACTCATTTCGCTTAGCATGATACTTTCCATATTGTACCACTTGTATGTAAATTTCATGACTTCATCTTTTCTAGAAAGCTGTTGTATGTTTTAATGTATTCTATTATAGAAGAAGGATATGATGAAAATCAACCCAAGGAAGGGACATATGAATCTGTCTGAAAGAAGACAAGCTTCCTAATGTGAAGCTTTCATTTTTCTCAGGAAGTGTTCTTAGCCTAGAAACCCCGAGACTATTGCCAACCCTGGAAGCTCATGTAGGCTTGATTTTAAGAGGTTTTATTGGGTCTTATTTGATAATTATTGTTGGCTAATTGATTGTACATGTAATATTTAGCCTCAGAATTTGTGCTGGTATCATATGGTATTGAAACTCACCATGGGTATCAAGGAAATCATTTGAAATATTATAAACATTTAGATTTTTCTTCTTTCGAGCTAGAGACAAAGATTAGATCTATTCCTGGGAAAGATGAAGTTGAATCCTGTTTCTCAGGGAGATCTAAGGCAATGTTTGTTTCTGATGCATGCTCTGAGAGCTATTTAACACATATATTAGCATATTTTTGTTGAATGCACATTATGTCCAGCCATGCATATTGTTTGATAGCTAGCTTTTTTTATTTAAGAGAGTGTGATCTGGGTATGTTGGATTTTCTCTTCTAATTAATAGGTATACTGTGTTAAGCATATTGTTTATGTATCTTTAGCTATTATTAGAATCTTTCTGCACATTTATTTGTCTTTTTATTTGTTGTGGGGCTATACTGCGTGACACTCAGGGTTTTCTCCTAGCTGTGGGCTCAGATATCACTCCTGATGAGGCTCGGGGGACCATCAGATGATCCAGTGGTGATGGAGCTTGAACCTGTCAATCAAACAGGGCAAACATTTTAGCTCCCTTATTATATTTACAGTCCCTAAAATTTTTATTCTTGAAATGAACTACTTTTGTGGGGAGCAAACTCCCAAGTAGTGCTCAGGTGTCTAGAGGTCACTCCTGGAGATCCTCAGCAAGTAGGGTGAGGCTGTTCAATGCTTGTGCTCAGTAATGTGACTCTGCTTGGGCCCGTTGTACTAAGGACCACTAGCCCACATCTCGCGGGTTTTCTTTTGGTGGGGGGGAACTTCCAGAGCTATATCCAGCATTATTTTAATAGTATGATACCTGGAATTGAATTTTTGAGTCTTATTCATAAAAGGCCTGGGTCCTGGATTTCTGAGCGATCTCTCTCATCCAGATATAAATGTCTTTATATAGAGTTGCCTAACTGAAGTCTCCAAACATTTTGATACCATTTTTTGGGGGGAGAGGGTGTCACACGCGGCGATGCACAGGGGTTAATCCTGGCTCTGCATTCAGGAATTACTCCTGACAGTGCTCAGGGGACCATATGGGATACTGGGAATTGAACCCAGCATGCTAGGCAAAAGCTCTACCTGCTGTGCTATCACTCCAGCCCCAATATCATTTTTAATGCCTTTTTGTGATGTTTTCTTTGAAATGATTTATGAAATGTCACAGTTGTTCATCATTTCCAAATTACTCTTAGGTAAACAGTGCAGCTTCTACAAATTCAAATGCTGACTATGCCCACGTTTCGCATCTCAGCCAAGCTGCAATTCCTACTCTACAAAATGAAACACATTTATCATCACAAAATAATGGGACTATGGAGGCACTTACAGGATTTGGTACTTCACAGCTCAATGCAAAACTTGCTTCTGATGAATTTGATCAACTCATCAAAAATATGGCACAGGTAAGAACATTTTATTTCCTATTAGTTAGGATAGACTATAAAATGTCTTAGAAGTGTAATGAAATGTAATGGATATTTTAAAGAATATAGTGGTATTTTCAATGTCTGAAACAGAATAAGATAGATTTTATGCAGGTTTGATTGGTTCAGATTTTTCTTTCTTAATATTTGTAAAAGTGTGCAGCCACTTCAGAAGGATTGAGTGATTTCTTTTGGCTTTTCTTGCGTCCTTTCTTCACTGGCTCTCTTTTTCTGCTTCCCACCTCCCCTCTCCCCTCCCTTCTGTTGATTTTGTGATAACCAGTGATGACATACGTGTCTGATTGTGTTCTCACACTTAGCCACCATGCTTACCAAGAGTCACACTCTTGAGTTGTTGAGCTCATGTGCTGACTGTGGTTTGCCTTTGCTGTACCTTCTTTCATTGTGTTTGTGCTTGTGGTGTGTCAACCATTTAACTGTAGTGGTTGGACACGTCTGGCTGTGGTGCACCAGTTGCATGTGGCATCAGGGATCACAAACAGGAAAGCTGCCAGCATCTCACTCGGTGGATGTGGGTTGTGTTGGGGATTGAATTTACAGTCCCGTGATTGCAAGGCCAGTGCTATTGCTGTTCAACCAACCCTTCCTTCATCCCCCATTTCTTGAATTCCTTTTTTCTTTGCTTCATTATCATTTCACTCTTGTGTGTTATATTCCAAAATATTCTTCAGATTAAAGTACAGTGAATTTACAGATGGGCACTTCACAGTACCCAACCCCAACCATTTCCTGGGTGTGACCCAAAGTCCAGGATGGAGAGGGGTTTTCCTCCCCCAAACCCCAATTGCATGAAACTATGAAGGAACAGCCGGCCAAGGCCTGGGAGTGAAAGCTTTACTTTATCTACCTCATTTATTTTTGACGTTTCTAGTCTTAGTTCTTTTACCTGTGCAATGACCGCTGATGTGCCTGGACCCCATCTTAAACCTCAGAGCTGACCCGCTGAATGTTGGCAAGGCTTTGCGACACTTTTTAAACCCTATTTTATATCCATACTCTGAAGCACTTGATGAAAAGTTGCTCTTGTGTATTAATAAGAAAGGAGAGAAATCCCAGCCTCCAGACGGAGAGGTCCTTTCCTCGCTCTGGATGATCTAGACTGTTCCACCGAGTTTCTCTCAGTTATTGCACCTGAATCAGAAAAGAAATATTTTCTCTGAAAGAAATATTTTCAAGTTGTGTCTTTTGTTCTGGAATTACAGTGCTAGCACCTGGTTACACTGAGTGGATGCTGTTACGGACATGGGAGCTACCTTCCTCCCTGTCAAGCTCATGACGCCCTGAGAATGTATGATCTACAGAGAAACCCTGTAGTTTTTAACCCTACTTATGCTGTCTGTTGAAAATAAATTTTAGATTTTTTTTCTGCTCTGTCACCAGAAAAAAAGTATAGTGAATTCAGATTGTAAATCTTATATGTGAAATTCTTTTTTTCGATTTCTTAAAGTAATAGATATTAGGACTTGGCTTTCTTAATTGATATTTAGTTTTATTTCTTTCATTTTCTTTTCTAAACAGGGACGCCATGTTGAAGTTTTTGAGCTTCTCAAGCCTCCGTGTGGGGGCCTTGGGTTTAGTGTTGTGGGTCTGAGGAGTGACAACAGGGGAGAACTGGGGATATTTGTGCAGGAGATCCAAGAGGGCAGTGTGGCTCACAGGTGAGATTGTCAGCATCTTCTCCGTTTCTCATATATATATATATATATATATATTTTGGCTTTTTTGGGTCACACCCGGCGATGCACTGGGGTTACTCCTGGCTCTGCACTCAGAAATCACCCCTGGCGGTGCTCAGGGGACCATATGGGATGCGGGGAATCGAACCTGGGTTGGCTGCGTGCAAGGCAAACGCCCTATCCGCTGTGCTATCACTCCAGCCCTTTCTTATATTTTAAAACACTTTTGGGGAGGGCTTGGGGGAATTGGGCCACACCCAGAAGTGCTCAGTGACTATACCTGGCTCTTTGTTTAGGAGCCACCTCAGGCAGTGCTCAGGACACCATATGTGGTGTTGGATCCTGCAGTTTGGGGCTGAAGTCGAACCAGGGTTGAGCACATAGCAGGCTGGCTCTTCTCTCCTATGCCATCTCTCTGGCCACTCTTTGTTTTTGATTTCACATTCAGAGAGTATTGATCAGGGGTGAGAGAGATAGTATAATATAGAAAGGTGCTTGCTAACCTGGGTTCAATCCCCAGCACCCCATAATGTCCCGTGAGCACTGAAGGGAGCGATTTCCAAGTGCAAGAGCCAGGAGTAACTCCTGAGCATTGCAGGGTATGGCCTCCAAACCAGCAACGACAATACAGAGTTGATCACCTTGGAAGAATTTCGGCAAGTAAAAATTAATAAAAGCACACAAACAAGGAATATAATCTGTCATTACCAAATTTTATAAATTGTTGATGTTACAAAAAGAAGCAAGTTCTTTGACAGGAGAGTGACTTTTAAATATAACTGTAATAATTACCTTTTTAGCAAGGAAATAAATGAGTAAAACTTTATTGTTAATAAATGAACCTTTGTTGCTTAGTTTTTGTTTTTTGTTTTAATGTGTTGGGGACCTCTCAGTGCAGTGCAGCACCCAGTTCAGTGCTGGGACCAGACCCAGATTCTCACACGTGCTTGTCTGCACAATTTCCGCTATGTTCCCAGCTTGAAGAAATTTCTACAATTGACTTAGGGTAAGATAGAAAATTGGCCAATGGTTAATTCAGGATATTTTTTTACCGTACCCAAATCAACTAGTAAATATAAGCATCTTTGCTATTATTTGTAGAAGTTAGGAACATCCAAGGTATAATGTTTTTGGTTTCATGGGTAGCTGAAAATAAGAGGAGCCCTTTAATCTGAAGGTTTGCTCGATGTAGGTTAAAGCAAGTATTTTAAAAGCTAGAAAGCTAAAAAAAAAGATAGAAAGGTATGGACATTAAAAAATAATGATAACATCAGGGTAAGTTGTAAAGGAGGAATGGTGGGGAGTAGATAAAACCTAGAAAATCAGATCAAGTATCTGAGGAGATGGTACAGGGGTTAGGGTTCAGCATATGCCTGACCTGTGCTCAGTCCTTGACATCACATGGCCTGGACATAGCTGAGTGTGTACCTGGACACCCCTGGATGTCACCTGGTGTAGCCTTGGTGTCCTTGGTGACCATCCATATAGATCTGATGGTCCCTGGCATTACATGACCTGAGCAGAGCCATATTGACTGGCCCTAGCACCGAATGGCCGGATACAATGGCTAAGTATTACTAGGATGGCCTCACACACCCACAGAGAGCAGCTTGGGAGGTTCCCATGAAACAAGTATATACCAAAATAAAGGAATTCACAACCTCAAAAATATGCCCCAATGTATTTGTTTACTTGAAAACTGTCAAATATATTTTACCCTATTTTTTACTTTGTTAGAGATGGAAGATTGAAAGAAACCGATCAGATCCTCGCTATCAATGGGCAAGCACTTGATCAGACAATTACCCATCAGCAGGCTATCAGCATCTTGCAGAAAGCCAAGGATAATGTCCAGCTAATTATTGCCAGAGGCTCATTGCCTCAGCTCATCAGCCCAATAGTTTCCCGTTCTCCTTCTGCAGCCAGCACTATTTCAGCTCATTCTAATCCGGTGGGTATAGGATTTTCAAAGTAAATGGCACATAATTTTCTAGTCCCTTTTGCTTGTCTACCACTTTCCAGTTCATAAAGGCTTCTTGGAATATTTGTTTTTTTAATGCCGATGGGTCTTGTCTCTAAAACCCTTTTTTAATCTTTGTCTCATTTGTGTTACTTGACAACTCTCTTTAAAAAAATAGCCTTTTAATAAAATTGACTATAGAAATAGGGGGTTTTGTTCTTGCTTTGTACGTTATAGAATTATATTGTTACAGTTAGCTGTCAGTGACTAAGAAAGCCTCTAATTTAGAACCCTAAAAGATAGGATCAGGTAGAATACATTGTTAACAGGTAATAATTTTTTTCTTTCATCTTTTTCATTTGGGTGGAAGTTCTACAAAGGACCTAGCAAATCAGTAATTATTTTAAATGGTTAAAGATGGTCACTGTGATGACAATACTGATTGAAAGAGTGGTTATATCAATAGCAATAACAATCTGTTGGAAGTGTAGTAAATCAATGGGACATTTTAAGGATCATTTGATGTCTGAAGTATGTAATTTGAATTGGCATTTTTCAGCCTTTTTACATCTGTGGGCCAGCACCAGTCTACGCACCAGCCCACAGGCAGGTAGTTATAACCTCTGCAGTAGACCATTGATTTTCAGTTTTTCTGTACCTCAGATTAGCATTGGTCCATGACCACTGTTTTAAAACCATGACCAAGTTATCACAAAAACTGAAACTGTGATAATTTCAGTTTTTTCAAAATCTTTGAAGATTCATATAGGAGTTTTCTCTCCCTCCCTTCCCACCCCCCCCAGGTTCACTGGCAACATGTGGAGACTATTGAGTTGGTAAATGATGGATCAGGTCTTGGATTTGGCATCGTAGGAGGAAAAGCAACTGGTGTGATAGTAAAAACAATTCTGCCAGGAGGTGTAGCAGATCAGGTAAGCTACTCCAAGAGAACATGTATACTGTTTTGATAAATAAAATCATTTTATATTTTCAGTTAGGAAGGAGAACCTTTGGCCTTACCTAATGACAAAGAAGCTATGCTAGTGTCTTCTGTTTTTCTGGATTATTTAAAGTATTTTCTTGTATCTGAAGAGAAACGTTTCTTAAAACATATGTTAGTACAGTAATTTAAGCACTGCCAACATACCCATACCCAACCCTGGTCCCATCCCTAGCATTATATATGGTTCTCCAGCACTGCCAGAAGTGATGTTCCTGAGCATTATTGAATTTCATTTTCATTTCATTTCATCATCCTGTTAATCGTCGATTGCCTCGAGCAGGCCCCAGTAACGTCTCTTTCATCCTAGCCCTGAGATTATATTCACGGCTCTTTAGGAGAATGAGACCCATCATTGTTACTGGTATTTGGCATATTGGGTACGCCACGGGGAGTTTGCCAGACTCTGCCCTGTGGGCAGGCTACATTCGATAGCCTGCAAGTTTGTCCAAAGTAGGAATGATATAATAAGATGTCGCAAATAAGATAATAAGATGAGGCAAATCTCCGGTTCTGTGGGCTGTTGGGAACTCTGACCGGGGCCCTTTCCTGGGTATTGTTAGGTGCCTTTGACTAGTGCTGACCTTTGCCCTCTGCTGAGCATTATTGAATGTGGCCAAAAATTATTTCTGAAAATTAAAAAAATTAAAACATTACTCTTAAGTCATTGCCGTTGATCTCTAAGCTCCACAGACTGTGTCCCTGAAACTGGTGGGCAGTTGGTTTGGTAAAGACGTGTACCCAGTGAGCCAGCTACAACCCACTGACAGGTACATATTCTTTTTGCCAGAGTCCCCTACCTTTGTGATGCTCCACATCTGGTGGTAATTGTACTACATAGGTCTACTCCACATCCTGTCATCCAGCAACCCTGCCTTGAAGGCATGCACTGTTTCTTCAAACCAGGAGACTGGTGCCCCTTGAATTTAAACATTGCAATCAGCCAGACAGGCCATGAAGTAACATACAGCAGGCATATTGCTGAGTATATATAGTACACTGTGCTTTGAGATAAAGTGCAGGAGAGAGACCCAACCACCTCAACCACTAGCAACTGGAGCCTCACCTCTGTCTATATAGGTAGACCTCAAGAGTCTCAGATTTCCAACTCCAGAACATATATAATTAAAATGACAAGACAAAATTTCAGTATTCAGTGCTGTCTTAGGGTTCATACCATAATTTGAGTAATATATATTTTCATTTTACTAGGAGTTTTATCTGTTGTGTCCTTGGTCTCAAAAAATTCAGAGGTACTTTTTTAATATTCTTTTATATAATGGATGGAAATCAGTGAGGGCTAGGGAGGTAGCACACTTTCCAGAGCACATGCATAACGTGTGAGGAGTTCAGTCTCTGGTTCTCTGGTACTGCATGTCTCTACCACCATCCAGCGCTGCAGATATAGACCTATGGACTGCCAGCACCATTGGGTATGTCCCCAGAGATCCCAAGCACCATGTAATGTTAGGAAACTTCAAAAGACTATAAAGATTGCAATCACAGGTTCAGTATTCTCTGGTTGATAATATATATATTTTTGTTCTGCTTTTTGAGTCACACCCGGCTTTGCATAGGGATTACTCCTGGCTCATGCACTCAGGAATTACTCCTCGAGGTGCTCAGGGGACCATATGGGATGCTGGGAATCAAACCCGGATCGGCCGAGTACAAGGCGAATGCTCTACCTGCTGTGCTATTGCTCCAGCCCGACAGTGCATTTTATGCCAAATTTTATTATGTTTTATTTCTCTCATTCAAGATTTCTCTCATAAAACTAAAATAATAATTCCCAATTTGCCAAACTCTGTTTATACAGCATGGGCGATTATGCAGTGGAGATCACATTCTAAAGATTGGTGACACAGATCTAGCAGGAATGAGCAGTGAACAGGTAGCACAAGTCCTCAGGCAATGTGGAAATAGAGTTAAATTGATGATTGCTAGAGGTGCCATAGAAGAACCAGCAGCCTCCACTTCTTTGGGTATGAACCTTTCTTCATCGTCATCTTCTACATCAGAGATGCGGGTAAGTAAGTAAAATCAGATCAGAGCAGATTTATAGAAAATAGCTCTTAGATAAACTGTCATGTATTTTTTTGAATCTAAGCTTACTAATGTTCATATATTTGTGATAAGAACAAAATACAATTCAAGTACTAAAATATTTCAGCATTACTAATATTTTTAAATTAAGAATAATTTGAATCATAGTTAAAAATAACTTGCTTAAAATCTTAGATTGCTATGTTGCATAATTTTTAAAAATGACATTTATAAGGACAGTGTTTTGAAGTATGGATAATGTTTTTTAAAAAATTACACTGATGCTACTAAAATGTTTAGTTCTCTTTCTTAAAATTAGAAGGCCCTCTAATTTCGATCACATGTTCCTATCATTCTCTTTCAACGGTTTACTTTTGGTGCCTCTTTTTGGGACATGACAGTAGAAATAGGTTTACTAAGGGGGTGGGTGGTGAATAAAAACCTAGTTAAACTTTGAGTCTTATTACTTTAAGTTAGCTGGAGCGATAGCACAGCGGGTAGGGCGTTCGCCTTACAAGCGGCCAACATGGCCGACCCGAGTTCGATTCCTCCGCCCCTCTCGGAGAGCCCGGCAAGCTACTGAGAGTATTCAATATGCCAGACACAGTAACAACAAAGTCTCCAATGGAGACGTTACTGGGCCCGCTCGAGCAAATCGACGATCAACGGGAGGGCCTTTACCTTTACCTTTACCTTATGTCATTCTAACGCCATATTTGTAATGAGTTCTTATTCTTGATCCAGCGGTTTAAATTTTTAAAGTTACACTTCTTGGATTGTAACAAAATTTCTATTTATAATCATAAGAATTCTATAATTGTTCTTAACAATATACAAAAAGCTTGAAAAATTACAAATTAGTAGAATGTGTGGTGGTTATTTTAGATATTTCAGATCTCAAGATTGTAATGAATAAAATAACAAAATTATTTTATCTAGAAAGCTTACATATTTTAGAAAATTCTGATAGATTTCTAGACAAGACATAACAAATGCAAATTCTACATTCCTTTTTTCACAGATCTAAAAGAATCTACATAATTTTTATGTTAAACTATTTTCTATTCATTTACTACAAGTCTTTTAAAAAAATATCCTAAACTTCTTTACATAGCCTTTAAAAAACTTATCAGAACAGTTGAAAATTTCATGATTCTCTTGTTTGTAGAATTAAATTTGGTTGCTATTTTTGCAAAGAGAAATAAATAAAGCTTATTTATAAAAGTATTTAAATGGCATTCTTTCTGGTAAACAAAACATTTTATTCAGCAATATATAAATGAATGCTGTACCGAAAACCATTTGATGTAATTGAAAGCTTAGAAAATATCTATTCTGTGCATATCATCATTTTTGAAGCCTGTGCCCCTTTTAAAACCATTCGATAGTCAAATTGCCACCCTCTAAAATAGCACTCGCATAAGTCTTATTAAAAATAGAAAACACATTTGTTTCAATTGAAGCAGATTTCATCCTGTCATTTTCTTGTAATTATCTAAACTTTCAACTTTTGCTAAGTTTGCACAGATAATTTAGAGCAATGAAAAAATGTCTAACTTTACTATAAAATTATATATCATTTAGGGGAACTATCAATGAGATACAGTCAGAATCTTTTAAGAAAAATTAGAAAACCTCACTCGCCACTCCTAACCTACATACCCATTCAAACTCAAAGATTCTATTTGATTGTGATGTTCTTAGGTCTCTCTGTGAAATCTGCTGAGACTGTAATTGTAAATAATATCAAGCTTATTGATAACCTACTGCACCAATCCAACTCAGAGTCTTGCCTTTCATCACAGTTAGTAATAATACTTCATGCAGTTATTTTGGTTAGAGAAACCTGCTTGCAGTCTATCACTATTGTAGATTTACGATGAGAATCAGTTATAGAAGTCATACTTAAAGACTAAATTTACAAAATCAAGGAGAATTCTAAATAGATCTATGGGCCATTTAACTGACTTTCAAGATAATTATCATTCTATGACAACATATCTTGACTATAGGACGTTGATGTATATTTTAGTATGCATAAAATATTTAATACTAAAATATTTTAGTATCAACTATCAACTTATGGAAATAATAGTAGCATGTCTTAAGTGAACATGCTGACTCCTCCCTTCTACTTGTACACACTGTAATACAAGCAGAATCTGTGCAGTCAGACTATCTGCGTTTGAATTCTGTCCTGATCGACTGCTGCCTCTTTGTCCTTGGAAAAGGTTATGACTGTCAACTGTCAAAGAGAAAATTTTTGATTGAATTTTAAGCATAATATCTACATTAGGGTTGTTCTGAAGAGTAACGTGGATTAAGACAGGTAAATGCTTTTTGACATAAAACTAGTAAGTGAGCTAGGTTTGTTATTCTTGATAGACACTTGAGTGAAGCAATGTATGGAAAAATTAAGTAGCAGAATCAATTTAAAGTTGTTTCTGTGAGGGGGCTGGTGAGATAGCTCATATAGACTGAGTGCACACTATACTTGCAGGAAGACTGGCTTCCATCCCCCACACAGTGTGGTCCACTGAGCAATGCCAGGAGCAACCCCCAACGACCAGTTTGGGAGGCCTGAAACATTGTCAAGTGTGGCCCTTCAAATCAAAAATAATAAAGAAGTATAAACTTGTTGGTCATAATTCAAAATACAAGTTCTTTATATCCTCTAAATTCTGTAAAAATGAAGATGTGCCATGGCTGAAAAAAATTGTTAGCAGGAAGCTACTTATTTTTTAAGATTTTATATATACAAATACAAAAATATATTTTTTTCATAAGTGAAGACTCAGCTTTACTGCTCACTGTCATGAGTAAATAAGTAATGCTCAATTCCTGTTTTTAGATTAAAGGGAACATCTATACTACAATTCTCTAGTAGACTTCTCTGAAACTTTGCTTATTTATATTTTTATTTCCTTTTATATTTATTTTAGGTTGATGCATCTACTCAGAAAAGCGAAGAAAGTGAGACATTTGATGTAGAACTCACTAAAAATATTCAAGGATTAGGAATTACCATTGCTGGCTACATTGGAGATAAAAAATTAGGTAGGTTCTAAACACTATTAGCATTTTCTTATCATTAAAATTATCTCCGATATCTTTATCTTATAAAATATAAAATGTCAATTTTATTTTTATATGAATAAAAACTTAAATTTATTTTCAGATGGATAATCTAAAATGTTACCTAGGAATAAGTGAATTTGAGTGACTGATACTCCTTTTAAGAGAGACAAAACCTTTGTCATGTTCTTGAGCTTAAATTTTTACTGGTTTTGTTTTTATGGCTTATTAATTCATATTTATTTAAAAATTAGTAATTTTTACTTAGAGCTAGGAGGACTTCTGTTGCTCGAATGTACTTGGGAATAGTAAAATACTGCCTATTTCAATCTTAGAACCTTCAGGAATCTTTGTGAAAAGCATTACAAAGAGCAGTGCTGTGGAACATGATGGAAGAATTCAAATTGGAGACCAAATTATAGCTGTAAGTAACACATTTGTTGACAGTTTTGCTAATTTTCAGAGTGGAGATGCATTTGTATTTCACTTTGTTGTTTGGTTTGGTTTGGGGGACACTCTCAATGGTGATCAGGGCTTACTTCTGACCTCTTCACTCAGGGATCATTCCTGGCAGGGCACAGTATACTGTGTGGGGTTCTGGGGATTGAACCTGGGTTGACCATGTGCAAGACAAGAGACTTACCCTTTTTACTCTCTCTGGCCCCTATTGTTCATTTAGTTTTAAGAGACACTATTAGTTTTGTAATAGCTTAATTTTACTTTGAATTGAGGCTTTCATTATACTCACAATATTGTTACTCTGTGAAGAAAAATAAATCTTTACTAATATATTATAAAAAAATGGAATTTTTTTCTTTTCACTATTGTTGCAGAGCCTGAGATATATGCAATGTATGTGTTCTGCTACTGAGCCAACTTCCTGACACATAACTTTTTTTCTTGAATTCCTTTTGTATATATTTGATTTTAATGAATTGTTGCATTCATATCATACCTATTTATTTTCTTTGCAGATACCTCAAAGAAAAAGCCTACATGCCATAAATTCAAAGAAACATCTTATCTTTTAGTCTGAATTTGTGATACTTTATTTCTTGAGTGCTTTCAGCTCCAGCGATATACATGAATAAAGTTAAAGGATCCAGTCCCTCTTACTTAAATTCATTGTTGTTATTATAGTAGAATCACTATTTTCAGCATTTATCTCTCCAGGAATTATGCATCAATCTAAAATTTTTGTTCAATGTTCAGTGGAAACTACCTAAAACTACCTACCTACATTTCAAATGTGAATACAAAACTCTGCATTAAGACTTCCCCACTCAAATTTAGGAAAACCTGCCTACAACTTCATGTCTCAGGGATTCTCATTGGTCAATGAAAAATGTAGTCCTGGATTGCTAATGGTTTGCTTCATTGATACCTAGTCTTTTGTAGTCATGATTCATTTTTACCTCTAAATACACACTAAGAATTTTAGAGACATATCTTAGGGAATATTGTTTTATCCTAACATGTATTTTTTTTGCTTTTCTTGGTCCTATTAAAAATGTAAAGTAGATAATTTCTTGATGTTTCTTTGATGCCAGTGTTTCTTTTCATTAACTAAGATGAAGAATAAACCCAAATATAACATAGATAGCACTATAGCACTGTCCTCCCGTTGTTCATCAATTTAATCGAGTGGGCCCAGTAATGTCTCCATTGTGAGACTTGTTATTACTGTGTTTGGCATATCGAATATGTCATGGGGAGCTTGCCAGGCTTTGCCGTGTGGGCGAGATACTCTCGGTAGGTTGCTGGGCTCTCCAAGAAGGGCGAAGGAATCGAACCCCGGTCAGCTGGACCACCCGCGTGCAAGGCAAACATCCTACCACTGTGCTATCACTTCAGCTCCATGACAGGATTGACGTGATAGATAAATAAGCAAAATGTTTTATAGATCTTCAATAGGATATTATTTAGTGACAGAAAACATCAACCACATATTAAACATGGATGAGTTTGTGAACATTTATCAAAGTATAATTTTAAAAGACTAAAATTATTTTACTTATGGGTGGTATCTACACTAGTCAAAACTCATAGAAACTTAAAGTAGAATTGTTTTGAAGGACAGGCTAGATGGGAATGGAGTACCTGTTTAATACATATAGAATTTTACCTTTGTAAGATGAAAAAGTTAAGCAGATATGTTATACTTCTATGATAATATAATTAACACTATGGATTTGTACCCTTAAAAATATTTAAGATGGTAAAATTTATGTTTACTAATACAGTGTACAAAGTTTTTTTTCTTTTTTTCTTTTTTGGGTCACACCTGGCAATGCTCAGGGATTACTCCTGGCTTTGCACTCAGGAATTACTCCTGGCAGTGTTCAGGGAACCATATGGGATACTGGGAATTGAACCCGGGTTAGCTGCATGTAAGGCAAACGCCCTACCCACTGTGCTATCATGCCAGCCCCCAGTATACAAAGTTTTATAGATGTGTTCTTCATTTCTGTCATTTGTTTGCATATTGGGCTTCTTGAACTTCTTGGGCTTAATTGTATAGAATATTTAATTATGTCTGTTGCTTCTTAAAATACACATTTTCTTTGGCCCACATCAAGTGCTGCTCAGGGGCTACACCTGACTGAACCTGATGGCTGCTTCCAGTGATGCTGGAGGGGCCATGTGGTCCCAGGGACTTAACCCAGGCCTCCAGTGTGCAAATTGTGAGGTCAGCCCATTAAATTTATTTTTAAAATAAATTTGTTTTTAAAAGTTGCTGTTACTACATATTCTGATTATATACTATAAAATCAGCTTTATTCACTGTATCTTAGATTTACCATTCAATTAAATTTACCACATTTTTATTTTATGAGGGAGAATTTGAGAGGAGAGAATGAATCAATACATATGTAGACTCTAAATCCTAATCTTATACTGAATTAAAAATTTATAGGATAACTACCCCTTTTCTTTCTAAGCTATATTTTGGCTCTGTTATAAAATGTTATTAAAATCAGCATGAGCTAAAATTAACATACTATGCAATTCATACATAACAAAATTTTTGAACATTTTTATCATGCTTTTAAAGAAACCCCATATCCATTAGTAGATAGCCTATAATTCCCTTTTCCTCCCAAGCCTAGGTAATCACCAGTTTTCTTTATGTCTTAATAAATTTACCTATTTTGGACATTTCATAATTTATGATCTTTAGTGAATGGTTTTCTCTGTTTATCATAATATTTTTGAGATTCATCCTTATAGAATGAGAATAAGTTTCCTTATTTTTGTTTTTATTTTTATTTATTATTTTTAAAATTTTGATGTATTTCTAAATACTTTTTATATGAAGAGACCACATTTTATTTATACATTCTTCAACTGATAAGTATTCTATTATTTTCATTTGGGGGGTATTATGGATAATGCCAGTGAGAGCATAAATGTACAGGTTTTTGTGTGAATGTGTTTTAATGACTCTTGGGATTTTAACTTAGGTATAGTATTATTGATTTTATAACTATGTTTAACCACTTAGCAAACTTCCTTTAATATTTATTTTTTATTGACGTATTAGTTTATAAGATTGTGTAAGTTTTAGGGGTGCAGTATTTCCACATCCTGCCAGGCACCAAGCACTCATCATTTATCACTAATTATCCTAATATCATTACAGCCATAATACCTCTTCCATACTTTTTTTCATTTCCCTATTTTGTTAATCTTAGTTTGGAAGATAGAGTTTGTTTTCTTTTGACTTGTTTCCCTGTTTTAGCACTAGTGGTGGCACATCCAGTTTTGATGCTGGCTCTGAGCTCAGGGATCACTCCTGGTGGTGCCCTGGGAACCCTATGCCATTCATGGATAAAAGCCAAGTCTTCTGTGCACAGTGCAAGCACCTTAACCCGTGTAGTATCTCTTCAGCTGCTTTGTTTTATTATACCCTACATCTGAGTGGAATAATCTAGTTTTGCCTTCTTCATTCTGACTTAGTTCCTCCCTCCCTCCCATCCTTCTCCTTTCCCTCCTTTTCTTCCTTCATACCAGGGATCTAATTCAGAACTCAACCACTGACCAATCACATATCCTCACCCAGCCTCGATCATCATTCAGTTTCTTCACCTACACATTGAATTAAGGAAACTTCTCTTCTGTAATTTTTGGAATATCAAATGAGCATTTAGGAAACCAACTATGATTTTTGCCACCTTAATTTAGTGTGGTTAATTAAGAAAATATTTATTAAAGATCTAAGGTGATTATAATTTTGACAGAGTTTCACATTTTCTTCTCTCAGGACTGTCATTATCTTTAATCCTACATAATTGGAATCTGAAATTAATTTTGCCTAGGCAAGGCTGTACATAGTGATTATACACTCAAAGGTACTAACACCTTTTTAAAGATTTTTTTTAAAAATAAAATCACTTTTCCCCACTTAACAAGTGCAATATTTTGTATTTGCTTTGGAACCACACCCAACTGGACTATTCCTGGCTCTGTATTTGGGGATTGCTCCTTTTGATGCTCAAGGGAATCCTGTAATACAGGAGAATCAAAGGTGGACTTCCTCTATGCAAAGCATTTGCTCAGCACATTGTGCTGTTTCTCCAAGCCAGATGTTCTGATTTTCTAATTTAATTCAATTTTTTAAAATCAAGTATCTTTAGAGTTATAGTTCCCTGGAACTCATCGGGAAAATGCAATAATACTTCCAAGCATGCATTAACTTTGTATGAAATACTACCATCTTGTGGACTCAGCAGATACTGGTGGTAAAATTCTACAAACTGGTTAGTTTTTCACAACTGAAGTCTTGGTTTATTTAATTTTTGTTTTGGCAATAGCAATTTGGAGCTATATGTAATTTGTTTTTAGTTATTGAGGTGATGAGAATATTAAGAAATTATTCTCACCAGTTTGAGGTGGCACTATTTTATAATACTGAAAAACTTTGATCACATGATTCTAGTTTTACAAATTACGCTCTGTGGGCCTGAAGAATTTTACTCTAGACATAAAAGGTCAGAATTAATGGTTCCATCTGTCCTTTTTCTTTCCCCCTGTACATATTGGTACTTTTTTAAGTAATTGTTTGATGTGGGTCAGAGTGATAGAACAGGAGGTAGGTATTTTGCCTTGCACAGGGCTACTTGGGTTCAATCCTCAGTACCACATATGGTTCCCTGAGCCTGCCAGGAGTAAGCCCTGAACACAGAGCCAGGAGTAAGCTCTAAGCATCGCTGGATGTGACCCAAAAACAAAGAAATAAAAAATTGTTTGATGCAAGATTTCTCTTTTATTAACGTTGTTCAGACTTGTCATGAGCTAAAATAATCCACTCATTAAATCACAGTTCTTTGATTAAATAGTTATAAAAGTTTTTAAAGATAAAAAATAGTCACTCTCTTCAACTTAAGATACTAAAATCAACAACTAAAGCAGTATCACATTATAGCTGATAAAAAATTATTAACTAAACATTTAAATAAGGAGGGGACTCTTTATTGTTCATGGTATTATGTTATTTTGTTAATAGACTCAGTTCTCCGTTTAACATAGTAAGACTTCGCCGTCTGGAATGAATATGCTATGGAAATAGGATTTGCAAATTGCTGCAACTAGGATTTCCCCTGTTTAGTTGTTCTTGTTGATTTTGTTTGTGTCCTGTATGTTATGACCACATTAAATCTCTTCTTGAGAAAACTTATAAGTAATATTCTGCCATTGCCTCTAGTTCTACCATGCTCTTGTTCATGGTACACTGAATCTGAATCTTAAGTCTTAAGTCTCCTGCAGACATAATGGGTCACCAGAGCTGCTAGGGCTGTGGTTTTGGTTTTTGTGGCTTTGAATCAGATGTAGCACAGGTGTGGGTATGCAGACTGACTCCGTGGAACCTTGTTGTTTCCTTGTTTTAAATCTCCTTCTCGTTTCATTGAGACTGATGCTGGCCCTGAGTGTTTCTGGTACAAAGTTCCATGGAAAATTATGCCTCATTATTCTAATGTTACAGAAAAAGTTTCTGAGAAATCTGAGCTAAGCCTAGGCTTTTAAGTCTAGACTTAAAAGTGCATGTTTATTTTATTATAAGAATTTCTTTTGTGCTGGTACTATTTCTGTCATTTTCTCAGGGAGCCATGTACAGTGCCAGGGATTTCATTGGGATCAGTTACCTGAAAAAGAAAGTATGCCTTAACTTAAAGGCCCTCCCGTTGATCGTCGATTTGCTCGAGCGGGCCCAGTAACGTCTCCATTGGAGACTTTGTTGTTACTGTGTTTGGCATATCGAATACTCTCAGTAGCTTGCCCCTTAAAATATCTCTCCAGCACCCAAGGACGTAGTTCAGCTGTCCCTTAAACACATGTCAGGTTATCATTGCTCACTCTTTTATTAGGGATCTATTCATTCTTCATTATTATCACCTGAACAAAAACCTGGTAATTTCCTAATATATTAATTTATTGGAAGTGAATTCTTTCCAAATAACTAAGACCATGCAGTAGAAGTTTGAGATGTATGTCATTACTGTTGGCTTTTACAGATAGTGTGTCATGTTCACCAAAGTCAAAATCTCCATTTAGGTTTTAATTACTTTTGTTCTGATCACAGGTTGATGGCACAAACCTTCAGGGTTTTACCAACCAACAAGCAGTCGAGGTGTTGCGACACACAGGGCAGACCGTGCACCTGACTCTGATGAGGAGAGGGCCGAGGCCGGAGGCGGAACTCACAGCAAGGGAAGACAACACGAGAGAGGTGGTTTTGTCTCCCCTCAGTGCAGGCATGAGCAATGGTAATGGCAGATCACTCTGGCTATCATTTACACCCTTGCCTTGCTTTGGTTATTTTTCTACTTTTGAAATAACCATTTTGAAGAAAAATGCTCCTTATCTGTTACTGTAGAGAACTGAGGACAAGGAAGAAAATTAAATTGGGATTAACAAACCCAGTAACGTCGCATTAATTATAAAATGGGCTTCAGAATCAAAGCTTTGTATTCTATTTTATCCTATCCTGTTTTATCCATTTCTCAGTTGGAAACTACATGTCTTTCTGACTGCGCCGCTTGGAAGTCACTGTCATATTTTCTCATCACAGTGCTAACCCTAGGTTATTTTTGTGAGAACAGTGAAATCTTTAAATGCCCAGCTTTCATTGAAAAAAATTAATTTTAATTCCTACCTATGAAATGTCATTCATGGAGCTGCAAAATAGTACAGAGGGTGAGGCACTTGCATTGAGCACAGCTGACATGGGTTTGATCCCCAGCTCTGAATACTGTGTATAATATCCCCTGCCCAGTCAAGAATGATCCTTGAGCAGAGTTCCAGGAGAAATCCCTGAGCTCTGCTGGGTGTCTCCCTAGCTAGCTCTTCCTGCAAATAAAATAAAAATAGAAATGTCATTCATTAGGCATTTACATACAGGTAACTCTGAAAACTGAGAAAATACACATGTGCATGGGGTAATAGGTAAAAAGTAAGACTTTTGGCTTTAAAATGCTGTTGTCTTTCTAAAACTGTTGTCCATTCTGAAATTCCTGCCTTTTACTATTTACTGTTTTTCTTGGAGACAGAGAGGCTGATCATAGGAGAAACCACTTCTTTGTTTCATTCACAGACAGTACTCCTTTACATAATACAATTACTGAAAAATTTACCAATAAAATACAATTATAATCTAGCAGCCACATAATACATCAGGGTTAGAGAAACTCAATTGCCTGGTTATGTTAATGATTTAACACCATTGAACTGTTCTCCTTTTTAAGAAAATTTTGAGAAGGAAGAAGATTCTTTATCTTTGAGGAGGAACACCAGCATATTACCAATTGAAGAAGGTAAACACCCAGAACTAGGTTATTATGTTCAGTATTATGTTCACTATTATTTTTTAGATAAATAATTTTACTAATGTGAAAATTTTACTAAGGGTTATATACTTTTGTTTCGTTTGTCAACCACACCTGGAGATGCTCAGATGTTGCTTCTGGCTCTGCACTCAGGAATCACTCCCAGGAGTGCTCAGGGAACCATAAAGGACCCCAGGGATTGACCTGTGTTTGTGTTGGCAAGATTCTTATCCCTGTGCTATCCCTCAAGCCCAAATAAAATTATTTTTTAAAGAGATGCTAATAAATCAATAATAAATACTTATTTTTTATTAATTACTCTAGAAGATTTTTTGTTTGTTTGTTTTTTGTGGGTTTTTTTTTTCCGAGGAAATGTCACCTGGAAGTGCTCAAGGCTGACTTCTAGAGCCTAGCTCTGCACTCAGGGATCTCTCCTGTCAGTGCTTGGGGATCACACGTGGTCTCAGATATCAGACTCAGGTCAATCACGTTCAAGCCGAACGTTAATTCGAAAACTAGAATTCATTGGACTGCATGCAGATTATTTGTCATTACTTTAGGCACTTTGGCAATATGAATTCACTAAACATCAAAAATCAAAGACTGACATTTTTCTTGTGACTGATTCCTTCAAAGTTAGTGAACTTTGTTTTCTGCTAAAATTTTTTACTTTATTCTATTGTTTATTTATTTTTAAATTTTTGTGGTTCTTGTGATTTAAGTGCGATGCTGATTTTATTGGTGGAATTTGTTTTTAATTTTAATCAAAATTATTTATTGAGCTATTGTGATTTATAATATTCTAGGCTTACAATGTTACAACAACATACTCACCACCAGCGTATCAGTGTGTCTTTACTACTCTCCTAGATTCTTGCCCTGACCCCATCCTTTCCCTTTAGCTTTTCTGTTCTGTTAGCATATCTCAAATCTTTCATTGATCATTGTCTGTTGTTTCCGAGACTTATTTCTATAGACTTCACTTGGAGTGAGATAATCTGATTTTTGTCTTTGTCCTTCTGAGTCACTTCACTTTTGCAGAATACCCTTTGCTGTCAGCTGAGATAGATGAAATAGAAGAGGCACAACAACAACAACAACAACAACAACAACAACAACAACAGGAAGCTGCCCTGCTGGCAAAGTGGCAAAGGATTATGGGAATTAATTATGAAATAGTGGTATGTTAACTTACCCTCCTTTCGTTTTTAACTTGTAAATTTATTTGAGCAGAAAAATTTTTAATTAGGATAATAAAGATTACTGTGACAAACAATCCCAGAGATGTAGAACATGCCCAGGGCTTTTTTTAAGCCTTTAATATATAAGATTCAAGTAATAAAAATTTCAGATTGGCAAAAGTTAGATGTAAGTAGCACTGTACCACTGCACAGTCCCCCCTTTTTTCATCAATTTCCTGGAGTGGGCCCAGTAAGGTCTCCATTGTGAGACTTGTTGTGACTGTGTTTGGCATATTGAATATGTCACGGGTAGCTTGCCAGGCTTTGCCGTGTGGGCGAGATATTCTTGGTAGCTTGCTGGGCTCTCCTAGAGGGGCGGAGTAATCGAACCCTGCTTGGCTGGGCGGCCAAGTGCAAGGCAAATGCCCTACCGCTGTGCTCTCGCTCCAGCCAAATATTCTTTAAAGGTTAATCTGTGGTCTGTTCTTTTAATGTTCCCTCTACCTTCAAGTTAATGATTATTAAACATTATATATTATATTAGTCTTAAGCTTGGCACTAGAGGGAAAAAACTCAAAACACCAGTTATAAGGGGCCAGGCACAAATCAAAGGGCTGGAGTACATGCTCTCTGCAGATGGGGACCCAGATCCAATCCATGGCAGCCATTGTCCCTGACATGGCTGGAAGGAAAAACATAAAATAAATGGAATGAAGCCACAAGCCCCTGATTCACCTAAATTTTAATATAATTGTCAGTATTGTATAGTATATAGATCAAATTTTTTTCTGATTCCTAAATTTGAGATATTGAAAGTCAAAATAGAATTATAGAATTTATTTATATACAAAATTGCAGAAGTAGTTTACCCATTCCAGTTCTATTATGCTTACATTTATTTCCATATTTGGTCTATTTATGCGTGCATTTATACTATCATTATGCTACAGTAATTGATACTTTATGTTTGTCAATTATTTGCTGGCTAGTATAACACTTGTGATCTTCTATCCTACAAAAGAGGTTTAATGAATTTCACACTAATAAGGAATCTTTTCATTTACACAGCAAATTTCAAAAGAAAAATTTCTAGATTAGGTAGAATTTTTCATATTTTTATATTCAAGTGAGTCTGTATTAGAGGAGTTAGAATATAACAAATGACATAATATTTATGACAGCTAGCATTTGGGGGGGTTCTTGGTGCCAAATAATTTTATCAGGGTTATATTAGTATTCGTGACAATGATCTTGTAAAAAACACTCAAGATGATTAACCAACCTTCAAAGAACAAGTAATATAACTGCTATTGACATTTTAAATTGTTGCAAGTCCAGTTTAACAGTAGTTAATTTAGCATGAAAAGTAGAAAGGGTGAAGTTAATGTAACTGATAAGCATAATGAATGCTGAAGTTAATGTAACTGATAAGCATAATGAATGCTGAAGGGATCCTTTGAAACGTCATTTCATCCCAGAGGTCAGATCTGATCCTGTGAGCTTCTAATCGCCCCCTGCATCATTGCCTCTCAGTACTCCCACAAAACTGTTCAGAGTAGAAGTTTGCTGTAAGAAATAACGGAAGATATTCATTTGCTGTCATCAAATATAAATAAGACATAGATCTGAATTTAAATTGTTTGCTATGTATTTATATAGTATAAGCATTGTCATAGAATGAGTGGTGTAATGAAAAAGGATTGGTGAACCTTACCAGCGGAGACTTGGAGAGCTGCTTAGAGAAAGTTATACCCAAATTGGGTTTAAAGAAATGAGAAAGAGTCCAAATAGCATCAGATTTCAAAGTCAAATTATACAGCTTTTGATAGTAGCCTACACATACTGTTTTATGTTGTGAAAAATGCTCTTTTAAGGCTGAACAGCAGTTTCCTTAATTGTAAAATAAGGGGGGTTAGGTCATCTGTAGTATATTTTATGATTTTAACATTATACTGATTGAATTGTATGCAAAAATGGGTGGCTTCCTCACATTCTTCATTATTTAGTATAATAGAGGCAAATAGGAAACTCATGCTCCTGTTTGAAATTTTGGTTTACATTTAAAGACCAATGTGGTCTCACTGCTGCTTGTGGTCAGGAATAGGGGGTAGTTGAGATTAAAGATCTAAGCTTTTTACTTGCCTTGTGATATTGGTTAAGATAACCTCTCTAAACTTCATTTTCCTAATTTGGGAAGCAAGGATGGAAATTGTAACTACTTATAAGAAGCAAATGAGATAATCTATGTAATGGGATTAGCATAGCCTCTGGTATATACTAAGTGCTAGGTATTCATCTTTTATTTACTTTCATTTTATTTTTTAAGTGTTCATCTTTTCTGTACTGTTGTTTATGCTCAAATTTGTGATTTTTTTTTCTTGCGTAGTTTTGACTGTTTTCCATCTGTTATCAGCATCTGTAGGTGCTGCGATGTCCTGGGTTTTGGCTGCTTCCTTTTTATCTGTATAAATTTCATTAAACTGATAGATACTGGCGCTCTTTCTGAGCAAACTGCTAAAGGCCTTCCAACCTCTCAGTCCACTTTTTTATTTTTAATTTTTGGGTCGCACTCAGCACTACTCAAGGTTTTCTCCTGTCTCTGCTCTCTTCCCTCAAGGATTACTCCCAGCCTGACCATCCTCAGGGATTCCTATGTGGTGCCAGGGTTTGAGCCCAGCTTGGATATATGTAAGGCAAGCACCCTACATTCTGTCCTCTGTCCAGCCCCTAAGAGCAGTTTTTGAAACTTTCCTAGGAAAGTTGATGATTTTTGAGTTAAATGAAAAGTATGCATAAGAAGAACATATGAAAATTGTTAGAATTATTGTGATGATTTTTTTTTCTTTTAGGTGGCGCATGTGAGAAAATTCAGTGAGAACAGTGGGTTGGGGATAAGTCTGGAAGCAACAGTGGGACATCATTTTATCCGATCGGTTCTGCCAGAAGGTCCTGTTGGACACAGTGGGAAGCTTTTCAGTGGAGATGAACTGTTGGAAGTAAGGAGCTGTGCCACCCCCACCCCTTAAATAAAATTCTGAAAGGCTGCAGGAGGCTTAATGTGGTGAATAAGTAAGTTCTTATTTTAAGTTTCCCCCCAAAGGGTATTTGAGAAAGATACAGATAAAAATCTAAACAAAGCAGAATTTTTTAATCTGCTGGTACATTAATCTTTACACCTGATTTCACGCTAGCGTATTTTTTTAGCACCAGAGAATAATAAAAAGTTTATTTAAGCATTTTTAAAACATTCACTATTTGGATAGATAAAACATTCACATATTTAGAATTTTTTAAAAATATAAAAATTGTTTGTTAATATTTTATTCTGTACCCTGCCACCTAGTTTTCATTACCTTTTCCCCGGTAACTACCTGTTGTATCTGACCCTATGTCATATTTCTTTGATTTTTGAATGAATAAATAAATTTTGATATATACCTCTCACACTTTTAAAAGCATTATAACATGTAATATGTGACTTTTCCATTTCTATTGTTTTAGGTAATAATTATATTAAATTTAATATTTTTAAACTTGGGGGGTCATACCAAGTAGTGTTCAGCACTTAATTCTGACTTAGTGCTCAGGGATCACTCCTAAAAGTGTTTGGGGTACCATATTTTTTGGTGCTCGAGATCAAACCCTAGTCTGCCCTGTGCACAAGACAAGTACCTGTACTATCTCTGTATGTTAAAATCTTAATTTTTAAAATAATCCCTATCCTCTGAGAATATTCTTGTTATTCTTTTCTAAACTACTGCATTCATATCAATGAAAGGTAGCATTCTTCGGGTACTTTAGAAGATTCAATTCTAGAAAACACTAAACTTCATGTAAATTAATTACCTCTATGTGATCTAGCTGCAGTTATGAACATCACAGCAGTGTGATGGTAGTTGACACAGTGAATTTTATATTTAGTTTATATCTACGTATGTGCTATATATTTAGTGAAAAATGTTTTCATGTTATGAAATATTGTTGTTTCTTGCACAACTTACCTTTTCCCACAGGTGAACAGAATAAATTTGCTTGGAGAAAATCACCAAGATGTGGTGAACATTTTAAAGGAACTGCCGATAGAAGTGACGATGGTGTGCTGTCGCCGAACTGTACCAGCCTCTGCCCAGTCAGAATTTGAGAGTCTAGACTTAAGTGATATTGAACTAACAGAAAAGGTATCAAAATTGTGGGCATGAGAATGAAAATAATCTGAGTGTTGAAGGAAGACAGAGTAGTTTTAAATTGTTTACTGAATCTATCATGTATTATTTGGCATTTGACTGCCTCACATTGCTCATGAATGGTGGGACAGGTATTAGAGTCAGGCAGATGTCTCTTTGGAAGGAGATCTGTGGTTCAAGCTCTGTGACTTGAGGACTGGCACATGAGTCTGTGAATCTTGTTATTTTCCTCCAGAAAAGGCCATGAGGCCTACCTTAGAGGACTGCTCTGTAGGTTAAATTAAGATATAGCCTTTTTATATACTTTACAAAAGATATAACTGATGCAAATGGTGACCATATTGGTGGCATACATGGGAAGGGAGTTTACATATCATACTCAGCTAAATTACCGGGGAAGTGGCTAAAATATAAGTGGCAGTATCTAAAGCCTAGATGAACACATCATTCTATTTGCAGGCTGTGCCTGTCAATGTGAGATATTTGGTTCCATAATATTAGCTATGAAAGAATGCACTGATTACTATTATTACCAAAAAACACTATATTTTTGCTCATATATTTTCCCATTTATATCAAATTGTCAATAAAAGAAGCTTATAAATATTTCTAAGGAATCAAATGGATATATAAAGTTAAACTTTAGACTTTGTATAAATAACAATTTGACCAAATTATAATTAAGATATAATGTGCAAAATGAGGTACTATTAGGATAAAAGGGTTAGTAATTAGAATGTTTTTAAAGTTTGAGTAATAAAATATGCTGTTTAATATTAATTTAGATGATTAGAAGAAACCAGTGGTATTCTAGTCACCATGACTGATAGAATAAAAAATTCACTGCAGTGAATTTGGAGAGATAAATGTTCCCATAAAGAAATTAGAATTAATGCAAAACGTAACCATAATAGCTGAAACAGTACATAGGACATTTGCCATCTGCATTGCATGTGGCCAAACCGGGTTTGATCCCAGGCTTTCCATAAGGGCCCCTGAGCCCTTCAGGAATGATACCCGAAGAAAGAGCCAAGAGTAAGTCCTGAGATGGGTCTGGAAAACAATGGAAACAATGGAAATGCATCCAGGTGATAGGGGGATTGCTAAACAGTCAATAAGCAAGATAGAGAAAGATAAATCCATGGTTTACTCATTGTGGTATATATATATATAGATAGATAGATATAAAAGCAGACTCACCAAGACTATTACAGACTTTTAATACCAATTAATGGTTACCTAACGGGGCAGGGAAAAGGGAAGAAGAATGGTACAGTTGGGACAGAGGGAACAGGTATAGTTGAAAAATAGATGTGGACTTTTAATGGTGAGCTTTATGTAGTACACTTATGTTCTTTTCAAGTGATCCACAACTAAAGCTTATGTGATATTACAATGCAGTGTTAACTTCTATTAAAATTTAGTAAGATAAAAACATAATCTCAAAGATATGTAGCACTTGAAGGCTAGCGCTTTTCATAAGTGATATCAACAGACAAAAATCAGTGTACATATTTGCAGCTGTGGTCTTAGGCTGAGAAATGGTTGATTAAAAGTAAAGACGGTGCAAATTAGTATCTCAGAATCAAAAATAATGTCTTTCCTAAATTATTTATATATATATTCATTATCAAACCTGATAATAAACATAGACTTAATATTTAACTGATAGAAGCTAATGTTTTTGATCCCTATTTTTATGCTATATGCTTTATAATGTTACCTCATTTAATCTCAGAAATCCCACAAGGTGTAAGACTATGAACCCCAGCTTAACAATCTTGCTTAAGGCAAGACAGACAACAAATCACTGAGGTAGGCTTCAAGCCCAGGTCAATCTGACCTGAAATCTTGTCTTGCAACTACATGTGTTAATTCATCAATGAAAAATATCATGTGTACAATACACAACATTATGCAAATATACTTATTTGCAGAAAGTACAAGCCTTTAACATATAGCCATTTCCTCTCAAATTCTATTTGAGTTTTCCTTCAATATAAAAATAGCTTTATTATTTGTTTTTACTGCAAAGATTATTTAACACTGATGAAAAACATAAAACTCACTTATCTTAAATATAACTGTTGCATGGTTTTCATAGTTGATACAGAATTACACACTTGAATTCCTGTCATAAGTTTGAAATTTCTTTTGATTTAACAACATCTACTATTATCTTAACTTCTAAAGGCTTTATACTTTTACATGAGAGTATTTTGTTCTGGACAGATGCTAAAGAATCTCACTTGTTTTAGTAGTGTCGGTATGTTTTTATGCTAAACGAGTGTTTTTGAAATAAGAGCTGCCTGGTCTGTTATGCAGCCTCACATAGATCTTGGCGAATTCATTGGGTCCTCGGAGACAGAGGATCCTGTACTGGTGATGACGGATGTGGATCAGAATGCAGAAGTTCAAGGACCTTTGGCCATGTGGGAGGTTGATATTCAGTACATCGAGCTGGAGAAAGGGAGCAAAGGACTTGGATTTAGCATTTTAGATTATCAGGTAAATGCTTCCTATTCTTAACATTTTTTTAAAGATAACATGCTAAGGTTTATTATTGATAGCAATAATCAGACAATACATTTTTACTCATCAGAGGCTCATACATCTAGTAAATCTTTGACAATAATTTATGTCACTGAATTATCAAATAATTTCTAATGTTAAGTTCATTAAGCTCATATTTTAGCTATTGGAAAATATAGAGCAGGAAGAATACTTTTTAGAGTAGCCCAGCAATATGCCTTTTTTAAAAATTATTTTGGGAATATATGTAAATTATTTATTTTTGTGCTCTAAACCCATTGTTCCTATTTCAAGTGCAGTGACAGAAGTATTAGACTTATTTTTTTAAGTTGAATAATAGACTTAGAACTGGATATATTATACATTCTAGTATCACTATCATTTGATTTAATAATGAATAAGCTTAAAGTGGTCAAGTGTGGCCTATATTCTTACATGCATTGTTTTGTGTGATGAGTAACCAAGGAAACACTGAAGCTTGTCTGATAGGGCACAGCTGTTGCTCCTCATTAATTAATAATGAGCCAGAAAGTCATCTCGGATGACTTTAGGGAGTTGTGTTCTTCATGGGGTCCAATTCTGGAACCTTATTTTAATATTAAAGTTCTTGTGTGACTGGAAACACAACTACCAACAAATTTGCATATATTGCATGTTTTAAAAAGGTGGATCCAGAAAAATAAAAGGTGGATCCAGGACCAGGCACATATCCCAGTGGCAGAACATATGTGAGACCCTGGGTTCAGTTCTTGGCACAGCAAGAAAAAATAAAGTAAAAGTTAAAAGGACAGACTCTCCATCAACATAGCATATTCACACCTACTCAGATTTGTTATATCTTCTGATTTTTTATAATTACATTCTGCTTCACATATACTACTATTTATAACTAATACGCTGGTTATTTTAGCTTTAGATGGTAATCATAAAAGTTGTCAATGTAACAAAATTGATATAATTTTTAAGTTATCTGTACAGTTAGGTGGTCTACCGAACAATAATGGAAAATGAGGACAGCATTGAGTAAATTCCTCCTTAAATATTCTAAAATGAAAATAACCTTTACCCAGATAATGCATTGTAAGGATTTTTTAAAAGCCTATTGAGAAAATTAATCATTTATTACATTTCAGGACAGATAACCTTTAAACACATTTTTTCATTTTTATAAGGAGTTCCCATTTCTTTCCTTTTCCATTCTGCTAGGATCCAATCGACCCAGCAAGTACTGTGATTGTAATTCGCTCCTTGGTGCCTGGTGGCATTGCTGAAAAGGATGGCCGGCTTCTGCCTGGAGATCGACTCATGTTTGTAAATGATGTGAACCTGGAAAACAGCAGCCTGGAAGAAGCTGTGCAGGCCCTGAAGGGTGCGCCATCGGGGACTGTGAAAATAGGAGTTGCCAAGCCTTTACCTGTAAGACTTTGAATTTTATCAGTTTTCTTTTAAATTTGCAAACAGGATTTCTTTAGACTTAATTTTAGCTATAGGCATTCTCCTGGTTGAATCATACTATTTTTCTCTTGTTTTGTTCTTCTGATGTCAGAGATTGAATCCAGAGCCTTACACATGCGAAACATGTGTTCTAACATTAGCTAGACTTCTTTGGCTGAATCAGGGCATTTTGTATTTTTCCTCAGTGTGAATATTGACTCTGTTATTATAAAGGCCTAATTTTGAATCATTTTATTTTTAAATCACAAAGAAGGGCAAAACATCCAAAGATTTGGGAAGTAAATTTCTAACTTACTGCTTTCACTTTTGACACTTTCATACAAAAAAAAAGGTCAGGATAAATATAGAATCAAATATTTTCACAGAAGTATCCAATCAATATAGTAGGTATGGAGAAATTAGTAGCATTAATGACCGATAGTGGATCTTATCTTATATATCTTACATTAAAGTGGAATAAAGTAGAATCTCTGTGTGAGGTACTTACTTTCTACATTCTATTGACTTCATTTGCTGTCTGCTTCAGATTGGGAAATTAAACTTTCGCTAGTGAGTTCATCAGTTTGTGTCTTCTGATAGGGAAAACCATTATAGTATCAAAAATAATTCATGATACGTAATAGTAATATTTTTGGTATACCAATTTCAGCATAACATTTATTGTTGAATTGAAAATGTGCTAGAATTCTCTATATTTATGCTTTTTCATGTAGAAACATAACTTAAGGGTAATTATACCTTTTCTTAAGATAAAGCAAGCATATAGATATATTTGCATAAGCATCAAGCAGATTTGTCGACTCGTGAAAGAACTTCTTTCAAATATGAACCTTTATAAAAGTTTTAATATTATTTGTCTTTACTTTTTATATGATTATACATTTTAATAACTTTTTGGAAAAATGACAAAAGGAGAGAAAAAGTGCATAAAAAGAAATACTTAGTGGCTTACTATAAAATTCATAGTAATCACAGTAATCTGATTACTACAAGTAATGATTAATATAATAAAGAAATTAGATTAATATAATAATTACTATATTGCTTGAAATCAAAGCCAAGTTTGTAGAAATTATAACAAAGGTCAATATAAGTAAAAGTTAAGTATAAACATAGACTCTGCGGGATTTTACAGATTTGTTAAGATTGACCATTTATTTGGTTCTGGTCTTTCTGTTAGATAAAGACAAATGGCAAGTATGACTTGATAAGTTGTCATTACTGTTCTTAATGAGAAGCCTTTGTAGTTATTCAGAAGCTGAAATTTTTCCCTAGTTAGTTCCACAATGAATTTTTATAAAATAGTATATAAAGTTCCCAGTTTTAAAATACACAGTGTTGTATATAGTAAATAACTTTTTTGAAGGGAAAGTTTACTACTGAACTGATCTGCAGAATATTTTTTTCTATAATACTTCTTTTGATGGTATTGCCCATATAAGGTGATGACACAGGCAAACAATGAAATATATGCTCCAGTTTATTTGATTTTAGAGTAGACGTTTTAGATTTTCTCTTATTGTATGCAAGGTAGTAATAGTTTAGGACTGCAATTCAAACAGATTGTGTACATGTAGAATTGCCTTTTACATTCTTAAAACCAACGTAAACTGAGACTTTATTGTAGGTGTCACTGACATCCCTTGAGGGATAAGAGAATTGTTAATTTTTCTTTTTAATATTTTCCCTTGCTTTTTTCATGTCTTACTACTGCAAAGTTGTCGTTTATATTTTAAGTTATTATTTATCCAGAATCTTTGCAAGATAAAATTCACTAGAAAATTATTGTGATTTTAAAAATAGCTAATATTTAACAAGAATAATAATTCCGTATGTTATTAATACTTATTGCCATAATTATTTGACAATACATTATTGTTAAATGCAAATGTTGAATCATATTGTATGCCTGAAATGAATAAATTTTATATGTTCGTTATCTATCAACAATGAAGAAAAGAAAAAGCTAGTATTTCATATCTCTCAAACTTGGAGTGCTAGGAAAAAAATCAACAGAAATCACAAACTGTATCATAAGATTTTCAAAGCAATGTAAGGAGCAGCAAGTTTTCAAACAGCAGCTGCTGCAATATATAATTATATTATTTTGTTACTGTACCCTGTAAAAAGCAAATGTAGCAAATCAAGATAAGTGAAGTCAGCCATTTGATAGGCTTTATGACATTTTTTTCTCTTTGGCTACAATTTTCTTTAAATAACAAGAGGCAGGAAACTATTTAATCTTTTAATCTGGAATACTTCTTATAGGGTTTTAAAACTGCATCATTTTCAAACTGTATCTTTTTCCCATAGATGCTTTCCTTTCTGGAACAATTTTCAAATCTATTGAAAACTACTTAATTTTCAAATAAAAGCCTTTAACAATTATCATTATTAAATTATTTCAGTACTACATAATTTCCTTTAAAATATGTAAAACGTAGAATTTGCATAAATGAGCAATTAGCTTGCTCAGATAAGATACCTAAACTATCTAAAATGTTAATTTAGAGTGAGACATTTCTGATGACTGCCCATAGAAGTTCATACTGCAAGAGTAAAGTTGCTCAGGAAATATATTATGACTACGGCTTAACGCACCAAAACAACAGTATTTTATTTACTGAGTTTAACTCCATTTTCTTCACTTTAATCTCTATGCTATTCAGTTTATTGGGATAAACTAAATAAACATATTTGAACATCAAGTGAAAAGTTCCTAAAGCTTTGCAACTAGCGAAGTTTGCATAGCGAAATTCACAAAAACTAGATAGTAGCCATGTGACTTCATGTCTAAACACTGAATGATGCCTCATCTGTCTGATATTAGATTTTAATATATTTTGACAGGTACATCATCTAAAAAGTCTAGAAATGTCATGTGAAACCTGGAAACTAAGCAAATGTCCCTGGAGCAGAGAATACACAAGTAAAATACATGTTCACAGTACAGCAATAAAAATTGAGTATGGGATGAAGTAATGCTGATTAAAAGAGCAAGACATAAAAACAGTACATTTATAAAGTTCAAAAAAAACTAAGCTTATAATTCAGACACATAAGTCTGATAAAACTAGAAAGACTTAAGTTTCAAAAAGTCAAACACTGCCTCTAAAGGTAAAATTAAGGGGTTGTGATTAAGCAGAGATTTTCAGGAATACTCAAAAAAATAAAGGAATGAGTTCTCATTTAACAGATGATTTGTTATTGAGATAATATCCTCCTGTGTCTTAACAGATAATAATGTTAATTATGAATATTTATAATGCTCTGTACTCACCTTTCATGTTATGATCTCATTTGAAAACTACCATTTTACCTCTCCTCTCCCCTCCCATTCCATCCCTTTTCTCTGTTTCTGTTTTTCATGAACTCGTCCTCAAACACTGAGCTTCATTCTTCCCTGCAGCTTTCACCAGAAGAAGGTTATGTTTCCGCTAAGGAGGATTCCTTTTTCTACCTGCCACACTCTTGCGAGAAGGAAGGGCTGGCTGACAAAGCCCTCTTCAGGGCTGACTTGGCTCTGGTTAGTGACTGTGATTTATCAAGCTCTTTTTCAGAAACCTTATATATCTTAGTTTTGCCTTTCAAAGTACTTTCTGGGGCTGGGGAGTTATCCCTAAGGGTACCTATGCATCTTTTGTGTATAAGGTGTGGATTTGAGCCCTGTAATTCATGGCCCCGCCTAACACTGATGGGAATGATCTCTGTGGAACACACTTGGAGCTGTCTATGACCACTGGTTAGTGTAGCCCAAAGGCAACAGCAAAAAAAAAAAAAATATCTACAGTCTTGGGGCTGGAGCGACAGCACAGCCAGTAGGGCATTTGCCTTGCACCCGGGTTTGAGTCCCAGCATCCCATATGGTCCCCCGAACACTGCCAGGAGTAATTCCTGAGTGCATGAGCCAAGAGTAACCCCTGTGCATTGCCGGGTGTGTCGCAAAACAAACAAAACTACAGTCTTGACTAAAGTCTCTGATTATTGTTCTTTTAAAAATGAAAAATTTCCTTCTGTAGTTAAGCAAAATAGTTTTATTTAAAGAGTGTGGAGAGGGAGGAAAGAGGAGGGAGCAGAGAGAGAAAGAGAGAGAAAGAGGACTTCTTAAGATGTCCAGGTGTCCGAAAGTGCAGATCTCAGGTTGAGATGCGGGTGACTGTCCAAGATAAAGAATACACTGTCTTTGCTTTTTTTCTTTTTTCCCCCCGCGGATGGGGTTGGGGAGTTGTGGGAGGTTGAGCTCTACTAGGCAGTGCTCAGGGCTTACTCCTAAGTCTGTGCTCAGGGATCACTCCAGGTGGTTCTTAGTAGACTATATGTAGATCTGGGTATCGTGCTTGAACTGGCTGTGTGCAAGGAAAGTACCTTGACCTCAGTAATGCAGTGCTGGGAATTGAAGAAGCATCAGCTATATTCAAGGCAGTCACCTCAACCCCTGTACTGTCTCTCCAGCCTTGTCTTTACAGTGCTAGTGATTGTTATGGTTAAAAGCTGGAAAAAAAATACAAAACCCTTAATATATGTGTAAACTGTTTTTTGACTTATGGGAAACAGTTTAGCAATGAATTATCCCAACAAACAACATTAATCTAAAAAAGAAAAAGTAGCTGGAGAACTTATTCTCTAATGAGTTCTAATGACTTATTCTGATAAGAAATGCTCTAATTTCCAAATTTCGTATCTAGTCATATTTTTCTCTTTTTAGAATTCAGTCAAAAATCAGCATTTTTGTGTCTTTTTTGGGAGGGGACACAGCCAGTAGTAGTTGGGGACTACTCCCAACTTGGTGGTCAGTAATGACTCCTGGTGATGCTGGAGAGACTATACAGTGCTGGGTATCAAACCTGGGATTCCTGCATCAGAGCAGGCACTGCCAAGCTTTTAGACAAATTCCTGTTTCTGCTTTTGTTTCTTTTTTTAAGGGAATAAGTATTTATTATATATTTATAATGTTAAAATTATATTGGTGTGGTTTACTGATTTAGAACATATACAATTGAAAAAACAGTTTTTATAATACATATGCAAGCATTAATTTATTTACTGTTAATTTCTAAACTTAATATTCTATTTCTGTATGATAGATAAATATTTATTAGAATAAACATATTTTGGAACCATTTCAAGTCTTTGATGAATAAATACATAGTTTCTGCTCTAATTGTTTGATAGACTAATGCTATGTTGTCAATTAAAGATTAAAATGAAATATCCAGTATAAATATGCACATGATATTTATACAGCATAAATCTTGCATATTTTGTTCCCATTATCCTTACCATAAAGATTTCTAGCCTAACCTTTTTGTCAGTAAGGATTGTCCAGTTTCACTAAATAGCAGTATGGTTGTTTACCAAGTATTTAATATAAAGGTGTTGGACTAAAGAAAGAATTTAAAATTGTGAAATTTTCCTTTATGTTTTAAAAACTAATTGTTAGCATGTTAAAGCAGAATAAGAAGTATGTCATTGATTTTGGCAATCTTAAATTAGAGGGCAGTTATTTGAGACTTTCCTGTTAACAATCTTAAATTGTCAGTCTTTAAAATAGCCTTTTGGAAGATTTTGCTCTATATTATCATACGTGTAATATTTTCACTTTTTAATACTTTGCATACTAGGAACTACGCTTAACTGTATTCTGCCTGGCATTCTATTAACACTTCAAGACTTATTAGTTTATAATATTCTGAACTATATATATGGCATATATTTTTTAGCAGTTATGAACCACTACAAAACTTGAGAAAGTATGTTGCAGGACACAAATATATTATCTGTAGGAATGACTCAAGAAACTATTTCTCTCTAAAATTTATATGAGTTCACTGAATTTTCTTAAGTGAATGCCAACCAAAAAGGTCAGTTTTTTCTGTGAGCTTAGTCTTTTAGTATAGTAGTAGTGTATTGGTCTTTTCACCAAAGAGCTATATAGTCTTGTATTAGTTATTCAGATTCTCTGGTTTCTATGTTTTCATCTTGATACTAATTACATGGATTCAAGATTAGGATCTCTTCAAAAATTCGTAGGATATAGGTATTAAAGTTGGTTTATTGTTACTTAAGTAAATATTTATCATAAGGAATTTTATTTGAATCAATAAGTAGGTAGAGATGTGAGTACTATGATATGAGTACTATAATTAAGATTGTTTTACATAAAATATTAATAGGATAAGCCTCTTTGTCGTAACTTATTATTGAATTTACCACTCACTAAAAAGGGTGACTTTAGGATGGTCCCTTTATTTACTCAATTTTCGCAAAAATGGCCTCATATAATGTTTTAACATATAAAATTATAACTTCTATCAAACATTGAATTGAGTTGAAATCACTAAAAATACACATATTTTCCCTTTGAGCCAGAGAATAACGGCTGAAAATAGAAAATGATAGTGAAGTCATTTCTGTCTATGTTGAGGTGTAGCTGAATGAATTGCAGTAAAGTATTCAGACATATTCATATGACTTAATTTATTTTAGTTAGTTCTGTCACCGTAGAAAGTAATAAGATCAATAGAGAGTATATTATTAAATTTTCTACCTCTACAGTCTATATTAATTTTAAACAGTAAAATTTATAACCTAGCTTGAATATTACATCATTATAAGGTCCTGTAGTTGTTTATACAATTTTATCATGAAGTCACAGAATTTCATTTTGGTTTCTGGTGATCACCAGAAAGATCTTTATCTAAAATTTTATTTATATTTTGAGAGCACATGCAGTGGTGCTTAGGGCTTATTCCTGACTCTGCACTTAGGACTCAGTCCTGGTGGACTCGGGGTCCATATGGTATGTCAGGAATCAAACCTGGATCAACTGTTTGGAAGACAAAAGCCCTAACTGCTGTGCTATAATACTGACTTCAAATTTAAGATATTTTTTATCTTAAAATCTATTTAAAATATTGTAAATAAAATATTTGTTAGTGAAATTTACAAATAGTTATCTAGCTGCTTTATTGAACAGATTAGTATTGAGTAGGAAAAGTGGTGGCTCATTCATTGCATTGTAAAATTCTAGAAATTGAGCCAGTTTTTTTTAAATTATATGAGCTGCAAAAATATTAAATACTTTCCTTAAATACAGTCTGCTTAAATGTAGATTGACCTAGGCTTTTTATCAGTTTTTAACCTTTAGCCCTTTTATTGATGAATAAAATCAACCTTCAAAGTCAGCACTCTTTGCTACAGGGGGCCAGTCTTATCCTAGTTCTCTTTATGCAGTTTCTAATATATTGAAGAGAGTGAAATGATTAGGTAGAAAGTAGAATTGAACAGAGATCTCAAGTCTAGACTAATATATTTATATGCATATATGTGTAATAAAATAGATATCCCAGCTAATGTTTGATGCTTTTATTTCTAGGTGGACGCAAATGATGCTGATTTAGCAGATGAATGTACATTTGAGTCTCAGTACTCTCCCGATAATGGCAGTATCTACTCTACCCAGGCTTCTATCTTATCTCTTCATGGCAGTGCTTGTAATGAAGGCCTGAACTATGGTCCTTCACTTCCATCTTCTCCTCCCAAGGTATAAAGGAAACATCAATCTAATTATGGGAGAACTGCATGTATAATTTTTAGAGGTCATTATTTATGGAATTTATGAAAGTAGTATATTACAATGCAGGACTTCTTTCTCTGACCATGGGTTCATTATCGTATTAAAATATTATTTTAACTTGGTAATGTAAATTAGGTATCTTTCTGACTCTTAGGGACTACTTAAATATCTGTTCTGTGACACAGCATGACAGAAAGATACAAAGCTTTGGTTAGATTTTCCAGTTAGAAAAAAAAAATTAAAGAAAATATTTTTCATTACATTTTCAGCTGGGTCTGCTTAAGAAAAAATATGACTGTTTTCTTAATTGCTTTATACTGATTTTAAGCAAAATTGGGTAGTAAAATATTTATTGAATTAATGTACTATTTACTAGTTATGTTAAACTTAGTATTGTCTCATGTTTTTATATAAAATAATGCCAAAAATGCTGTACTTAGAAATCATTGTTAAGTGGCAAAGTGTGTTTAGGACATCAGTATGAATGAAGTATTGTTACTGTTTGACAAATGCATTCCAGTTATATTTTAGAAATAAATTATTTGTGTAAAATAATCTATACATTTCTGAGTACGTTGATACTTTTATTTCTAGGTGGACACATGATAAATAATTTTAATAGGTATTTTTTAATCTGTTCTTTTTGTGCGTATGGAATAAGTTGTTTTAATGTGAGTTTCCTGACAATGCTAGTTTAAACAATGAGGTTTAACACTTTTTTGTATATGAACATTTAACTTTTACTTTCATAATTGTCTCCTTATCGATTTTGACCATTTTCACTTTGTTATTGTTAAACATGTTTATTTTGTCTAGAAAATAATATAGAAAGCAATTTTTTGTTTTTTGCTGAGTGTGTATATGCGACTTTATGTATCTTTAAAAACATAAATATGTATGAGAATGGAACTTCTCAGCTGTAGGAAAAAAAATATTTTCAAGATAAAAGGGAAACCTGGCAATTTGGCTATTATTTCTAATCCATGAAATCATTTTCAGAAAAAGGAAGAGTTGAAGAATATATGGCAAATTGTTAATGCTTATTAAATCTGGGCATACTTCACTTATTCTGCTTTGTGGAAAATGTACCATAAGTAAACAAAGATCAAGATGAAAAAAGCTAAACTATAATTCTAAAAATACTGTGGCTTTATTTTCCATATGAAACGAATTTGATGAGAGGAATCTATGTTCACTAGTAAGTTTGGAAATAAACTTCTATAGATCTAGCACTTTTCCTCTTTTCCTGATTAGCAAGTAAGTTTTTTGCCAGAATATTTTGAAAGCTTTTTTTTTTTTAATGTTCAAGGTGCACCTGTTATCTTTGCAAATGATGCTGGGCAATCTCCTTGAATTGGTTTGCAAGGTATAATCTTGAATGGAGCAGCTGCTCCTCTCATGACACCTGAGACTGTCTCTCTGACTGTGTCCTGTCTGGAATGCGTTCAGGCTTTACTGGCCTCGGGCTGGAAGCTGAGTTCATCTCCTAATGGAATCTCCTAATCCACAGCATGGCTCACTTCTTGCCAGTGGGACAGATTGCATTGTTTAATTTAGTAATTGTTACTTAAAGGGATTACACAATCTGCATACTGAGAAGCATATATTTTACAGGGCAAATGCTGGCTGTATGCAGTGCAACATATTGGCTTACTGACGTCTGTGTGCTCCCCCCGCCCTTTTTTCCCCCACACAAGCAGTTTACTCTTTTGTTGAAATTTTGGCAAGCTGGTCTATCAACTGAAATATTTAAACTATAAAACAACGAAGAAGACATTAATGAGGGTGTTTTAGAACACATTGTAAAACTCCTGTGTGTTTTCTGTTTTCTTAGAAAGTAGGACTGTTCCTGCATCATAGTAAATCTCTGCAATATTTTTTTCTGTTGGCGTCTTTTTATACCTGGATAGTAACTAGAAAATTGAGTTCAAATACATTTTTAAATAGGTTCTGCTATATTTATTTTAATGTGTTTTTAATATACATATATTCTTTTTTTTTTGCAAGACGGGATGGCAGTTTGATATACAATGAATACTTATTTTTTTTTTCTTTTTCGTTTTTTGTTTTGGTTTTTGGGCCACACCTGCTGGTGCTCAGGGCTTTCTCCTAGCTCTGTGCAATTCTGTGGATCAAACTCGGGTCAGCCATGTGCAAGGGAAGTGCCCTACCTGCTCTGGTCTCTCTCCAGACCTTTTTTAAAAGTAATATAAGTGTATCCCGGCAAGTTACTGAGAGTATCTTGCCCGCACAGCAAAGCCTGCCAAGCTACCCGTGACATATTCCATATGCCGAACATAACAAATCTCACAATGGAGATGTTACTGGGCCCGCTCGAGCAAATAGATGAATAACAGGAGGACAGTGCTACATGACAGTTCTACAGTGCTAATATAAGCATACCTAAGAATTCTTTATTAGATAATGCCATAGAGTATGATGTATATTACAGAAAATGCCTATGGATATTCCAGTAAAACAAAGAAGCTTTTGTGGTGATTTGAAGAAAAGATAAACCAGACTGCAAAGATCTCAGGGACCCCTTTGGTTCCTAGCTTTATATATGTAATAATCTTGAAAACAGTGGAAGCAAGCGTGCAACAATTTATCCTTTCTCTACCTTGATGAGTGGTCCTCTGACTTAATCATGTCCACATAGGACTCAGAACCATCCTCCAGGGACTCCTTAATTCACAAGGCAGAGTCTGGATCTGGACAGCAACTTAAGTCATTAAAGGGCTACAGGAGATGGGGTATTCTTGCACAAATTTCTCCCATCTGGGGCTCATTGTCACTGTAACTGTCCTCCCGTTGTTCATCCATTTGCTTGAGCAGGCCCAGTAACGTCTCCATTTTGAGACTTGTTGTTACTGTGTTTGGCATATTGAATACATCACGGGTAGCTTGCCAGACCTTGCCATGCAGGAGAGATACTCTCGGTAGCTTGCCAGGCTCTCCAAGAAGGGCAGAGGAATCGAACCCGGCTCTGCCAGGCTGGCTGCATGCAAGGCAAATGCCCTACCGCTGTGCTATCGCTCTGGAAAAGTTCCTCATCCCCTCCATTTAACTAGTTATCATGTAAGGATTTAAGGTAGATGACCATTACTGAAGTATGTGAAATATTTTTGCTTCTGTGGCATTTTGATGAATTGAGGCAGTCTGTGGATTTAACCTTTATTGTCTTTAAAAAGAGAATTTGAAGACAATAGAGCCAAATTATGGTTTGGGGATATTAGTGCTTGGGTAGTAGGTGTGTTTGGGAGCACACAAACTGAAGAGATATTCTACTCCTAAGATCTACCTTGTGAATCAACATTATTTGACAAATAAAGGACAAGAAGCCAGTCTTCCTGTTACTACTTTTAATTTTTTTAAGGAGTCCATATTAGTATTTCTCAGTGTTTGTTCTTGTCTGTGTGCTTAGAAGACTTCACCATATTCAGGCTCTGAACCCCGCCTCAGTCACTCCTAGCAGGACCTGGGGGACCATATGTGATGCCTGGATGAAACTCTCGTTGTCTGATTGCAAGGCAAGAGCCCTGCCCTCTGTATTATCGCTCCAGCCCACTTTATTAAGTCAATTCTTTTTTTTTTATTAATCTTTAAAATTACTCTTTTAACTTTTAATTATTAGGTAAATATAATAAAATGAATAAATAATAATTTTAAGTTAAAATGCTTTAAAATATTTCGGGGTCAGAGAAATAGTAGCGTGAGTAGGGTATTTGCTTGGAATATAATCAACCCTAATTCCACACCTGGCTCCTCACATGGTACAAGAACTTCCCCTGAGCACAGATAGGTGTGGTTCTCAAATCTGAAAAATACAGACTAAATGTTTTGTTTAGAGGACTAATATGGTATTGTGAGAGACTATGCTTTTATATATTTTTCCTTCTTTGGCACAAAAGAAACCAATAAATTGACTCAGAGGCCTAGTGGAGTGAAGGTCCTTGCCCTTTGCATGGGAGATCCCAGTATGATTCCGTCTCTGGCACTGCCAGAAGTGATCTCTAAGCAGAGCCAGAGTAAGCTCTAAACACTGCTAGTTGTGGCCCAATCTCCTCCAATAAATACATAAATGATTTCTACAATTGGCGCATTTTTGGGGGGTGGAGGAGGCATTACGGTCACATTTGGCAGTGCTTGTCAGTATATAATAGTGTACTTTTGAGTATACAACAGTACACTTTTATAGTGTAGTGTATATGTAATATCATAGTTTTATAGTATGCAAGAATATAATTTTGAAAAAATAATACTTCTGTAATTGGTTATTGAATACACAATATATCCATTGAATAGCTGAGTATTCAGATGTTCTATGTAAGAATATTACCGAGGTAAATAATTTGTCCAAATGTAACTTTAACTTACTCATTATTCTTAAGAAACTCGTTACTTCAAATGTATTTGATTTTACTAATGTTTCATCACCATCTTCCCATGAAAACAAGGATATCAAATGGAGCATATTAATGTGTGTTTTTGACAGATGTCAGTGTAGATACCAACTTGCACCAGAAAAATTATAGTTATTTTTGGACATTTCATGGATGAAAAACTCTTATCCTTTAGACCCATAAGACTTTATAAATAAATCTCAGGTGGTTCTTCAGCAACCAGAAACATTTCTGAAGTAGGCGTATGTTGTCTGCTCTGTTATTGAGTAGCAGTTTCTAAGTGTCTGTGTTAACTCATTCATGAATAATGCACTGGAATTTCTGTAATAAGACCTACAGTAAGCCCTAGATAACATGGTTGGCTTGACCTCTTTTTCTACTGAAAAGCAGTTTTGTTACCTTTTTTTTTGAGGTTTGGGAAGATGATTTATTTCTACTTACTGTGATTAATGTAATAATTCAGAAAGTAACCAGTTACGTAGTTAAACACATTGCTAATTTTCATAATAAATAATCAAAATTGGGTGAATTACCTGATAGGTTATTGTGTAGGTGTTAGTAGTATGCTTTTGTGTTGATTGTGTAATTGATAGATAATTAATTAGGCTTCAGGAGTACAAAGAATAAAAACTTTCTATATTTTTTCCTAGAGACTCTAACCTTCTTCCTTACTTGAATAACATCAACGCTTTCCTCAAATGTTTCTGATATTGATAATTCTATAGAGATGATAACTTGCTTTAAGAAAATCAGTGTATCCAGCCTATTGGAGCAATTGATTGATTACCTATTGAGGGAAAAAAATGAAAAGATATTATACTCGCATACAATAGCCTGACATAAATTTGAATTGGGTTTAACAATCTGCTTTATATTAAAGAATGCAAAATATATTTATATATTTTTAAAGCAACATATAAATCTCATAAGCAAAAAATATATGACAAATTTTATAAAGATCCTATAGAACATTATGCAAGGAAGTCTTGATTATACAAATAATCCATTTCATATTTATGTATGTGGCTTATAGAAATTCAAAAGACAACTTATCAGCTGGAAATATTCTTTTCACATATACCATAAAGACTTTATATTCACAAAATATCAATGACCAGAACAAGTGAAAACAAACCACCCAGTAGAAATGGAATAAAGGTCCAAAGAAACAGTGCAGAGGTTAATAAGTAATGCAGTGCAGGCCAACCCAGTTTGAACCCCCAACACCATGTATGGTTCCCTGAATACCACCAGGAGTAATCCCTTAGTAGAGAACAGGAGTAAGCCCTAAGCACCTTCCAGATACCAAAATACGTAAATAAAGTATAGCACAGCGGGTAGGGCGTCTGCCTTGCACGCAGCCAACATGGCCAACCCGAGTTCGATTCCTCCGCCCCTCTCGGAGAGCCCGGCAAGCTACTGAGAGTATCTCGCCCGCACGGCAGAGCCTGGCAAGCTCCCCGTGACGTATTCGATATGCCAGACACAGTAACACCAAAGTCTCCAATGGAGACGTTACTGGGCCTGCTCGAGCAAATCAATATATTTTTACAAAACTAATTTTTTGTTTTGTGTTTTGGGGGCACATCCGGTGGTGTTTAGGGCTTGGTTGTGGCTCTGCATTCAGGGTTCTCTCCTTGAGGTCCTCAGGGAACCCTCTGACCTACCAGGGAGTAAACCCTGGTCTTCTGTGTGCAAAGCAAGTACCCTACCTGCTGTACTATCACTACAGTCTCCCAAAGAACTTTCACAGGAGATATAAAGTTACCTTATTGGTTGTTAAGAAAATGATTTTGTTTTAGATATATTTTTAAATTAATATTTATTGTGATTTTTTTATTTATTTTTTGATTTGTTTTGGGGGCTATTTTGGTGTTCTTGAGGGCTTACTCCTTATTCTGCGCTCAGGGACCACTTTTGGCCAAACTGGGAGAACATTTGGGTGTCAGTATAGAACCTGGGTCGGCCACATGCAAGGCAAACATCCTGCCTGCTATGTTTTCTCTCCAGCCCTTATGCTGAATTGATACTTGAAAAATGTCAACAGGTGAGCAGTAGAGCTCAAAGAACAGACTCAGCAACACTGAAAATGTGAAATTTAAGCTGCACCACCAAACTTTGTAATGTGCATGTCAAAGTGACAGATGAGACAGGAGCTTGGGGTAGGGTGGGGTATGGGGACACTGGTGAAGGGAAGTTGAAACTGGTGGTGTGATTGGTGTTGAAACATACGCCTAAAATTCAACTCTCAATAACTTTGTAAGTCATGGTTCTTAATTAAATAAAAACTCAAAAACATATCAACAAAAGAATTGAAGATAAAGTTGACATATGTAGGAGTTTAGCATAGTACACCAGGCCCCGATTAAATTCCTAGCACCACGTAACTTCCTGAACATCACTGATGCAGCTCTCGAGATCTGAAACTTGCTGGATGTTGCCCCCTAGACCCTTAAGCACCACTGGGATGGCCCTCATGGTCCCCAGTGCCAAAAAACTCAAGCAATGCTGCCTCTTCTAGCACCTGGAATCTGCTTAGCATAACCTGGGAGGTCTCTTTACCAAAAAAAAAAAAAAAGTGCTACAATCTGCCACAGTCCATGACACAGTTTTTTGCCTTAAACTCATATATGATCTAATATAGGTGTTGCAGTTGACATATGTGTTCATGTAAGACAATAGAATTTTAGAACTTTAAAAAATTGTAAATTTAAAGCTCACCACGGTTCTGTGATGTACACAGACTGTTAGTAAATCATGGCTTGAAAATCTGCCTTAGTGGTTCTTTCTGTTGTATCTTATGGAATGTTTATGAAAAATTTCCCTAAAATCATGTGAATGATATGCCTTTCTGTTCTTCATAAGTACCTACCTATAAACATCTTTTAAAATAATTTTCTAACAGTGGAATGGACATCCAGTAAAATACATGAAGATATGAATCCACCCTCATAAAAATGATCAAAAGGAAACTATTTCATTCATTTCCTCATGTATCTTATTGGATGTCCATTCTACTCTTAGAAAATTATTTCAAAAGATGTTTCTAAGTTGGGGGGCAGCAGGGCAGGGACTGTCTTCCTGAGGCTTGGGGGAGGGGCAATGGGGAGCAGCAGGGTGGGGACTGTCTTCCTTGGGGGAAAGATAGCACAGTGGGTAGGGTGTTTGCCTTGCATGCAGCTGACCTGGGTTTGATTCCTCCTCCCCTCTCGGAGAGCCCGGAAAGCTACTAAGAGTATCCTGCCCGCACAGCAGAGCCAGGCAAGCTCCCCATGGTGTATTGGATATACCAAAAACAGTAACAAGTCTCAAAATGGCAAAGTTACTGGTGCCCACTCGAGCAAATCGATGAACAATGGGAGGACAATGCTACAGTGCTACAGATTTTTATGGATCTGAACCATGTAATATCTTCATTTGATTTTTTTATAATAATAGAAATTATTATTGCTATTTCTAATGCTTTTTGAGTAACAAATAATTATATATATTTTTCTCTAATATCTCACAAGGAGTGGTCTTACAAAATACATTTAGTGAGATTCTAGCCATTATTTAAAAATTTTGTTCTTTCAAAGTCTCACATAAAGTTAGAAAGTTCAAAGTTTAGAATTTCCAGCTTTATGTAATGATATCATATTCCAAATAGATGTTCAATCTTGAAAATTAGGAGAGTCGAGACCAAAATTTGTAATATGAATAACTTTTTCAATGTTAGCAAGGTGACTTAGAAACTGTTGAGTACTCTATTTCCCACACACTTTGGGGCATGGACCCCCAAATGCCACCCTCGCTTTGTGCTTATCCTGCCTGGTTCTCAGTGGGTTGGCAGTGCTATTGTGCTTTTCTGCAGCCCCAGGCTGTCCAGGGCAGTTGTGGTGGATTCCGACATTCCACTGACAGCATGGGGGAGTAGGGAGGGGTCAGGAACCCACACTAGGTTTGGCCCTGGGTCCAGGTAGAAGCCTAAGTACTGACTATTGGTTGTGGGAGCCACTACCTAGCAACCCCAACCCCTCACCCCCTACCCCCACCACACACACACATGAGGTTCATGCCAGCGCTGAGGGCATTGTGAGATCCCCACAGGAAGCCAACTGGCCATATATTTTTTTTAACTAGTCACCTTTATCTCACTATTCCATGGACATGGAGTTGGCAAGTACCTGTGCCTAGAAGGAGGATTTGGGGTAGGACAATCCTGGTCTTCTAGGCTGCTCCGTGGAGACTTCTGGGGTTTTAACTACAGGGTATGCTGATTTCACGCTGATGCTTCTCGTATTAATATGATCACAAGTTTGATGTGTACAGCACATTGATAACGTAGCTGAATACAATTATTTTAAATATGAAAGTGTGATGACTTATAATAGAATTGTATTGTGTTTTAGTCTATACTTAAGAGAAATCAGACAACCAGAAATTTTGTATTGGGACTTCATGTACCTCCAAAGATGATTCAGCAGTTTTATGAATTTGATTCTCATTGAAATAATTGCCAGCCTCTTAATGGAATATCAGCTTTACCCCAGTACAAATGAAGACTACAAACCACAATAATAGTTATATTGATCTTTTCTGTTTTTTTTTCCCTTAAGAGGAAATACACATATTTCAAATTGTACCGCAGGTCTTTTGGCCATCCATTTATCTAATATATTACATTTAGGGTGATCAGTCTTGAAAAGTTAAGTAGTTATTACAGTGTTAGTAATAAAATTAGAACTTTGAATTGTAACATTTTACATACTCACAAATATTATAAAATGACTTCTTTGTAAATTTATGTTTCATATGTAGGAATTATTTTTGAAATCATTTTATTATGATTTATCAATCTACTAGAGGTGAGCAAGCCAAGAAAATATTAAATTCTATCTGATATTAAAGCACATTTTGAAGAGAGGCATATTACTTTATGTTCTCAGGGAGATAGACATAATAATATCCAAATATCCATTATTTCTAATTAAAATTATAATTGTGTTTCATGCACCAAAAATTTCTTTCATTCTTTCTTTATCAGGATATTGTTGAAACTTCTCCTGATCCAGTACTTGATCTGCACATGTCTTTGGAGGAACTATACACTCAGAATCTCCTGCAAAGACAGGATGACAATCTGCCTTCCGTTGATCTGGGCCTGGTACCTGCTTCTGGGTTTCCCATAAGTGATTATACACCTGTGCAGTCTCTTGATCAGTATCAATGTGAAAATACAAGAGCATGGGCCGAGCCTCACCTGCCAAATGAAGTTATATCAAGCTCAGAATTCACTTCTTCTTTACTACCTGATTTATCTGGAAAGGTAGTACCTTAAAGACGGATATTATAGACTATGATGAAGTTGCGGCTAGTGAAGTGTTACAATATTCTGACTAATCTTCCATTGGGTGCCAGTGCTCCCAGTCAGGAGATTTTCAGAAAGTAACCTATGAACTTGTTTTGATTAGAGGTGCTTGCTGAATAGAATGCAATCAATTATGCCCAAAAGTAGAGAGAAATTATGGGGAATCATGTCTGCCATGGAGGCAGGGGGAAGGTGGGAAAGGGAGGGTTATACCAGGGATCTTGGTAGTGGGGAATGTGAATAAAATTTTTAAAAAAATTTTAAAAATGCAATCAATTAGAGAGTTTGGGTGATGTTGAAATCATACTCCAAAGTTTAGTTTTCTGTTCTATGTCATTCAGCATTTTCCCCCTTTCTGGCAGGGCTCTGAGTTCCTAATCCAACAGAACTCCTTGGCTTCTACTTCTGAGTGTGATATGCTTCAAAATGTATCTGAAGAATCTTTTGAGAGAACCATTACCATAGCAAAAGGCAATTCTAGCCTGGGTAAGTTCCTTATTTTCCACATATACTTTCCCTCTTAGTCCACTTGCCAAGATGAATTATTGAACTGTCACTGTCACTGTCACTGTCCTCTCGTTGTTCATCAATTTGCTTGAGTGGGCCCAGTGACATTGTGAGACTTGTTACTGTGTGTGGCATATCGAATATGTCACAGGTAGCTTGCCAGGCTTTGCTGTGTGGGCAAGATACTCTTGACAGTTTGCCGGGCTTTCCAAGAGGGGCGGAGAAATCGAACTCCGGTCCACCGCATCGGCTGCGTGCAAGGCAAACGCCCTACAGGGTTTCAATATTTTTGTCTGTAGAACGGAAAACAGATGTCATCATTTTTTTTATTTTTCTGTGATTTCTATTTTTATATATTTATTTTCCCTGAAATGGTTAACAGTATTGTTTACTTCTGGCTAGCTTAAATTTCTTTCTTACCTCTTTAGAAGTCTTACTGAAATTTTAGATAAAAGGTCTATGAATTGTTTGTTTATGAAATGCCAAATCAGAAAAGGAATTTTCAGAAAATGTAAAGTCAGCAATTTGAAATTCTAAATTATTTAGAAAAGCAAAGTATTAGTTTCTTTGAATGTTACAAGTTATGCATAAGTCAGATTGTATTTAATTTCATTCATTTATTGACATGAAGATAGCCAGGTGTGCCATCACCAAAATACAGATGCAAATTATTCAGTATTTCTTTCCTTGTGTTAGAATTATTATGTGTTAGCTTACACAGAAACGGTGGTAGCTGATTAGTAGTCATAAAAAATTTCTGAACTTGTCATAGAAGAATTGTGATGAATGGCCAGCCATGAAATAGATTACTGTCACAGAAATGTATACTTAAACATGGTAAATCTGGTAAAATTCATTTCTGTACCTTGTACCACACAAAAAAGGTATAATATCATGAATAGGTAAAGGTAAAGGCCCTCCCGTTGATCGTCGATTTGCTCGAGCGGGCCCAGTAACGTCTCCATTGGAGACTTTGTTGTTACTGTGTCTGGCATATCCAATACTCTCGGTAGCTTGCCGGGCTCTCCGAGAGGGGCGGAGGAATCGAACTCGGGTCGGCCATGTTGGCTGCTTGTAAGGCAAACGCCCTACCCGCTGTGCTATCGCTCCAGCCCTAATATCATGAATATTAACAGAAAAAAAACCATGTGATAGTAGAAATAAAAATGCTAATAGCTACATTTAATAACTCAATTACATCAAGCAGAGCACATTTGATTTGGATTTTGATTTTTGCATTAAGCAACCACGTGATTCATCTGTCTTGAAGTGATTGGTGCTGATAAATAGGATGTTTGAACAGTTCCCGTTTGCTCTACCTCAGAGATCTTATTCCTTTTTTGATGTAACTTGCCAGTACTTTTATATTAATATCTTATGGCATGTTCTTGGGCTGGAGCGATAGCACTGCAGTAGGGCAATTATCTGCCTTGCATGCACCCAGCCAGGCTAAGCTGCGTTCAATTCCTCCGCCCCTCTTGGAGAGTCCGGCAAGCTACCGAGAGTATCTCGCCCACACAGCAAAGCCTGGCAAGCTTCCCAGTGACGTATTCAATATGTAATACTCCCTAAAATTTTAATTATGAGACAGATATAGCTATTTTGGCATGTCAGAAATATTTCATCTGCGAATGTACTGTTTCTAAAAATATGCTAATTAGATTAGTTTAGTTTTGTTAAGAGTATTAAGTTTGAACTTGATCCTAAGTTTGAAAATATAAAATGTAGAGTATTTGGGACAAGCTTCTGTTAAAATGACTTCTGAGTATCTTTAATGTGTGTTTGTGCATTGTAAGTATCTAAGAAGAGGTTATAGACGCTTTTGTATTTGACCATAGAAACTGTTCTTTCCAGCAAATTCATAACATAATTTGTGAAGCCCATATGAGAAAGTCTTTTAGTGTATTTAATCAGCTATCACATACTGTTTTGTAAGCTTAGCCGATTTGCATGGATAACATGCTAGAATTTCCTGATTATTAGTAAAAAACGGAAAGCGAAAGCTGAACAACATACAAAATCTTAACCTATTGTTATATTTTATAAGCTGTGATTGATACTACACTTAAAAAAAGGCTGAAGGAGTTGTAAAAGATTTTAAATAACAGACACTTTATTTTGTCATGAAAGAGAAATAAAATTTTACCACAGCTGAGGAATTTGAATAATTTGGAAGATGCTAGAATTAAGATAATGAAATATGAAACATTGCTGAACCGTGTTTGGTTTGGATAAGTTGTGTATGATGTTGAGAAACATTTGAGTGAAGATTAGAGGAACGGGCAGTGGCAGACAGCTGCTGAGTGGGTTCCTGTGCAGGACAAGTGCTTCTGTCATAGCATCCTCCTGTTATAGAGTCTACGGATGACATCCTTTAAGTTGTGTTTTGACATCATTCTTGTACGGGCTGGAGTGATAGCACAGCGGGTAGGGCGTTCACCTTACAAGCAGCCAACATGGCCAACCCGAGTTCGATTCCTCCGCCCCTCTCGGAGAGCCCGGCAAGCTACCGAGAGTATTGGATATGCCAGACACAGTAATAACAAAGTCTCCAATGGAGACGTTACTGGGCCAGCTCGAGCAAATCGACGATCAACGGGAGGGCCTTTACCTTAACCTTTACCTTGTACGAGTTGGTAAATTAGATTCAAGCAGTTACGGGACTGGATAACTGTGGTTTGAGCACATTTGCACTGATTATTGACTTTGATTTACTCCCCTATTTTTAGTTGGTTGAGAGAAAGCTTAATTTTATTGAGATTTTTTTCCCAGTTGTACCAGAGATTAAACCGAGGGCCTCTCACATGAAAGCCATGTGCGCTGCTTCTGAGCCATATCACAGATGAGATTGCTGAATTTTTTCGAATATTTCCTTCATCTGTTGAAATAATCATATGAAAAGTTTTTATGTTAGTATCTCAGAATATGAGCTGGACCGATAGCTCAGGGGGTAAGGCATTTGCCTTGCATGCGGCCAACCCGGCCGACTTGGGTTTGATTCCTCTGCCCCTCTCAGAGAGCCTGGCAAGCTACCAAGAGTATCTCACCCGCACGGCAAAGTCTGGCAAGCTACCCGAGACATATTTGATATGCCAGACACAGTAACAAGTGTTACAATGGAAACGTTACTGGGCCCACTCTAGCAAATCGATGAACAACGGGAGGACAGGGCTACAGTGCAGTGCTATCTCAGAATATTAGACATTTTAATGTGGCATAAGATATGTAAAATTTTTTTATCATTTTCACCACTTTTTTGTCACATGTCCGTGACATTATATCCATTTCCGTGATTGGGCATTCATCACTACCCAAGGCTCCATCTCTAGAATATTTTTATGTACCCCAATTAACACTATCAATTCTATCTTTATTATGCCAATAAATAACGGCTCCCAATTTCTGTCTCTCATAAGCTTCTAAAATCTCAACAGTGCACTCTTTTTTTTCTGTAAAGTGTAACTTATTAAATAATAAAAGTAGAATTTTACCAAAATATATATAATTCTGCAGCTGGCTTATTTTGCTTAACAAAATGTCTCCAAAGTTTATCCATATTGTTCAAATGCCAGCATTTCCATCCTTTTTAAAGCAAATTATTTAATTGCATACACACATATCTTTTATTTGTTTATTTTTGTTAGACAGATGGTTTTTCTCCATGTAACTTTTGTGTTTTGATTTAAGGATACATAAAAATGAATAAGTCTTTGGGGGGAGGGCAGTAAGGTGAAATATTGAAATGTCCTTGATTTCTGTCCTATTAGGCAATTCTTTTAAACATCAGCAGTTCAATTTCAAGATTAAAGTAGAAAAACTCTTATTTACATAATGATAATGATGCATTTATTTATAAAACCACAAAACCAATAGTTCTAATAAAAATTCTCTTGTAAAAGTATAAGTACCTTCTTGTTTATCTTCTGCTCTCATACTTCACAAAATATATTTAGGGCTTGAATTACCCAAATGTATAGTTATATTTTTTTTGTTGTTTTTGAGTTACGTCTGGCAATGCTCAGGGGTTACTCCTGGTTTATGCACTCAGGAATTACTCCTGGCCATGCTCAGAGGACCATATGGGATGCTGGGGATCGAACCAGGGTCGGGCCACGTGCAAGGCAAACGCCCTACCCACTGTGCTATCCCTGGAGAGATAGCACAGCAGTAGAGCGTTTGCCTTGCACGCAGCCAGCCTAGCTGAACCAGGTTCGATTCCTCCGCCCCTCTTGGAGAGCCTGGCAAGCTACTGAGAGTATTCAATATGCCAAACACAGTAACAAGAAGTCTCACAATGGAGATGTTACTGGGCCCGCTCGAGCAAATCAATGAACAACGGGAGGACAGACAGACAGATAGTTCTATTACTGTAATAAAGTGCTACAGTGCTACCGGACTTCATTTTGATTCCAAAATTTTGCATTTGGATTTTAAAAGTCTATGTAGCTTTTATTTGGCATAATAGAGCATTTAAATATATAAATATATATACATATATATATATACTATGAATGTCACTTTGTTTTTTGTTTTGATATGCTGCACTGTAGCACTGTCCTCCCTTTGTTCATAGATTTGCTCGAGTGGGCACCAGTAACATCTTCATTGTGAGACTTGTTACTCTTTTGGCGTATCGAATATGCCATGGGGAGCATGCCAGGCTCTGTCGTGTGGGGGGGATACTCTCGGTAGCCTGCCTGGCTCTCCGAGAGGGACGGAGGAATCAAACCCAGTTTGGCTGGCCATGTGCAAGGCAAAAGCCCTACCCACTGTGCTTTGATATGCTAATAAAATTAATTCATAACAATATGGACCATAACAAATAGTGTTCTGTCTCATGTGTTTGGCTAGCTTTTCTGTAGACTGTGTGGTGCTGATGAGAACAACTGATGAGGTGCATCCCCGCTATGGACAGCTGAATTACATTTTGTTTGATAGTTGTACACTCTAGCACAGTAATAGTTTGGTAGGTCTTTATGGTACAGATATATCAAGGAAATCCTGTTGAAACTCAGATTCAAACTCAGTCTCTTAACTTACAAGAAATCTTCCTAGGATGATTTAGTTTCTAAATTTGTTGTTTTGTTGTAAGTATAGCTGTTTTTAAAAATTACAATATATATATATAAGAATAATTGAATCTTAAACATGCATATGCATTTGTTAGTGGCTCATTTCATCACTTAGAAACTAGTGAGTAGGAGCCTGGATGACTCATTTATGCTTAAACATTATGCCAGAAAAAAAATCTGTCAGTCTTGTTCTTTAAAATACTTAAAGTATAAATGTTCAATTTGGTATAATTAGAATTATTATTTTGAAAATTGTTATCCTTTACTTGTAAATAAATTTTTAGTTTTTCCCAAATTTCTTTTTTTCTTTTTTTTTTTTTGCTTTTTGGATCACACCTGGTAATGCACAGGGGTTACTCCTGGCTCTGCACTCAGGAGTTACTCCTGGCGGTGCTCAGGGGACCATATGGGATGCTGGGAATCGAACCCGGTTCGGCCACGTGCAAGGCAAACGCCCTACCCGCTGTGCTATCACTCCAGCCCAATATCTTGATTAATTGTATAATTTTTATTGAGAGAACTTTTACATTTGATTTTGGGTGAATTTACCTTATGTGAAGAAAATTCAAAAGTTTTCTATATTCTTGGAATAGAGTGAGGATAGGAATGCTTTTTATTTTATGACTGAATAATGGAAAGTGGTAGTGGTAGAAGGGCTACAAAAAGAGGGTTTAAATGGTACAGGAGGTAAGGCATTTGCCTTACATGCTGCCCACTTGGGTTTGATCCCTAGCATCCCATATGGTCCCCTAAGCACTACCTAGAGTAACTCCTGAGGGCAGAGCCAGGAGTAACCCCTAAGTATTGCTGGGTATGACTCAAAAAGCAAAAAAAAAGAGAGAGAGATAGAAAGAAAGGGAAAAGAGAAGAAAAATAGTGAATTGGTTAGAGATAGGTACATTTCTGTAAGAAGGTCCTATTCTTTGAACAGAAAGATCTAAAGACAAAACAGCACTCAGGAAGGATGCATACTGGGATAAACAGGCCACAGATCACCCTGTCTGCAATGGTTTTATTGCAGGTTGTTTGTTAATCAATAAGACAGGAGCTGTTAAAAGACTGCCAATAAGTTGTAATGTGATGTCCTTTTCTGAGGGTGTGTGTTTGTGAAGCTGGTGGGGGCGGGGCATCGGATCAGAACTGGCCATGCTCGGGGCCTACTCCTGGTTCTACTACACTCAGGAATCACCTCCTGGCAGGGATTGGCAGACTACATGGTGTCAGGGATCAAATACAGGTTGACTGGATATAAAGCAAGCAACTTTACCTGCTATAGTATTTTTCTGGCCCCTATTTTATCTTTCGTGAATGAGCACTCTGTTGTGAGAAGATGCATTTGAAAAGACAACACTGGATACTTGGATATCAGATAGACTGTTTCAAAATGGCAGGCAAGAGAAATTCTATGTTGATCTAGCATTAGAATGGAACTGGAGAGACTTGAATAGGTTGAAGCTGCGTTTTGGAGATAGACATGACAGAATGTGGTGATGGATTGAACTTCAGGGCTGAGACAGAGCGGTAGGAATCAGAAGTACTCCAACATTTGTGCTTTGAGACAAATGAGTAACAAAGTGGGGGTGAGACTTGGAAGTTCCGCTTTATACTTACTAAAATTTCATTGCCTATGAGTCATTCAGGGAACTTGGTGAGGGAGGAGAAGAGGAGCAAATTTGGCATGCTGCTTATAGAAAATCAGATTTGGAAATAATTTTAGAATAGATTAGAATTAAATTCACATCAGTTCAGTTCAACAGGCAATAACTATTTAGGTTCTGTGATTTAGGCACTGGGGATAATAGAATATTCTTGATATTAGTAATTTGGGGTTATATAATTTTATTTCGAGCAATCATCAAAGTACTTAGCACCTGATAAGCATATACTAAATATATGCTGTTGACTAGAGGATCTAACAATAATGAAAGAGCAGAGAGTTTCTTAATTTATGGACTTTCTATTTATATTTTTATTTATTCTCTTTTTGCATACAAAATCTATTACTGTTAAGGAGTTGCATGATATTGTCAGGATGCTTTCCCTGGGAGAGTCTTTTACTTACTGGGTAACACCTCTAATAGCCCAGGTTATATTCAGTACACTGCTGTGTCGTTCTGTTTCATCTCTAGTGGATTCAGTGTGCGCCAGCTTATTTTTTGTCCACATTAGATTTTACAGTGAGTCACAAAGTTATTAAGAGTTGAGTTTTGACATACAATGTGCTGTTACCAATCCCACCACCAGGGTCAACTTCTCTTCACCATGCTCCCAGTTTTCTCTTCCACCCTCTTCCTCCCCCACCCCAGCCTGTCATCTTGACAGGTATCTTCAGAGTTTGGTTACTTAAGTTGGTTCTCAATATTTGAGGGCCATTGACCCTGTGGTTTGGATAGTTAGCTCTGTCATTCCTAACACCACTGATGTACCTGCATCCCCTTAACCTCTGTTCTGTTGTTTCTCATCTATCTCTTCGCCCTTTCCCCTTCACTCTTATTTCTTTCCCTCTACTCCCTATACTCTGGGATCAAGGATGATCTAGGCATCCCCCCTTTAAAACATCACATTTCTTCATCCAGTTACTCTAAATACAACCTAAAAGTGACATCATGCTGTGTTTGTCTTTCTGTCTTACTTAATTTAATGTGGTAACTTCCAGTTCCATCCATTGTAGCAAATGATATGGTTTCATCATCCTTTACAGCTGCATAGTATTCCATTGTGTATGTATACCACACTTTCATGATCCACCGATAGTACTAACTTGAGTTAAAATTTTACAAACATTTCAAAGTTCATTCCCATTTTTTCAATTACAAAAATGTTTTCCTTTGCTTTCAGTTGTATTTTTTACCTATAGCATTTATTCTTATTTATTAATGAATAATTCCTAGTGATTCTTAAATGCACTTGAAAATCATGTACCAAATACATTTCTTTGTTCTTCTTTTACCATAGGGATGACAGTCAGTGCTAATAAAGATGGCTTGGGGATGATTGTTCGCAGCATTATTCATGGCGGTGCAATTAGTCGAGATGGCCGAATTTCTGTTGGCGATTGCATCTTTTCTATTAATGAAGAATCTACCATCAGTTTAACCAATGCCCAGGCACGAGCCATGTTGAGAAGACATTCTCTCATTGGACCTGACATTAAGTAAGTATCATCTGGAATCCCATTTTACATGGGAAATATGAATTCTAATCCATTAGATTTTTTCAGTATACAACTCTGTTATTATTATGGCATTGGAAGAGAACTCAGGTGTCAGAGGCACATGCTTTGCATGTCCTAGTACCCAGGTCAAATCTCTGGCAATACTTGGCCTCCCAGTCACTGATGGGTGTAGCCCTGGTGGTTCCCAACAATACTAGGTCCAAGCTGCATCACGTCTTATGGATCATGTGTTGAACTTTCTTTTTTTTTTTTTTTTTTCCCCTTTATTTTATTTTATTTTTTTTAAAGTTGTAGATTTACAATTTTTTGTGCTTTGGTTTCAATTATACAATGATCAGATACCCATCCCTCCACCAGTGCCCATTTTCCACCACCATGGATAATATCCCTCCCACCCCCATCCCCCCATCCCCCCGTCTCTGTGGCAGGGCAATCCCCTGTGTTCTCTCTCTCCTTTTGGGTGTTGTGGTCTGCAAAAGAGGCATTGAGTGGCAAACATGTTCAGTCCATAGTCTACTTTCGACATGCATCTCCCTGTTGAACTTTCTAGCCTGATGGCTAGTATGGCTGGGAAGTTATTTCTGGGCCTCTGAGCACTGACTGGGAGGCTCCTCCAAAGAAATGATCATATATTTATGTAATAACCGCTTAAGAATTTCACTATTCTTGAGTAGTTCTTGATTGTAGTAGAGCCATTTTTAATACTTTTAAAATAAATATTTAGAAACAGTATTGCATTTTCTTTATTGAATTTCTTTTTCTTTATCAAATTTTGATTCTTTAGTAGCACTGCACGGTCCTGCACTGTCCTCTCGTATTCATCGATTTGCTGGAGCCAGCACCAGTAACATCTCCTTTGAGAGACTTGTTGTTACTGTTTTTGGCCTATCGAATATGCCACAGGGATCCTGCCTGGCTCTGCCGTGTGGGCAGGATACTCTCGGTAGCTTGCCGGACTCTCTGAGAGGGGCGGAGGAATCAAACTCGGGTCAGTCACATACAAGGCAAATGCCCTACCTGCTGTGCTATCGCTCCAGCCCATTAAAGATTTTACTTGATTATTTAATAATTTTAATAATTTCTTTAATAATTTCTGAATTTGTGGTGGGTCAATTGGGGGGCTCCCAAGCAATGCTCAGGAGACTTAGCAAACCCTCTCAGTGATTCTTGGCCAAAGGGTGGACGTTTCAGTGGAGGGTCCCTAAGGATGCAGTGCTGTTCTGGCCCTGCTATATAAGAAATTACCCCAGTATTACCTCCAGAAATTTCCTCCAGAAATCGCCTCAGAAATTTCCTCCAGAAATTACTGCAGAAATTACCTCCAGGACTGAACTGAAAGATTATGCTCAGGGGGCAACTCAGAGGTGCTGGGAATCTAAGCAGAGAAAGGTCACATGCAAGGCATGCACCTAACCCCCCTGTACTGCCTGTGCAGTACCTCTTCTTTAAAGTTTTACAGAGAAGTTTGGATTAGCCTCAGTACAATTGCGTACCTCTGATTTAGCTATGTGAATCCTAGAACTTTGAAAAAGCTGGTTTGAAAAACTAGCCATGAAAAAGATGACACAGATCTGTCATTTACCCTTTGAATTTTGTCATGACTGAAGAGAATTCACCAATTTATTGATATGATCTGATTGGAGGTTATCTCCAATATTATAAGAAAATACTTAAAATATTCCATGAGGTGCTAAAAGCATGCTCTGTGTGTGGTTTGATCGCTAAATTTTTATTGAGCCAATATAAAAACTGGTAAATACTTTTATAATGAAACTTATTTGATATAATTTAATCATTGAACATTTGCATCTAATGTACAAATAAGAAATAAGATAGTAAAATAAGAAGCTTGGGAAAAGATTGAATCAATAATTACTATTATGGAAGACTTCTGTCATAATGCTTTTTGGGCTATATTCTATATTATTCTTTGGTGAAGTTTATATTTCCAGGGCTTTGGCAAGAAAAACTATATTACAATAAGATCTTATCATCAATTAAAAGCAGAAATATAACATTTATAATGGAATTTTCTGTTTCTTTATGAAAAAGATATTATTACCAGGTGAAAAATTTTTAATGGGCTTTTGTATACTTTTTAAACTATAGTGGAAAAGATCATGAGATTATATTTGTATATGATCATATTTTTATAGTGGAAAAGATCACTAGATCTTAATTATGTCAATATACTAAGAAAAAGAAAACCTTAAGTATTTTCCTGACCAAAGGCTAGAGTTTACTTCTATTGCTTAAAAATGAATGATACAGATTCTCTTAGAGAGTCTTTATTGTAAGAATTTTAGGTCTCATACCTAAAATGTAGTGTAAGCTTTGGGTAGACAGTAATTATTTATTTGATTTACTATATGATAATCCATGTTTTATGCCATGAACATTGATAAACATCTTTTTTCCATAAGTTCTCTAACAAAACGAATACATGATTTGGTGCTCGATTTTATCTTGACACGACTGAATCTAATAGGTAGCCAAAATTAAGATACTTTTGATTTTGGATCAATTTTTCCTATCTAAAAATCAACTCTTGGAAAAGTTGTTAGGTATGTTCTTAGGCTTTGGGGTGTTTTCTCTTTATTCTTTTAGTTGTTTATTTTGTTGTATTATTTGTTTTCCCAATTGCAATAAGTATCAGAATTTAACTACTTATGTAAAAGCAGATTTATTATGATCTTGAAGGTTATCTACAGATCTGGTTTCATAAATAATCACATCAGGATCCCAGGAGGAAAAATTTACTGTTGTATTTTACACTAAGGAGATAAGAATTCTAGAACCTTTAAAATCAATTTATCAATTGGTTTCATATACTCAAATCCTCACCTGTGCGAGTATCACACCCACACACACACATAAATATTAACCAGACGCATTATTTTTTAAAATTATCCTATGATTCAGCTAGTTACAACTTTATTAATTGGATTGGATAAATGGTAGAAAGAAATTAGAATCCACTATTCTTTTTTACAGAAAAAAAATGCATTAGATGATCAAACAAATTGCCATTTAGCTTGATCAGAGCCAAGCTGAGCACCAGATTCTCTACATTCTGCCTGAAGTGCTTTTGGCTCTGATACTTTTACTTTCATGTGTGTGTATGTGGGGGGGGGGGGGGGGGAGGTTATAACCTTTAAAGCTATGTGAGTATGTGAGTAATCTTCCCCAAAGGAATCTAGTTCCTGCAATATTTCTCACGAAGCCATAATGTTGTTTCTAGCTTATTTAGCATTGTAAAGCCTAGGTTCCATCCAGATCTTTTTATTATTTCTTGTTATGAGCCCTAGTTAATCTAGAGTGTTGATGGAGGAGTATATTGGAAGGACTTAAAAATGGCTATAAAAGTTTGTTAGATCATTTGATTAGTGTTAGGAAAAGCATTGCTTATTGAGACAATGCACTAGATTTTTATTTTGCTATTTATGATAGATAGTTAGGAATTTTGTGAGGGCCTTCATGCATGCCTGGGTAGATAATTTGAGTTTTAAGAGTTCAAGAACAGCCAGTTCAAGTTCCAGGTTTCATTATTTTCTATGGAATACCAGATGTGAAGCCTCACCAGAATGCATTCTGTTTCACTTCTCACTCCACCTTGCCAGGAGCTCTTATATTTCTGTAATAATAGCCAGGGTTTTGCGCTTAGCAGCAGCTGCTTCTAACATCTGCCAGATAATTACTGAGCTGAATCTGAATTCACCTGCCTTAACCTAAAATGTGGGATGAATTCCTGATCAAGGAATAAAAGATTGATTGCAGTTACATTTTTCCATGCTTGTTAATAATCACTGCTATAGACATCAGTAAAGAGCAGATGCTTTTCTGGGGGAGGTGTAGATGGGAGGGAGGTGGAAAGGGGAAAAAAACAACCAGGAGCATCCACTTTTAACTACATATGTATGCATCTCACATTCAGCACAAGACATTGACATTTGTTAACACCATTGTAAAAAGATGCTGCGGCGTATGCTTCACATTCTAGATTTTCTACAGCACCTGCTGACGATCGAGCCCCCTTTTATGTGTGAGTATCGGTGATTCAAAAGCTCATTATAGCTGTACGTTACAACTTGTCTGTGAAAACCATTTCGTGCTTTTGTAACGTCCCAATGTAAAGATTGATCCTGATAGAGATGTAACGTGTACATTTTGCCCTCACCCCCTTCCTATAAGAACACAGATCCTAAGAGAGCAGTGAGGATGTATTTTTACTTTGCACTGATGATCGTCAACTCATTTGAAAATCATAAATTGCAACTGCTGTGTTTTCAGACTCCTTTGTAAAGGGCTGATCCTGTTTGCATGTACAGGAGCAATCTCTGGATTAATAATAATATCATATTTCAGCATCACTGATGCTGGAATTTTTCTTTCACTCTATGAATAACCAAGGTTAGTTTACATGTAACAGATTTTAATACAATTCACAAGTAAGCTGTTTCAGTACGTTTATGCAGTTTCATAACCAGTTTCAGTGTGCTTTGTTGATGATTTAGAGATTTTCTTATATGTAGTTGTGTTACCAGCTGTGTTTTTGAATTGTTCTGTATGTGCTACTGCACGGTGGGATGCTTGTATTGGTGGTTTTGCTGTCTACGTTGAGTTACATTATGCCTTTTTCCCTTTTTCTCATGGTTACCTAAAGTATCTGAAAAATATGTCTAGTTTTTCTTCCTCTGTATCTCAAACTCTAGATAAAAAGAAGAATAAATAGAAACAAATGTACAAGTTTTCAGCTTTGTGATGGAAACATCTTTTCTTTTTCAAACCGATTAAAATTAATTGCTTTAAACTGGTTATTATACTTTTTTGCTATTGTATTCTGACTTTCTCTTTATACTTTTATTCTGATTATTTCCTTAATGTTTTATTTATAGAATTTTTATCTTTACTGAGTCTTCAGAAATAATACTAGTTTCCTTAAATAGTATTTTCTAAATAAAGGTTCTTGCATATGTATTTTTTCATTCTGTAAATACAATTTTAACAGCATAATGAGTTACATATTTGTGGCTATTTTGAAGGATAAGTGCAGATTTACTATTCCATGTATTTTTGTACCACCAGAAAGATGGTATTTTTATAAGTAAACATATTAAGTGGGGCTAGAATTAGAATATAACTCTTTCCCTCAGCCTTATCTTAAATACAGAGAATTGGTTTTTGGCTTCAATTCATGATCTTTGATGTAGGTGAAAGTATTAAAAAGAAATGTCCAAGGGTCCATATATTCTACTCAGCGTTAAGAGTAAATAAGCTGTTATGATTCCCTACATTTGTATCGTGATTCTCAGCTTAAAACAGACCCCCCCAAAAGTGAAAGCCTTTTTGTGATTAAGGATTTGGAAATTCACTGGCACTGACTTGCCCTCCTATCTCCTTACTTATGAGTAACAGAAATACATATTCTGACTCAAAACTCAGATGATCTCACAGAGTAAATGCTTTTTCTGGACTAACCAGTATCTAAATTTATATATCCTCCTCACACAGTCATGTCATTTGTATAGTTTTTATTCTAGGTCCTGATCTCCACTGCTAAAGCTTTAATTTTTATTTTCTCTGTGGGTAAGTTATAAGTAGAACTTTCAATAGTCTTCATGATTTTAATCTTGTGCAGTTTTAATGCGTACTTTTTTATTTTCAGTCTTTATAAACCTGCTGATCCTTCAGATAAAGAATTTCTGTTACTTCGCTCAATTATTTAAGTGTCTTGGAACAGTCTGCTTGAAAAAGTAGTAACAACCGTATAGCCTCCCGGCTGTACAGCAAACTTGATTTTCAAAGTATTATTTTTTAAGTATTATACCTGTAATTTAGCATGTAACTCCTTATCTTCCATAGTAGTCATGCAGCCAGTGCTTGTTGAAATAACATGTGACCAGCATAAATAGTAGCGTTATTTTTGAAGTCAAAATGGACCTGTAAGAATTTGTCACAAAACCACGTCTTTTCATAAACTTATAATGGCTTAACTTCAGCCTTGGGAGCTCCTAACTTAATAGTGTTATAATCATTGTTAATATATATAATTTATTATGGAAGCAGGTAAAATAACTTGGGATAGCAGTGTCTAATTTAGAGAATGTCTATTTTTTTTCCTTTAAGGAGTCTAAATATCTTTGTATAATTGACATAATACTGATAATTACGTTTCAGGACTTATAGATGTAGCTTTTAAAAATTATTAGTTCCTAATTCCAAGATAATGTGCCCTAATTCACCCTTGTAATTATTTGGTAAACAAAATTGATCAGTTGCATTTTAAAATTTAATTTTTATTGCCCGTTTTGCCCTTACAGTATTTTACTTTTCTGAAGTTTAGACTTTCTGACTAGTAAACCAATTAAAATAAGTTCTGTGACAATGCAAAGTGGAATGGAAAACATAATTTCATTTCTGTATTTTGAAAGTTTTTTTAACAGTCAACCTTGATTTTCTTTGCTTTCATGGATATTGTTTCGTTCCAGAATTACATATGTGCCTGCAGAACATTTGGAAGAGTTCAAAATAAGCTTTGGACAACAATCTGGGGGAATAATGGCCCTCGATATTTTTTCTTCATACACTGGCAGGTAAGTACAGTGAGTTAATTATATAGCAAATTATAAATAATATTTTTGAATTCAGAATTAGGGAGCCATAGACCAATCAAAAAGGCTGAGTTTTTTTTTTTCCTGGTTGAAGATTTTTTAAAACTCTCTCTTTTTACCCCTATTTTTAAAATAAAATTGACATTTTTATTTAAATTTTGAGTGTAGAAAATTTGAAACATATATCAAAAAACAGATCAAGAAATTAAAATCATCTTTATATCATATAATACAATACGTTTAACAATAAATTTGGGAATTTATACCAGATATGAACATTGTTCCCTTAATTTCCTGGGATTGAAATTTGTATTGTATTTTACCATGCTCTTTCCTATTTCATTCTTTTAAATTCTTAGAAATTTTATTTATTTATTTATTAACATATGGATGCATTTTAAAGATTACATTTTTACTGGGGGACATTGTTAAATTGAATGCCTTGTTATATTTATGTAAAGTAAGTAAAGTAAGTAAAGGCCCTCCCGTTGATCGTCGATTTGCTCGAGCGGGCCCAGTAACGTCTCCATTGGAGACTTTGTTGTTACTGTGTTTGGCATATCGAATACTCTCGGTAGCTTGCTGGGCTCTCCGAGAGGGGCGGAGGAATCGAACTCGGGTCGGCCATGTTGGCCGCGTGTAAGGCGAACGCCCTACCCGCTGTGCTATCGCTCCAGCCCCACAAATTGTATATGACTTTTAAAAGTCCTTGATACATAATGTATTAGGAGTCTTTAAATATTACAGGACATCCAGAGAGACAAAACAGGGGTAAGGTACTTGCAATGCATAAGCCCAACCCTAATTTTCTCCCTGACATATGGTCCTCCAAGCACTGCTGAGTGACCCCTTCCCCCAAATACCCCAAAACAATATAAAGTCTTTTAAAAAGTTAGGAAATATTTCTCCCTCGTGCATCAAGGGAGAAAACAGGTATTTTTTAAATCAATTTATCATTGATTAATCACTGTCACTGTCCTCCAATTGTTCATCAATTTTCTCGAGTGGGCCCAGTAACGTCTCCATTGTGAGACTTGTTAATGTGTTTGGCATATCAAATACGTCACGGGTAGCTTGGCAGGCTTTGCTGTGCAGGCGAGATACTCTCGGTAGCTTACCGGGCTCTCTGAGAGGGGCCGAGGAATCGAACTTGGGTTGGCCCTGTGGGCCATGTGCAAGGCAAACTCCCTACCTGCTGTGCTATTGTAGTACATAATTTCACTATCCATATGTGTATATAATTCACCATATTCCCTACAGAGTTTCAGTGCCATTCTACAAGCAAAATAACACTTAATTCCATTGTTCTTCTTTCCCTCTCATAACCATTCTTAATTTTCATCAAGTTTAGGAGTTAATTTTCTTGTTTGTTGCCAGTTGATTTGCTTAAGGTATGCATATTCCATATATGTGATACCATCTAATAACAGTCTTTCATTTCCTTATTATTTACACTTAGTATACATCAAATTCTATCCATTTTGTCCCAAAAGACTAATTTCACTTCCTTAAATGGCAGAATAATACTCCATTGTGTAAATATACCACAACTTCCTTTTTTACTTATACTTTATGTTGATTCAGTATTATGAATAATGTTTCTTTGAACATAGGGTACAGATACCTCAAATTAGTATTTTTATCATTTGAATAAATTGACATGTCTTCATATTTATTTGGATAAATGCCTGGAAGTGGTATTGTTGGATCATATGGGCTGTTTAGTTTTAGTTTTTTATGGAATCTATGTACTGTTTTATGTAGAGGCAGCACCAATTTACGTTCACAATAACCCTCTAAGTGAAATGAGTCGGAAAGAGAGGGACAGGCATAGAAGGACTGCACTCATTTGTGGAATATAAAATAACATAATATGAGGCTGACATCCAAGGACAGTAGAGACAAAGGCCAGGAATACTGTTCCATAGCCTGCTTCATGAGCTGGGGGAGAAGGCAGCTGGAATAGAGAAGGGATCACTAAGTCAATGATGGTTGAAGGGATCGTTCAGGATGGGAGATGTATGCTGAAAGTAGACACAGGACCAAACGTGATAGCCTCTCAGTATCTATACTGCAAATCATAATGCCCCAAAGTAGAGAGAGAGTATGGGGGAAATTGTCTGCTATTGAGGCAGAGGAAGGGCTTGGATGGAGGGGGGATACTTGGGATATTGGTGGTAGAATATTTGCACTGGTGGAGGGATGGGTATTCAATCATTGTATGACTGAAGCTCAAACATGAAAGCTTGTAACTGTATCTCAGGGTTATTAAAAAAAAAAAAACCTGTTCCATATTTTGTTCCCGATTTTCTTTTTTATTTAATTAGTTCTCATTAGTGTGAAATGCCTCATCATGGCTTTAATTTATATTTTCCCTGTAAGTGAGTAACATTAATTTTTTAAAGCCTCATTTTTTTATCCATTTCCAACAGTTCTGTATAATGTTAGGTTTGAATCCTCAGACTGACATCATTCAGAGCTCTGTATCTCATTTTAGACTGGAGAGGAATTTAGCTAGTAGGTAGAACCTAGAAGCAGATAGATTTTCTTTGCAGAGATTTGGGGGCAGGGGAGTGTTGTTCAGTGGGCATAAGGGTGTGCCCCACAAATGGTTTTCTAGGGGCTGGGGCCATTCACAGATCTACTTACCCAACCAGGCTGGACAGTTCATTTCTAAGATCCAAAGATGGAGTACTTCAGGGACCCACTGGGTCCCCATTTGGCAGTGGTTGGTACTGGTACAGCCATGTGGTACTGGCAATCAGACCAGGTCCAGCTGCATACAAGGCATGTGCCTTAATGCCTGTACTTTCTTTTTTGGTCCCTAGGTTTTCTTTTAATGTCTGGGAAAAAAAGCCCTCTGACACTCAGGTCCAAGAATAAATGAGTTTAAGAAGAAGCTGGGTATTTGCTTGCCAAAACTATTTGGAAACACATTCAAACACAGATGCATTATTAGATTAGATGACTTCTGATCTCAAAGATTGAAGATTTTAAAATTAGTTTGGTATTCCTATCAGTATAGAATAAATAACATTTGTGCATATATTTTCTTTAGATTTTTCAGTAACTGTAAAAAAGAACAGAAACATTTATTGACTCGCAAAATTTATCTTTGGTTATTTTTAAAGTATTCTGACATATTTCTCTTAAAATTTTGCTAACATTATAAGGACACTCGAACGTGGGTACACTTAAACTACTTCATATGAAGTCGTCTGTGTCTGACCAATCTCTATAGACAATAACCGATGCATAAAACATTTTCATTTCTGTTAAAGGCTGAAGGAAATTGACCAGAAATGTGTCAGTGGCAGAGCATAGGCATGACATATGTGAGGCCCTGGGAATTGATCTCAGCACTTAAAAAATGTTGTGGGGAAAGCAATATTCCATCCACATTAGGAAACAGAGATACTATACTCAGCATTCTTGAAAAGTTCTGGCTGGGCAGGGTTCTAACAGAGGTTGTGTAAATGTAAAATCTGCGCAATACCCCTAGCTTCTTTCACAGTTACTATATATATATATATATATATATATATATATATATATATATATTTAAATACTTGTTGAATTCTCTGATTTAAGTTCTGTTTTGCAATCTGCTCTTTTTTTCCTCTGTGTTTAAATACAAAGAAACATATTAGACAAGACGTGTATTTTTCAGATATTCCATAGCAAATTATGTTAGACTGATTTTAGGTAGTTTTAATTGTATAAAAGAATGGATCTTCCTTTCCCCTTAATGTAAAGTGTTATACATTTATTGGACAAATATGGTAGGAATAATGAAGGAAGTATTCAATTTATTCAAGTTAACAGTAAAAATACTTATACTCTTGCATGGACTTATTGTATTTTGGAATTCTTTGTAACTCTTTGACAGAGACATTCCAGAACTTCCAGAACGAGAAGAAGGAGAGGGAGAAGAAAGTGAACTTCAAAATGCAGCATATAGCAATTGGAATCAACCCAGGCGGTAAGGACTGTTTCTGTCTGATTTTTACTCGGTTTAAAGATAGGAAGGTGCAGTTTTAATTGCTGAATTACAAATTGGAGCAAGTAACCTCCCATTTCTTCTTATGTAGCATGGTAGACAATTGCCTCACACAGGCTTTGGGCACATAGTAGGGGCTTCAGTAAAGTTAGTTAGAGAACCTTATCCATGGGAAAAAGAATGAATAACATTTTCTGTAGAATGCTATCTTAGGTTGACCACTGTAGCACTATCTTCCTGTTGTTCATCAATTTGCTCGAGCAGGCACCAGTAACGTCTCCATCATGAGACTTGTTGCTACTGTTTTTGGCATATCAAATATGCCACAGGGAGCTTGCCAGGCTCTGCTGTGCGGGCGAGATACTCTCGGTAGCTTGCTGCGCTCTCTGAGAGGGATGGGGGAATCCAACCCGGGTTAGCCATATGCAAGGCAAATGCCTTATTATCCGCTACACTATCGCTCCATGTTGACCACCAGATGTTAATTTAAATCTTCTCTGGCACTTTTAGAAAACATATATTCAAACATTTATATTCAAAACTTACATGTATATAAACATTTTTAAACCACATGCTATGGTTATTTTAACCTATGATTTACCTAGTGTCAATTCCATTTGTAATAAAAAGAATGACTCCTAATTGTGGTCATATATAATCATCAAGCAACAATAAGGCATTTTTTCCTGTTCATGCCGAATATAATCAATTTAATGAGTTCAGATTATCAACCCAGTCTAGTAATTTTGAGGACAGATAAGTGTAAAACATAACCCTGCCTTCAAGGAGAAGTGATAATTTACTTAAAAAGGGAAGATGTAGAGAAACAAAATAATTAAGGTATAAGGTTAGTTGAATTAAGTATAAATTGTACATAAATTATAAATATCCATTGCATACTCCACTAAATAAAGTTGAGTTACATTTAGAAAACAACATTCTGTAATGAATAAATAAAATGCTCAAAAGAAATCACTTTTGCTCTTAGGAAATGTAATGTATTTGATGATAATTTTCCTTGCGCATAAATGAACTTGAATTTGTAGCCACACCATTTAAACACTTTCTATCTTGCATCATCTTATAAGTATGGAAAATATTTTTTTCATAAAAAATAGTCTTCTAAAATGATTTTTAGATTTGAAATCTGTCATAAGCTGTATAGCCTGTTGCAGAAATTGCTGTCTCCATTATTTTCTACAGAAGGAACAAAATATAAATGCTAGATCTGCACAAAAAAATGTGTATTTAATGTTTTTTCTTTTTAATTTGAGAATATGGGCAAATGAAAAACCATGAAATTATTTTGTCGCTCTGTTGTCACAGTGATAAATCTGAATATTGTTGTCTATAGCAGTCACATGAAAAGGGAAAGATAAATATAAATAAATGAATAAAATAGGGTGGAGAAAAAGTCAAATGAAAAGGAAGAGATAAATAAAAATTATTAAATAAATAAAATAGCATGGAGAAAAAGGAGTTTTGGGGAGGCAATATATGAAATGTTTTGAATAAATGGATTTGAATTCTAACTTTCTAAAACATTTCTAATCTCGGCTAGTTATCAGGTACTTTATCTGAAATGGACTTAATAAACTAGAGAGGAGTCAGCCTTATAGCAAATCCTTTTGCAAAGTGGCACCAAGTTGCGCAACACTTACAGAACTCTGCTATTTTCTGGGATTTTGTTTTACTGATTTATTATTTTTCTTTTTTTAAATGAAGTGTACTGGGTGTCTTTAATTTTGTGTCTTTGTATTACTGCAGAGCCTGGAAAAACTGTTGTTGCTATTGATGCATAACTTACTGCCATTGGCTTTTTATCTAAATATACATATATATGTATACAACAGTAAGCATACATATATTAATATGCACATATATATATTTTAGAAACTTTAGCTGTGCTGTCCACTTTGAAAATAGTATCCTGGATCGACCATGTTGGGTTGGCACTTTTGAGAAATTAATAGCCATATTGGTCTGAAACACTGAATATCGTTTTTCCCACTTACCTAGGAGTAAAACACTGTATTAAGTGTGTAAGATCTTATCTATATGGGTAAGATTACAGAAACTAATAAAGTTTTCTCAAAATACTTTGCATCCACTAACATACATAGAAAAACTAAGGTATCCTGAGATGAAAGGTCATAGAATGTTATGATGACACTTACTCAAATAATGATGGATGTTAGCAATTTTTACAAACATTATTTATAGGGAAATAGAGTATTTTAGTATATATACATTTTACTCTAATAAGCAATAGTGAGTTCTCTTTTTACTTTGGATGTGATAAATGCAAAGTAAAAGTAAACATCTGCGATTTGCAAGTGCAGAATCAGTGTCATAATGTATAAATCATTGTATAGATTTCTTTTTTCTAAGTTCAGTATTTTGCAGATCCATCATACTGGTATATAAAGACCTTACTCATTTGATGTATTTATTGTTTTACACTTCAGCATACAAATGTTCTGTAGTTTATCCCATCCTGATATTTGATTGGTTAGTAGCCATTCATTATGATATTATTCTGTACAGTAAATCCATTTCCTTATACTTATAAAATTTTATCAAAGCATATGTCTAGAATTAGACTTGCTGTCTCCTAAATAAATTTTGCTGAATTTTAAAGAAGTTATCAATCAAATGCTTTTAAAGGTAAGTTATAAATGTTTGAAGGCAATACTCTGTCCGTGCTTAGGTGCTGATATTTGCTTTGTGCCAGGGGTCACTCTTGGCAGTATTTGGGGGCCTAGTGGTGCTAAGGATCAAATTAAGGCCTCCTGCATGCAAAACGTGTGCTTAGACCTTTGAGATATTTTCCGTATATGAGTTTCTCTTTAGCTCATCCTCATTAGCTAGGAGATGATATGATAATTAAAATAACTGTTTTTGTCATTCTAAGAGGTAGAAAATGTTTTCTTGTCTTAATAAGCAATGTGTGATATAAAAAGACTTTTCCTTATTGTCATAGTGCTTGAATTTTATATCTTGCTAACATTATCACAGTGATCATAATTATTATACTATGTAGTAAAAGATTTATTACTATGTGACAAATCTTTTATACTTTATTCATTAATTTAGTGTCCCCTGTCCCTCTGATATTGAGACTCTTATTGGCCCTATTTCATAGCTGATAAAAAGTACAAAGAGAAAAATTAAGTTCCTGAAGGTGATACAATTATTATTTAGCAAAAGAGCATACCTTGGATTTGGGATTCTGGTGTAGCTCTCAGACAGCCTAACCTTTGAACTGTATTTTACCTTTAGTTTTCTAAATTTTATTGTAAAACACACACACATACACACACTCATATATATATATATGTGTGTGTGTGTGTATATGTATACAAATATGTAATAACCTACAGGTGTAGTAAGGAAGTTGATTTTTTTCTGCTAAATTAACCTGAAGCAGGATATATCTGAAAAAAGTTATAGTTCTCCTTTCATTACTTTCATTAAAATGGTTACTGTGTTATGTTCAGCATATAATTAATTGTATTTCTAAATTGTGGTCATTTTGTCAGCCTTCACTTGTTTATATTCTCCAATGTTTCATTGAGTTGCAGCCTTTCTTTTAGGGAGTGTATTAAAAGCTGTCTGTTCTCTGTTCCCTGTATGGAACGTAGGCTGCTATCATGCAAAGATGGTTTAACCTCTTTCCTATTCATAAAATGTGACTAAAAAGACCATCCACCTGATTAGAATAACATAAGAATTAGATGAAAGTATAGAGGACAATGTCAAGCACAAAATAAATACAATAAAGGTTTGATGATGATGTTATTTTTAGTGCTGAAGAAATCATTGGAAGTACTTTCTAATGTAATACCAACAACAAATACCCTCAGACATGTTTAATTTTATTAATTTATTTTTTCCTTTAAGAAAAGAATTTAGGAATTCAGTCCAATATTTTTTCAACTCATTTACTTATGATTGTTAATTTTGATTTTTTCTACTATTTTACCTAAGACACAGCTTTAAGAAATGAGAAATATTGTTGTATATAATTCCTAAAGTGAAGAAAATTATGAGTAGGTATTTAATTAGTTTAAACTATTAACATAAATTTGTTAAACACAAAAGTCCTGTGAGATCCTTTCAAAATAAACAGGTATAATTTCTAGAACTGTAGATTTCAATTAAAAAAATACCTCCCCAAAGAAAGAACTGTGTCAATGGTCACCTTTTGATTAGCTGCTTGGCCCCTAATTCTATCCATGGTGTGCTTTAATTCCAGCCTTTTCATAACTGGGATTTTCCTCATTGCATCAGAATATACCTCAAACCTTATCTCCTCACTGAGAAATCCTCATCTCTCACCTCTGAGTGCATACTTGAATGTCCAAGTACTTCTCCTTTTAATCTGCATGGAGCATATTAAAGTCTCATTAGTCTATCTCAGAACTCTCTGCTTGCTATATTTGTTTTCCTCCAGGATTCTGATGTCTACCCTCGTTTTGGCCAAATAACTTATTACAAATCACCTTGTTCTTATAACCTAGCCTTTTAACAAGAAATTATGGGATTTACTCATAACTGTTATAGCTATTCGCAGTTTATGGGTTTACTCTGTGGAGGTGGAAGTGCTTGCAACACAAAGGAAGTAGCAAGTGCCAGGGCCCTAAAGTTGGAGAACCTGCCCCTTGAATTTAGGTAACAGCAAGAAGATTATGTGGTCAGTGGGGTGAAAAGAGGAAAACAAGGTTCCATACAAAATAAATTGGGCAAGGTGGTAGTTAAATCAGAACATCTAGAATCTTGCCTTTCCTTTTCCTCCTAACTCTGACTCTTAGCAGATACACATAGTCAGAGATTTCCAAGGAAGTAAGAGTCCAACATAGTATATTTAGTAATGTTTATTTTCTTAATTTTGATTCCTAAGAAGCTACATGTATTCACGGATTGCTTGATTTCTTGATTAATGTGTGCAGTAATTCCTACATTGACATGTAACTTCTAAACTATTTGAAATGATTTTGTCTTGCTATTGGGAAAATTTAATAAGTTGAGCAAATCATATTAGCAAAAAGATAAGTATGTAACTTGTTCCACTGAATTTTTCAAGTTTCATTGTTTAAAAAACTTAAGCTATTTTTCAGCATGCATATCAGTAGCATAGTTATATTGTTATGTAACCATCACCACCCTTCAACCGCAGAATTTTCTTCATTCAACAGAACTGAAATTCTGTATTATTGCATTGTAACTTCTCATTCCCTCCACTCCCAATGTCTTATAGCAGTCGTTAATCCCTTTTCTGTATCGGTGGGTTTGAATATACTAGTTATGTCATACATGTGGAATATTGCTGTTTTTGTAAGCTTTATTTCACATACTATAATGTTTTAAAACTTCATCTTTGTAGCGCCCTGTGTCAGAATTTTCCTTCATCTTCAAGTAGAATAATATTTTGTCCTATGGATATACTAAATTGTTCATCTACTCATCTTTCCATGGATACTTGGAAAGATACCTATTGGTTACCATGAATAATAGTAGCATATTAATAATTATAACAATAACAGTGTGCATCTTTGTTTTTAATTTTTTAATCGTGTTTTAAATTTACCATGAATAATATTAATATATTAATAATTATAATAACAGTGTGCATCTTTGTTTTTAAATGCTACTTGGATTATTCTTTGGAATATAACCGGAAGTGGAATTGCAGATTAATCTAATAATTCAACTTTTAAGGTTTGAGAAACTTCCATACTGTTTTTGATAGTGACTGCAACATTTCACATGGCTACCAACATAGTATATAGGCAGTATACAAAGGTCCCAGTTCCGTACAAGTTTTTTTCATTTTTTTCTCACCAAAAATTTAAAAAATATACAGTAGCCACCCTAAAGGGCATATACTGGTATCTCATGGTTTTTATTAATATTTACGAGCGATAGCACAGCGGTAGAGTGTTTGCCTTACAAGCGGCCAACATGGCCAACCCGAGTTCGATTCCTCTGCCCCTCTCGGAGAGCCCGGCAAGCTACCGAGAGTATTCGATATGCCAGACACAGTAACAACAAAGTCTCCAATGGAGACGTTACTGGTCCCGCTCGAGCAAATCGACGATCAACGGGAGGGCCTTTACCTTTTATCTTTTTATTGTGATGTTGAGCAATTTTCATGTAGCATTTGTTCATTTTCTTTGTTTTTTGGCCACAACTAGAACTGCTCAGGGATCACTCCTATCAGGGCTGTGGGAAACATAGTGTAGTCCCTGGGGATGAACCTGGGTTAGCTGCATGGAAAACTAGTACATTACCCATCATCTCTCCACCCAATTTGTTGATGTTTAGAGAAATAAGTATTTTGCCCTTTTTTCAGTTGGGTTGTTTATTTTATTGTGATTGACTTTGAGGGGTTCTCTAAATATTTTAGAAATTAACCACTTATCAGATATGTTATTTACAACTAACTTTCCCCTCTCTATGGGTTGCCCCATTTACTGCTAGTATATATTTTTCTTTTTCTTTGTTTTTCTTTTGTGCGTGTCAGAGGTTCAGTGCGGAATGACACACCTGATGTTCTGAGGCTTCTTCTGGCTCTATGTTCAGGGACACTCCTAACTTCTTAAAGAAAAGCATAAGCAGTGCAGGGGATTGAACCAGAAATGGTTTCCTGCTAGGAAAAAACCTCTCTCCCTAAAATAGTATCTTTTGGTATGCAACACTTCTAGCTTTTTGTTTAAGTGTTGTTTGTCTGTTTTTACTTTTGTTCCCTGTGTTCCTGATGTCAGATCCAAGAAATTACTGTCACCTCTATTGCCATGATGTTTTGCTGCTACATTTTTTAAAGTTCAAAATTTTATTTTTTGTAGGGTTGAACTTTGGCGAGAACCAAGCAAGTCCTTGGGCATCAGCATAGTTGGTGGACGAGGGATGGGGAGTCGTCTAAGCAATGGCGAAGTGATGAGGGGCATTTTCATCAAACACGTTCTCGAAGATAGTCCAGCTGGCAAGAATGGAACCTTGAAACCTGGAGATAGAATAGTAGAGGTACCTCCTATTGAACCCTCTGTGCAAAAAGTTTCTGTTTGAGCTTTCCTTGGAGAATCATCATCATCATTTAGTTCGTTACCTCAAGTATTAGAGTCAAACATTTGTGGTTAAAAACACCCCTTTCATTGTGTTTCAGTTTCATTCAGAATTTTTCTCTTCAGTGAGTGCTTAGTTATATGTATCTTGATTTAGAGACTAAACAAATCAGTTTTTAAATTAAACTGTATAAAATATATACACATCTCCAAAAGGCATGTGCATCATAATTTAGTTCTTTATTTAAGAAGTAATTATCATTTTATTATATATATATACTTATTGGAGATATTTCCTTTCCAAGCAGATCATTTTGGTAAAATCTTTCATGCTAAGACCTCGTACAATTTCTTAGTACAAATTGTAAACAAATTCTTGTATTTTTCTTCATCTCAGTACTCTTCATGGTCATCACTGAGGACTGTGTGGTTTTGTATGTGTGCATATGAATGTGCACAAGTTTTATGTATATGTGTGTATGTAATTATATATATGTATATATACATATATATAATTTGAGAGAAAAAATTTTTATATTAAATTGAACCAAGTCCCTAAATGCAAAGCAGATGTTTTAATATTTTAAATAGCATTCTGTCAGAGTCACTCTCTTTACACAGGAAATATTCCTATTTTCCTGAAGCAGCCATTGCAATCTAGGTTCTATACTAGGCTCTGGGCATCTCATGAGAAGGTCATTGCCTCTCCCTGTCAATAAGGCAGAGTTTGCAGGTAGTCAGATCATTTGAGAATATTTGAAATTTGTTCAAGATTATCATGGTTTTGACTGAGAGCGAAAAGAATGGGTTATCTGCCCCAGGTAGGTTGTTGCCAAGGGTTGAGTTGAGTTTGTTGAGTTGCCAGGACTTACAGAACAGACTAAGAGACAGCTTTCTAGTAGAAATTGTTTTATTAGCATAGTGACAATTAAATGAAAGTCATTTTATAAATCTACCTAGATTTCACATGAAAATACCTTAACTGTATGTAGGAAGACTTAACAGTTCAACATTATAAAATAAACATTAAGGAACTTCATCTTTTATTGACTGAACATCATTGAAAGATGAAGAAGAAAGATTGGGACTTGAACAGAAATCAGGAACCCCACCTGTTGTTTTTTTACATTTTGAAGGAAGAGGATAACCTTTTCCTGTCCTCTCATGTCCATCCTTTTTTGCTTTGAGTTGGTGAGTGTGTCCCCAGAGGTGTTCAGAGGTTCCTTTCCATGATCCTCAGCTGACCATATGGTAGGTCAGTCCCTGAATCCTGTAATACCCTGGATTACCTCAGATACCCTGTTGGTGCTCTGGGGACCTTTGGGTCGCTGAGGTATATACTCATAGTCTGCTGCATGCGGGACATGTGTTTTAATTTGTATATGTATACACTGTATCTCTGGCCTAGTGCATCCTTACTTTTCACTAGATGCTAACTTAGCCCCTTTTTTAAAGACTTATAGTGCTATCTAAAATTCTGCTTTCAGATTTTCACCAGGAAGTTTATTTAATGCATAGGTCACTCTTAAAAACCTTTTGCCTAAGTGGAAAAAGTATTATTTATATTGCTCCTAGAAAGCCTTACTTGTTTGAACCCAATTGCTGTTTATATTGAGGGAGTTTAAATATCTCTTTCAAACTGAAAGTATTTTTTACTGTGTGTTATAAAATGCTATGTGTAATATAGCCATGGTCTATTGAATATCCTATGTACATGGGGTATATTTGTTAAATAGAAGGCTTAGACTAACTATGTAATTCTGGGGATTTTGAAACATGTCTCTGCTGAGTTTCTGAAAATGTAGGAGTAGACTAAATGAGGATGAGACTAGGTAAGTAGAGACTGATAGGCAAAGAATTTTATTATCACTGTGGCATCCTTAGGACTTGGCAAAATGATTTAACATTCTTTTTGTAACATATTTTGTAGCATTGTTTTCTTAACATCATATTTTTCTACTGATGGACAAATCATAGAATGTTATCAATATTTTAAATCTTCTAAAAATACTAACTACTATTTTATAAAAATTAGAAATATTTTTAAATATACACTGAAATAGATATTTTTATCAATCTTACGGAGGGTTTTAATTAAATGTACATATTATTTTCAAGGTGATAATGTTCTATGCAGAGATATAATTTTCCAAAATTATGCGCAACCTTACTTATCCCATATTTTGATTAATGAAAATAAAAAAAAATTGTATTATTGTAGTGTTTTGGGGAGATTAGCATTTGGCCTTTAAAAATCTTTTCCTTTCTGTTCAATTAGCATACAAAGTGATCTGATCTTCATCAAGGCAAACTAGTTAAATTGTTACAAAACCTATTTTTTTCTAGCCATTTATATAAGAACTACTATATTAATAAGCACAATTTCTTGGCTTTTAGCTTCTTTCTTGTTTACTGCAAAGATCCTTTTGTAAAACTAACCTTACTATAGTTGGATTTTTCTAAAAATTCGATTTTTGTTCATATTTTAAATAGAGAAATGCATAAAGCATCGACTACTCACTGTCTTTGAAAAACATGCTGTGATGAATTAGAGAAAAATGGGTATGGTGATTTTTATGATGAAAAATAGTGCTGCTAGGCAGTCCCTTCACATTATTTCTTTGATGACACAGAATCATCAATTTAGTGGAACTTAACTGTATAGGTAAAATAGAGGCAGAGCCTTCCTCTTAGCTGAGTATTATTTTTAGCTGATTACTGGTGGCACAAATCTGTGTGCAGAGTAAGAGAGGACAAGGCAGCCGAACAGATTCAAGTTTTGTAGCCTCATAATAGTCTCAGTCATTTTTGGTTCTGAAATAGGTTTTACAGTGACCCTCACTCCTGGATGCCGAAAACTCCAGATCCACAACTATTCTGTTGGTCTGTAGCTTCTTGAAATGTTAAGCTGAGGCCTTCCATTGCAGGTGGATGGAATGGACCTCAGAGATGCAAGCCATGAGCAAGCTGTGGAAGCCATTCGGAAAGCAGGCAACCCTGTAGTCTTTATGGTACAGAGCATTATTAACAGACCAAGGGTAAGCAAACACAAAGGGCACGGTAGGCATTTCCCAACAGTGTTCAACTTGGACTCTAGTGTATCAAGGGCCAAGTTTTCTGCATGAACAGATAACGGAGTCAAAATTTCAAAAGACAGTCTAAAGTTTGTTTGCTTTTCAGAGAAAAAGCAGTTATGGAAATCTCTCTGCCATGTTTCATACACAGGGGAAGTCTGTTGAAAACACACACAAATTGGACTCCTTGGTTGCCATAGGTGTGTAGAGAGATAATTATTGATGTTTTAGTCCCAAATTTGTAAGTTGTTAAGAGGAATATCGCTAGTCATTCAGATTAGTTCTTGCTCTCTGGTGGGGTCTCTGAGAAGCCAATGATATGGCGTTCTCTTTTTAAATATATTCTTTATAGCACAGCAGGTAGGGCCTTGCATGTGGCCAACAGGGCCGACCCAATTTCAATTCCTCCGCCCCTCTCAGAGAACCTGGCAAGCTACTGAGAGTATCTCACCCTCACGGCAAAGCCTGGCAAGCTACCCGTGACGTATTAGATATGCCAAACACAGAAACAAGTCTCACAATGTTACTGGGCCCGCTCAAGCAAATCGATGAACAATGAGAGGACAGTGACAGTGACAGAGTTCCTAGCTTTTGCAATTTTCTTATAGAATAATTAATTTATTTGTCTCTCCCACTGGATATTAAGTTCTCACATGATGAATTTTGTTTTAATTATCTATACAATAGTATTCTAGTGATTGCATGATTGCTTTATGCTTGGGAGGTACTTCCAGCTTGGTACTCAGAGGTCTTGGCTGATAGTACTTGGGTACCATGCAGTACTGGTGATGGAAACAGGACTTCTTGCATGCAAAGCATGTGCTCATTCTTTGAGGCATCTCCCCATCCCTGAAAACTGTTACGTTTATGTGCAGCAGTTTTCAGATTCACATGGGCTAATGCATCCCTTTGAAAATTCTTCAGAAGCATACACACTCACTGAAAAGTTAGCATAGCATTTCTGGAGCTTTTTTAGATGTCTTGAAATTCACAGTGATTTGCTTCTGTATTTCAGCTTAGAGCGACACACTGTCTTCTATACTTAAGAGGGAAATGCCCATATAAGTCAAAGATGCAAAAAGAATCATTTCACACTTAAAATAGTTAATTTTGGTTGTAAAATACTTTTCAATTTAAACGTTCAAAATTAAGAACTTAACGTACTGATGTTTGAATGATGGAAAGAAAGTAGCAATGAAATCAGTAAAAGAAAACCTGTCAATATTCTGTGTTCTGGAATACAAAGTGGCCAGATTTAACCTGTGGGTTTTTATTTTTTATTTGTTTTGTTCTTTTTTTTTTTGTCAAGACAGGTGTAGCTTCAGCCTGTGTTCATTATAAGAAATAAATTTAGTAGTTCTTAGTGTAAGTAGTTATCTCACATCTGCAGTTTTTATCATTCAGTTTTTATTGTTAGGTAATAATTATCCATTCACATGAGAAAATCTGCCAAATGGTAGGGCTGCATCATACTGCATTCTTTTCAAATGCATTCAGTTTGTTTAAATAACTACTTTTTTATTTTACTGTTGTTTCCATTTGTTGTGTTAAACATAGATACAGATTGATAGTGTTGGTAAATGGCTATTTAAGTTCAGTTAAAGCTTTTCTTTTTTTTTTTGGTGAGGGATAAGTTTCTTTCTTTTTTTCTTTTTTTCCCCATTATGTTAAATTCCTAACTTCTGATTATTTAGGACAATACACTAAAATGCTGAATAAGATTCTCAGTATAACTTTGGAAAACTTTAACTGCAAACATTTTTTTTCAGTGCTCTTGGTATAATGAGACAGGTAGATATTTTCTCACACACATGAAAAGCATTTCTACTTCACAATCAGAAATTTAACAATTTAACAATGCCTGATTTTATAGAAATTATTTCAGGGTAAATCTTGCTTAGAAGGGTTTGTTTAGTCAAGATACATGCAGCAGAGTCTAAGGCTGCTCCCCCAGAAGACGACTCCTTGATGGATGAAATATTCATCCATCAAACTGAAAGAATTTGAGAAATGGCAAGTGCTGGAAGAATTCTACTTCTCCACTTTCCCTGTAGTGTATTGTAAGTTCCTTATATGAGGGGGTACCCTCCATATAGACCCTGAGGGGTGCCCTCTGGGAAACAGACCCCGAAAAGAATCAGAATGAAGAGAACCTGCAGAGTTCCCCCTAGATTACTGATTACTGCCTTTCAATTGTAGAGGTGAAAAAATGTCCTCTTCTTTTTCTGATTCTTCTAAGGATAAAAATAATGAATGTACCTCTTTTTATATGGTTTATCTATATGAATTAGATTCCAAAGCAAATGGAACAAAATGCAGCCATGTGTCTTGAGCAAAGGAATGAGATAGGAGTCTTGCCCCAAATGAGAGAGGAGGGAGACACACAGGGCCCCATGACAAAGACCAGATACTCTCTTAATTAGTTGTTTGCTCCATCACATAGATCAGCTTCACTGATGGAAAGGTTATTTCTGATAAGATCATAAATCTGAATCATATCTCCAGCTTTCATTCTTCTAGATAGTTAAGGGAGTGGTAAGTTTCTCTTGACTTTCTTGCCCTCGGAAATAATACATATTCCAGTGTGCCGTGTCCTGGGGAAAGCCTATTCTGAACACCTTGGGAAGGAGGCCTGTCCTTCAAGCTCATATTCTCTTGTCCTATTATTTGCCCCACTATTTTATTTTCTTTCTAAAATGTAGTATGAAAACTCTCTCGTTGGATGATTTAGATTTTCATGATTTAGGAAGGCTTCCATACCACCTAAAATTTATATTTAAATAAATATGTCCATTTTTCCCTTGTTAGTCTTTTTTTAAACAAGTATTCCAGCCAAGAACCTCAGATGAGAAGAGGAAAGATTTTTTTCCTCCTCTATGCATGCATTTGCTTTAGGAAATCAGAATTAATTTTGCATTTAAACTGGGATTTTGTCAGTTATTTAATTCCTTATGGAAATAATCATGACTCTTCACCTCTTTGATTATTCAGAAATCAGTATTTTCCAGAAGTAGACCAGGTAATAATGGTCTTTACATAATTTAATCTGACATACTATCAACTAAAGGGTAGGCCCTGTTAATACAGACTGGAAAATGTTTAAATGTTTTTGACCTCCCTCTGCTTTCTCTTTGCCAATAACATTTCTATTTTTATCAGCTCTTGGGACTGTGAGCAGAAGTTTTATCATTGATTTTTTTAATAAGAAATGCAGTCTATTTCTATATCTTTTCCTAATAATACAGTGATCTACTGCTTCACTTACTATGGTCAAGCTGTACTTTTATACTCTGCTATCTGGGCCAAATTCTAATCCTATAGAGCTATGTAATTTTTTTAAATGCTAAACAAAATATGAGAGTGCTCTTTAAGTATTCCATATATGATTTTGTGCATTGTTCTGTGAGTTATAAGAGAAACATAAAAACCTAAAAAAATTCATGTATAAGGATTAGAATCTCCTTCTCACCCAGTATTGGGTTGTTGCTAGAATACATTTTTAATCTCTGCCTAGTAATTTCTTCCACCTTAATAAATGGTCATACTAGCATTTGTCATCTCTTTGTAAAGTAATAGTTGACATTTTCAACTGAAAATCAGAGAGAAAATTGAGATGAGCAGAAATGTCATTGTGCCCATTTCTTTTTCCAGTCTTCCCTCTGTAGGAAAAACATTGCAAGGAGAGCAGATTGAAAGGGTAATGTGGCATAAGCTTTAGTGCAGGCAGAATGAAGTAGGGTAGAGTCTTTCCAGAGAGTTCTCACATGCTGGTGGTATCACATGACAACCTCTCCCTTCTCTTCTTGCTTGCCAGTAGGACTTTTTTTTTTAGAGAGAGAAGTAACACAAACATTTAATTGAAGCCAAAATGAATTTAGATGTCTGCATTTTCCCCAAAGATATAGTCAATAAAAGAAAAAAACTGGTGTGAAAAGAAGAATTTATTGTGCTAAGGAAATTGCTTTTTTTTCTCCCGCCTTTAAACTATGAAAATGCTAAATTCTATCTGGCAGTGATCCTGCCTTTAATATGTATGTTCAACTCTAGCAGCCCTTGCTCAGGGCATATCATAAGCAAGCCACAAACCACGAAAAAGCCTCTGAACTAGGATTTTCAGATGTTACACAAAGGCTCATAAATCCTTCAGTGATATGGGAACGTTTTAGGGAATTCAAAGAAATTATGTTCCTATTCTTACAGAAAGTAGATACACAAATAGAGAACACCACTGTACAGTGATTTATTTCCTTTGAAAGTATTTGATTTATCTGTTTTAGTTAGAAAATACTGTTGATTTTAGTATATTGCAAAGTATAAAAAGTTTTTTTTTAGTGGGAAATAAGAATAATGAAGGTTCCCAATGAATTAACAGGCAGTTATTTATTTTGCATTTTGGAATAGAATATTTTTTCTTTTATAAAAACTCCTTAATTTGCTTTTAAATATAAAAATGACGTATGCTCTTAATTTTTAATTGCTTAGTGATATGCATGAAACATCAACATATAAAGTGGTATATATAATATATATATGCATCTGTCTGTGATAATGAGTGCATTTATTGAAAATAAAAGAAATTTCAGATAAATTTGAGACTTGTTTCTTATGTTGTTTGTAACCAGAGTTAGAATCAGGTCTCTATAGATAAACCTTTATTTCCAGACTGCGTAAGATGTGATTAATTAATAAATCTCACAGGATATGTCTTCGGTTATTTGAATCAGTCTGTACTTTGTTCTTAAAACCGAGTTGTTTGAAATACTTCCTTTTGCGCTCAGCGCCTCTTATGTTTCCTTTTAGAAATCCCCTTTGTCTTCCTTGCCGCACAACCTTTACCCTAAGTACAACTTCAGCAGCACTAACCCATTTGCTGATTCTCTACAGTTCAACGCTGACAAGGTTGGATAATGCCCATTGGCTTGCCTTTTGTGAATGCTTTGCTCTGTGTTTCTACTATGCCTTTGTCCCAGTTCACTGTTTGTGAAATATGGGCAGGAAAAAACAACCGCCAACAACTGTATGTTTGGAGTGGGCATGCGAATCCTTTCTTAAGCTCATTATCCTGTCAGAGTATATAGATTTTTATTCTTCATAGAGTAAGGGAGAATTGCAATTAAGTCCATTGCCTTTTTGATTTTTTTCATGTGAGTGACATTAACTGATACTTAAATTTTTGGCAGTTGTGAAATGTATAAATTGCTTTCACACATAATTGCTGGAAAACCTTTTATTGATTTCGATTCTCTTGATATAATGTGTTTCTAACATTATTTTCTGTAAAAGTTAATTACTCAACAAATAATTGTATGTGTAGGATTCTTTTAAATATTCATAATGTGTGCCCATAAAAGTCCCTGAATCAGGAATATGTATCTTACTCAAAGCCTTTCTATCTATAGTCTCATATTCTGATGGAATTATAAATCTAAAATTGAAACAAATTTGCAAGAATTTATGTCGTATAAATTGCCACCAAAAAATGGAAGGATAGCTATCAACATTTCTTTTATAAAGCATTTTATGAATATTCATTAAATTTTCATGTTACTATAATTTGGATTACCAGAAATGCCGTATCTGAAAGAATATGTTTTCTGTTACTGTAGGAATTACAGAATTCAAGTAGAATTATCTTCCGTTGTTCCCCAACTAACCCTTTTGCTCCCACACCATTTAAGGTTTGTTAGTGTGAAATTTCCATGAATAAGTGGGTCTGCTGCAGTATGCTATGTGTGTTTAACGTGTGTATAACATGTTATACTTGATGTATGCATACATGGCATGGAGTGACTTAGAGTACTCTTTGCATTTTTGCCAATGGTCACAAAGTGATGTCTGTTAAAAGAGTTCTGTTTTCTTTTAGTCAATTTTAGGAACTGCCAAGAACTATCTAAATGCATGGTCTCAGTGAAAATGAAGTTTTTAGGAGTAGTGCATAGTACACCTAACTACCCCTTTATTAAATACAGACATATTAATTTGACAATTGATATGTTAGGCCATCATTTTCATTTACTCTCAGCATAAAAGTATTATGCCTAAGTAAGTTCCTGAATAGTTTTTTTTAGATAATATATATACATATATATATATATATATTTGCTTTTTGGATCACACCCAGCAATGCACGGAAGGCTCTGCACTCAGGAATCACCCCTGGCGGTGCTCAGGGGACCATATGGGGTGCTGGGAATCGAACCCAGGTTGGCCGCGTGCAAGGCAAATGCCCTACCCATTGTGCTATTGTTCCAGCGCCAGTATATTTCATTTTTAAGGAAAAAATATTCTTAGAAAAGCTACACCAAATAAAATCTTTAAGGTTTTCATCTGTATGTCTATTAAAATAATGAAATGTTTACATTAAATTTTGTTATACATTCCAATAAATACAACTTTAACTCATCCTTGCTAAAATTTCCCATTGTTCAGAGACATATATAAAACTTCTGAAATCTGAATTCCCCTATGTCCAACCGTAGTATATTTAATAAAACAGTTGGATTAAATTTTGACACTTTTTGTTCATACATTTTCACTTGTACAATGCTAATGTGAGAAATTCATGTTACAGCACTTGAGAAGATAAGAAAATTTGTATTTGAGGTAGTAATCTCTACCTTGCCAATTGTCTATAAGTCAAATTATTTAACATAGCACATTTGTAAATTAAAAATCTATTGCCTGTACATTTCAATCAGCCTTCCTGTACTTGTGAAAAAAATGATATTGATGTTTATTAGGCTTATCTTTTGCTGAGCTTAAGATTCCAGAATACTCTATGTTATCAAGGAAAGTTTATATTGAGTGCCGGATAGCTTTAGTATTAGTTATATTTTACAATATTCCAATTCTTAACACCAACTAATAATATTGGATATTTGGGCATGCCTATATTTGTATCATATTTTAGACATATACATCACGATCACAACCATCCTGTTATTCGTCAATTGCCTCGAGCAGGCCCCAGTAACGTCTCCTTCATCCTAGCACTGAGATTTTTTTAAAAAGTGCCATATTCAAGGGTTCTTTCAGAGTTAGAAGAATAAGACCCATCATTGTTACTGGTATTTGGCATATTGGGTACTCCACGGGGAGTTTGCCAGACTCTGCTGTGTGGGCAGGTTACTTTCGGTAGCCTGTCAGTTTGTCCAAAGTAGGAATGAAATAATAAGATGTCACAATAAGATGTCGCGCGGCCGCGACATATACATATTAAATAAAATAAGGTTTATCAGAGGTATTTTTGTGTTAAAAAAAATCGAAAAATGTTCAGCATATTAGGGACAACTTCACAGCATGATTGGAACTTTAGCTAGCTATCTCTGACCCTTGAATTTGTATGTACTCTCTTAACATGGAAATTTGAGGAGACAGTCTGATATAATGTAAAATGTACTGGATTAAGTAACAGGTAAAATACTGCCATGTAATTTTGACATTTCTTATTCCTTAGATTATGCATCTATTAAAATTAATAACAATTTCAGCCACTAGGACCTTTCAAACATTTAATATCCTGTAGTTCGAATGTAAGAATTTGATAATACTAAATCCTTTTTTTTAAAAATAAACTTACAGTCCCAAATGACAGCAAATATACCATAGTTTGAGTTAATTTGAAGTACTCTTTCATACTTCCTCACATGTAAGTGCATTGGCAAGAAAATGGTGGTTTAGTACCTCGGAACCAGCCCCTCATATCTGATTTCGTGCTTTGTGCTAACAAGCGGCTCCCAAGCTAGTCGAACGTGCATGCGAGATGCTTGCTTTCATGGATGTTGTTTGAAAGATGTATCTGAAGAGAGGATTCAGGTAGCAATAAAGTTTCTTCATATTTAGTTTTATAAACAAGGTTGGAGACTTCATTTCTTGGTCATTTTATTTCTGTTTTAATTTGTTTTTTTATAATTTCTTGGAAGATTTTATGGATTCCTAAATCTTGTCCAGATCCTTGTACATTTATGATACTTTTGAATGAGAAGTGTTTTCACAAAGAAGTTTGTGTTATTTTTTATGTTAAGTAATTTAAGCTTTTAAATTGAATGATGCCCGAGCCTCAAATGCCAAACAACAGTCCAATGTGTTATATTACTGGGCAACTATTTTTTAGTGTGATTAAAATTTACCTGAATCCTATCTACACTATAGCCTGTAGATTGCATGTGTGTATATATTTATCTTTACCGTTATTTATATGTCCTGTATTTTAAAGCCAGGCTTTGATTTGGTTTTGTCCTCATATCTTTTCCTAAAGTTTTTCTTTTTTTAGACTGCACGTACCCACTGCATTCCTTTTGTTCCCACAGGCACCCAGTCAATCAGAATCAGAGCCAGAAAAGGCTCCACTGAGCCATGTGCCTCCACCTCCGTCTTCAGCATTTGAAGAAATGAATAATGATAGTGTACAGTCATCTGCAAGCAAAGTCTCAGAAGATGTGGACGAAGAGGATGAGTTCGGTTACAACTGGAGTAAGTTGTCTTTATGTAATAAATTTGATTACGAGATACAGTAAAAGAACTAGGCTTCTCAAGGCCTGTGCCCTAGATGAATAAGTTCGTTTTAGATTTACTTGCATATACTGCAGTTTTGTCTGGGCGGGGGAAAAAAACTGTTTGTTTTGCATGAATACAGCACACATTCCTGAGACATGAAATCATGTTTTCTCTTTCCTTTATTGTAGATTCCTATTAAAACCCGGTTTTCTCTTTGCAGGAAAATTAGTGTTGGATAGCCACAATGTGCTTATGAGTGACCAAGTCACTGCCTCTCTCTCAGCCTCAAATTCCTCTTTGTTAAAATATTTGTTGGTGAGGTTCACTCCATGGCTTGGAGGCCAGTCGCACATGCTAGGGAAAAGGCAGCTCAGATAGAGAACGGAGCACCAAGTAAATGGTGTTGGGAGGATCCTCCCAGGATGGGAGATGCATGCTGAAAGTAGACTATAGACCGAACATGATTGCCAATCAATGCCTCTTTTGCAAACCACAGAACCCAAAAAGGGAGAGAGTACAAAAGGGAATGCCCTGCCACAGAGGCAGGGTGGGATGGGGGAGATGGGGGTTGGGAGGGATACTAGGATCATTGGTGGTGGAGAATGGGCACTGGTGGAGGGATGGGTACTCGGTCATTGTATAAGTGAAACCCAAGCACAAAAATTTGTAAGTCTACAACTGTACCTCATGGTGTTTCACTAATAAAAATTTTTTTTAAAATTTTGTTTTGGGACCACACCCAGCTGTGCTCAGTGCTTATTCCTGACCCTGAAACTTAGGGAGCACTCCTTGCAGGCTTGCGGGGACTATATGAGGTGCTGAAGGTTGAGCACGGATTGGACACCTGCACTGCAGCCTCCTCCCTGCTGAACTATCTCTTCAGCCCCCAAAGAGAATTGTTTCTATTTTTCCTTAAACATTTGAATTTTATGTTTTTTTTTTAACTAGGGTGGTAAAAGTATAATTGTTTAGATCAAAACTTTGGTTGTTCAGACAGCTATGTTGCCATGCTGTTTTAACCTGGTAGTTTTTCGTCTTTTTAAAATGTAGTTCTTATTTAGATTGTTAACTGCACATCAGACAATGTCTGAGGAGTGCTAAGAACAGTAAGTCCCCAGAGATAGCTGCTGTTAGGATCATGGCCAGACTTCTGTTCTTCAAAAGAAATAACCTTTTTTTCTGGAAAATGTGAAAAAAATTAGTTGTTCTAAATCTGTCAGTTTTTGAAATATTTAAAAATGCCATTTATTTCGTTTAAGAAAACTTTGATTTTAGGAAGTAAATAGTGTAAAAGTCATGCTGTTGACTTCCAAATGGCATCAGGAAACAGCAGTTTATGAAATGGATTAACTAAGAACAATGTAGAATGTATGATAATAGCAACATTTTTTAAGAGATTTAGATGTTTAATAAATACGAGTTTTTAACTTTCAGTGAACATTGAGTTTATAGTACTCATTCATAAAGGAAGCCAGGAAATACATATTCTGAGGAAAATATGAAGCGGAAGGGTTTTTTTTTCTATTGTTGTATAACAAGCCATGTTATCACTTAATGGCTTAAGTTTAATGTTTTCTGTTGTTGTTGTTGTTACTCTGCCTGCCGAGGTGCTGTGGTTGACTGGACTCTACTGCGTGGTCTCCCAGATACTCACTGTGCTTGGCAGTTACTCAGGCTGAGGACCTTTGATACCTAAGTGTAACTCCACCTCTCTAGTTAAAAAATAATCTAAGCCTCTTAGCATATGAAGGAGCGAGGTGTAAATAGTCTAATTTCATTTCAGATTTGTTTCTGAAAGCTGGATCAGGTACATCAAGGTGTCCTGGCTGTAAAGATGCCATGCAGTCAGAACCCCCATTTCCTTTATTCTGGTTGAACAGCTGTCCAATGTCATGGGATGGGCAAAGTAGATGTCCTTAGTAGAAAAGCTTACATTGGCCAGAAAAAAAAAGTCCTGGGTGTTTTATTTTCCTTTACAAATGATAAAATAAATTTCTGATTCTATCTATAGTTGGGTTTATTCACATGAACAGTTCTCTTGGGCAGCATTACTCCTGATTAGGCAGAAACTGGACTTTCTGCACCCTAGTTACAACAAATTCCTCAAAGTTTCTGTATTCCAGGAAATCATTTATGATACTCATATGACAAATCTAAGAATTGATTGGCGCTCCTTAAGAGTCAAGAAGTATATATTAGTAGAAATAATGCTGTTTTGATATAAAACTAATATCCTAGTAAAATATTCAGTATGGATTACCTTTATTTTTCATAGTTTTATCCTGAGGTTTGTTTTTTACTATATATAAATTCTAGGTTTCTGTTTAGGAAGGTGGGAGAGTGGGTTGGTTTGGTCCATACCTGGCAGTGCACATAATTTACTTATGGCTCTGTGCTGAGGGATCATTCTTGTGGTCCTCAGGATACCTTTTTGTTACAGGAATTAAACTGGGGTCAGCCACATGTAACACAAGCACCTTAATCTCTGTGCTCTCGCCATAAATTCTGTTTTTCTTAATGAGCTCTTTTGCAGAATATGACCTGTTGTAGGAACATATATCTTTGAAATAGTAAAACTCTTACAACTGCATCAAAAGTTGAATATGATTCCTAGGGGCCATATCAATAGTATAAAGTACAGGGTACTTTCCTTGAATGTGACCGACCTAGGTTCAATGCCCAGCATCCCTTATGGTCCCCTTAGCACCACAGGAATAATTCCTGAACATCGTTGGGTGTGACCCAAAAACAAACAAACAAGTTAAAGATGATTCCAAGAAATGACTGATTTAGCAAAAAAACTAATTATAAGAGTCTTGCAAGATTATTGGATTTCTCTGTAAAATACCTCTAAAGTCATTTTAACTTGCATGATGTATTTATCACTACTGTTTTAGCGATAGAGAAATTGACTTTTCATTTGAAAAACTGCAGAAGCAGAGATCATTAGTTCTTGAAATTAATGACAGGATAATATACTCATTTTATTAAAATCATTTGGGATGAATTAACTCTTCATATTTTCTTTTTTTCATATGTAGGATATATCAGAGAACGATATGGAACCCTAGTAGGTGAACTGCATATGATTGAATTGGAGAAAGGTCGTAGTGGTTTGGGCCTCAGTCTTGCTGGCAACAAAGACCGATCCAAGATGAGCGTTTTTATAGTGGGAATTGATCCAAATGGAGCAGCTGGGAAAGATGGTCGATTGCAGATAGCAGACGAGCTTCTAGAGGTTAGTTCTTATAGAAAGAATGGAATGAACTCTTGCTGTACCCATGCAAGGGAATCATGGAGATACAGAAAATCTACCCAGGCATCATATGGTGACTACAAAAACTATCAGTTACCTAATAAAATAAATACATTTCAGCAAATTTGGCTCTAAACCAAACGTCTATTAAGTAGAATCCATATTCCCATTAGCTTCCATTTAAAGGCCATAACTGTGTAAGACAAGAAATAATTTTGCCTCGAGATAGTAATAAAAATCACACTTTGAAAAAAAATTTTGCACTATATTGTCACTAGAGGCTTTTGATGAGCCAAATGGTGTGTCACTCCCCAATAATGAATGACCCAGTGGACATTCTGGAAGTTGAGTTCATAATGCTAGAACTGCTGGGTGTGGAGTACAAGAGCATCAACTTTAAGCCCAATAACAAAAGCACTAACTCCGCCGGCTAAACAAATTAGTGCACCATATTTTATGACATTTGTTACTGTATTTGCTTTCTTTGTCCTTGCATCCTATAGGCTGGAATCCTTTTTTTCCCTTAAAATAATTAATACTTTTATTTCTAACTTTTTTAAGTTAGGAAAAAAATTAGGCACCATAGTTTACAATATTTTTAATGATAAAATTCCAGGCTTACAATATCCCAATTCCACACCAACCACCAGTGTCACCTGTCCTGTATCTCAGTCTGCTTCCTTTCTGCTGCCTTAGTAACCCTCTTTCCAGGCCTAGTGTATTTCTCTGATATCAGCTGATATCAGACAGCTCAGTCAGCTGTGGGTAACGGACTGGAGGACGGCTGTGTTTCTTTTAAGTATTGTGTCATTCAGGCACATTTTGCTGCTTGAATACTAACTTTGCTGGCTTCTCCCAGAGATTAAGTCCTAGGGTTTGAAATTGCTTCTCCCAGTGATTAAGTCCTAGTTTTTGCATTGTAGGAAATATGATAATAAATGACTACAGAGATTTCCTGTTGATCCTTTGCTTTGTGCAGGGCAGGTTGTAAGCCCAGTGTCTGTGACAATTACTTTGTACACTGCTTTGGTCCATGAGGTGTCTCTTTACCAAGAGTCCTTATCAGACCACATGGATGGCTTACTGAAGCTGCCTTTAAGTATGAGTTTTTCTTTATTCACTATAAAAGTTAGGCTCGTGTTCTGAGAAGAGGGGAAATTATATGTAGGAGATCTCAGTTGACTTCCTGTTAATCATCGATTTGCTCGAGCAGGCGCCAGTAATGTCTCTGTTTGTCCCTGTCACGTGCTAGTGTGTCCAATGGCATCTGTTCATTCTAGGAACACGAAGAGCCTCAAATCGATTGTTCAGGGTCTTGACGAAGAAGTCTGACCATCTTGTAGGTGGGCGGCCACGCGGTCTTTTGACGTCCTGTGGAATCCAGTCGGATGAGATATATAATATGTATATATTGTTTCAAAGGAAGACACCTGTGCTTTTTAATTAGCTAGATAGAATGATTCGATTTTATGAAATTAAGATTCCAGCCTTGGTATTTATTCCTTACAGATAAATGGCCAAATTTTATATGGAAGAAGCCATCAGAATGCTTCAGCAATCATTAAATGTGCCCCATCTAAAGTGAAAATAATTTTTATCAGGTGAGTATTTTTTTTTGGTACACATGACACTTTTGTTAGTTTTTCAGTTCTGTTTAACTTTAAATAAAATTATTTTTGTGTGTTATAATTCTAGAGCTTTGGAATTACTGAATTTAATAATATTTCTTATCCTTCACATGAAATAATTAAAATTATGTGAACCATTATAACAAGATAGATCAATGCATTTTCTTTCAGAAATAAAGATGCATTAAATCATATGGCTGTTTGTCCTGGAAATCCAGTAGAACATTTGTCTGCAACATCAGAAAATACTCTGATTAAAGAGGTCTGTAGTTCATGTTTGTTTTTCTGGGAAGGTTTAACTGATGTAGCACATATTAATCCAGAAAACATTATAAAACATATACATGAGATTAACAGTCATAACTTTGGCTCCCAGGGTTTTATTATTTAAACACATGTAAATAAGTGTGCCCCTTATATTAAGACTACCAATAGACTTCACATAGAAAATAATGACAGAAAAGGAGTTGTCCTGTCTCTTGAGAGAAGGTAGAAATAAGAATGCAGAGGAGGTTGAACTGAAGCATATGTTTGAAATAGATTTGAGGCAATTATTGCAAATATAGGGAATGAAGTGAGAACTGGTATTGTACTCACTCCATTGGAAAATCCAAGGAACTGAAAATTACAGAACATTACTGAACAGTTAAGGCAGAGAATGGAAAAATTATAAGACCAGGGTTTCTGAGAAAGGAGAGAGGGTTAGGTCTTATGAAACCTGATAAACATTAGTCTTTATAGTAGGAGAGAGCTCACCAATATATGAGAATTGTATTTTAAAGAATGCTAGAAATAGTGCAGAGAAGAATCAGAGAAGGAAAGTTAAGTTAAAGGAAAGGGAAAATCCCTGATGTAATTCAAGAGAATTGTAATGCAGACTTGAATAATGCAAAAGGTTATAGTTGGGTACATCTGAGTTCTATAAGTCAAGTTAATGTAACTTTGTCCCCAAATAAATGTACTTAAAAAGAAAAATGAGTGAGACTTTATCTAATAAATACTTGGTGTCCATCTTCTGTTCACCATGTTTTTAGTTGTGAACAGGAGCATGAGTTAAACAGACAAGATAGGCAAGACTTTTAGGTATCTCACTTGGTGATTTCATTGGTGATTGGCTTTGACCACCATAGAAAAATTAAAACGAGGAGCAGATATTTATAGTATAGAAATGCAGAAAGATCCATTGCCAGTGGGAAAGCTTATTTGAAGGCATACAGTTGGATATTTGGACTATTACAGTTTAGAGGTGAAGTCCTATAGATAAACATGTGGCATTTGATAGCCACTGAAATTGAAACTTTTGCCTATAGAGATAGTTTACAAGAAGATGATGTCTCAGGTCAGAATTTCATAGCCTCAACAATATAGAGAATTGCTAACAAAGAGTGATCAGAGAAGATTAAGAACCAGATTGTGTGTTGTCCTGCAGCTAACAGAGTATATTCCAGTAACAGGAGTAAATTCCTCAAACTTCAGTGCCGTGAATATATCAAATCAGAAAATGAAAAAGACTGTGTTGGATTTGTAAATTAGGAGATTGCTGCTGATTTTTTTTTGAGGGAGCACATGGTAGAAAAGAAATTAGGAGAGATAAGTCAGTTGCTCAAGGTTTACAGAGATGTGGAGTTGTGTGTGTGTGTGTGTGTATGTATGTATGTGTGTGTGTATGTATGTGTGTGTATGTATGTGTGTATATGGGGGCATTGTCCTATGGTGGAAGGTTCTGAGGAGGTCCAGAGACCCCTCCCAGAAACTCTGGGACTGCTGGGCCATTGTTCAATGCTCAGAACCAGGATGTGGAACTCTTGGGACCATAGGTCCTTGGGAGTACATAGTCCACCATAGTAGTGCTTGGGGGCCTTCAGGATCACACCAAGCAGTTTTTAGGGGTCTTTGGGCCTCAATACATTCATGCTCAATGGCCCCTGTGCTGATAAGGATGGAACCAGAATCTGTCTCATGCAAGGTCTAAATATGCCTTAATCCCTGTACTGTTTTTCTGGTCCCTAAGGGTTTTATGATGGGGGTTTTCTTTTGATTTAGAAAAGTTTTGAATATGTACTTAAGATGAATAAAAGGAGGTTGTAACTGTGCTGAAAGTTGGTAGAAGAACAAACATCACAACCTGTCAGTATCAGTATCGCAAACCATAATTCCCAAAAAGAGAAAGAGAGAGAGAGAGAGAGTCAGAGAGAGAGAGTCAGAGAGAGAGAGACAGAGGGAGAGAGAAAGGAGACAGAGACAGAGAGAGAAAACAATTGACCAGATATATACTTTGGTATAAATAGCAAAGATGCATGCTGTATGTTTAAAATGATGTTCATAAAATTGTTATTACCATGGAAGAACATATATAATAGAATATTTTAAGAGTATTATTTACCATATATATATATATATATATATAGAGAGAGAGAGAGAGAGAGAGAAGGAAAGTTCTTGCCATAGAGAGAGGCTAGTGGATGAGGGGAAGGGGCAGTGGTGGGAGGGAAAATGAATATTGTAGTGGGAAATGTAAACTGGTAGGAGGGTGGGTGTTGGAACATTGTATGACTGAAATCAGATAATAAACAGCTTTGTAACTGTGTATCTCATAGTTATTCACTAAAAAATAAATATTTTTAAAAAGGAGGTAATATAAGTGAATTGTTTCATTTTATATTTTTTCAAATAACATTACTAAATAGAATATAATGAAATAAATGTCATGAAATGTTAAATTTAAAATAAGGTAAAGGTAAAGGCCCTCCCGTTGATCGTCGATTTGCTCGAGCGGGCCCAGTAACGTCTCCATTGGAGACTTTGTTGTTACTGTGTTTGGCATATCGAATACTCTCGGTAGCTTGCCGGGCTCTCCGAGAGGGGCGGAGGAATCGAACTCGGGTCGGCCACGTTGGCCGCTTGTAAGGCGAACGCCCTACCACTGTGCTAATTAAAATACTTCAAATAAGTTTAAGTGATTCTTACATTTACACAAAAATAAGTGAATTTATTACTCTTTGTTAACCCCTATCAGGCTGAACCAAATGTCACTACTTCTGATGCAGCTGTGGATCTCAGTTCATTGAAAAATGTGCAGTATCTTGAGCTTCCCAAGGTAAGGCTGATTTGAATTGACATAAAATGAAGTGAGTACTTTTATAGTAATGCCACGATTCACTGGTTCCTTACATGAGTGATCTCAAACAGAGTTACCAACATGAGTATCACCCAGGATCTTTGTAGGAGCAATAGTACAGTGGGTAGGGCATTTGCCTTGCATGCTGCCAACCCAGGTTCAATCCCGGCATATCATATGGCCCCCAAGCACTACCAGGAGTAACCCCTATGCATCGCTGAGTGTGACCCAAAAAGGAAAAAAAAAAAATGGCTGTTGTCTGAACCCATTCAAACTGCTTAAGACTGTTCTGAGTTGAGCCTACACTGTGTGCTTGGCTAAGTCCTCTCTGTGATTCCAATCAGTTTAGGAAGTTTAGGAAGCACTGTGCTAATTGAGAATTTTTTGTCTTGCAAATTTTTATTTTCAGACACAGAGTTTTTCTTTTTCTGCCTTTATCCTAGTTAGAGAATTTAATTTACTTTCTTCAGATTTGTTAACTTAGGACCTACTTTAGGGGATATTAAAAGATTCTAGAAAAAAAAATTAAAGTCTGTGTCCTTCATACAAACTGAAATTTGAAATAACTAGGATTTTCCACTGATAGGCATTATTGAGGTGTTTGTTTTATCTTGAATTTTTAAAAAATTATTTTTGTGGTTATTTTGGGTTTGGGGCCCTACTTGTTGTGCTCCTGAACCGTTCCTGGCTCTGTGCTCAGGAGTCCTCCTCCTATCACAAGTGACCACCAGTGTGATACAAACAAAAAATATATTTAAAAAAGTATGTAATGTTTGCTATAAATTTCTTTATATCATTTAACCTTTTGTAGCTCAAGGACATGTCTTGTGATAAACCTTCAAGAGGATATATTTTCTATAAATCTAAATTGAGAGAAGAATGCTCTTATAGTCTCATTAATTCTCACTATTCTATGGTGCTTCATACTAAATATTTAGAAGGGAAGAATAAATGAGTGCTTATGTTTATCATATGCATAGAGTAAAAGAGTTGAGATTAGGAGAGTAGAAAAGAGTAACTGTCTCAGAATGGAAATGTTTTTGTTTTTTGTCTTTTTGGGTCATACCTGGTGATACCCAGAGATTACTCCTGGCTCTGCTCTCAGGGTTTACTCCTGGCGGTGCTCAGGGCACCATATGGGATGCGGGGTATCGAACCTGGGTCGGCCTTGTGCAAGGCAAGCGCCCTATCCACTGGGCATTTCTGGTTCAGTTTTCACATCTTAGAAACGTTCTTGACAAGTTCACTAGCCTTCTTTAATTTCTTCTGTTTAAGTTTCTTTTCAGAGGTTTCAACTAACTTATCATGTTTGTAATCTGATCCCTCCATGATTGTAATACTAATTTGGTATATTAGAAAAGAATATTTTGAGTAAAAATTTATTTTAAGCAAAATTTACCCTTTGAAAATAGTGTTATAGAAAAACTGCTGGTGACCTTATGAACATACATTTCAGAAATATATTTTATATCCATATAATTTTATATGGTAAAACTCTTCAGTTGAGGTCCTCTTTATGGTATCTGCCAACTTTAAAATAGTTCTCCTGATATTAATAGTAGTTTGGCTTAATTTTAATTTAATTTTTATTTTTTTCTTCTTAATTAAGCATTTGCTTCTCCCTAAATATATCCCCTTAATTTTCTATACACTGTAAATTTTATTTTAATAACTAGCCTACAAAAGTGTTTCTCAGGTGTTTCCCCGCTAAGAGACAGAATAGAGATGTAAAGTTGGACAGTTATTTTAAAAAGTCTCATGTATGCTTTGCATATGGTAGACCCCATTTTAATCCCCGGTCTCCTGAGCATCCCGGCAAGCTTCTGAGCATTTCCAATTTTGGGCCAAATGGTACCAAACTATACCAGGATGGCCCTGCTAGTTCCCATTACCACACAGTCCAAGCACCCTTCATTCCTGGCTCTTTGCATTGAATTGTAGACCTGATTGACCAAGAATCACAATGAAGAGGGTGGAGTGATAGCACAGCAGGTAGGGCATTTGCCTTACATGTGGCCCACCCAGGTTCGATTCCCAGCATCCCATATGGTGCCCCAAGCACCGCCAGGAGTATTTTCTGAGTTTTCATATTTTCTCATGAGCCAGGAATAACCTCTGTGCATTGCCAGGTGTGACCCAAAAAGGACAAAAAAAAATCACAATGAATTGTTCCCATTGAGTACCGGTTCAGAATTTCCATCAAAATAGTCTTGATCCGAGCTCCCATTTGACCCAGCAATACCACTCCTGTGAATATATCCCAGAGAGTCAAAAAAGTATAGTCGAAATGGCATCTGCACTTCTATGTTCATTGCTGCACTGTTCACAATAGTCAAACTTTGGAAAAAACCCGAGTGCCAAAGAACAGATGACTGGTTAAAGAAACTTTGGTACATCTACACAATGGAATACTGTGCAGCTGTTAGAAAAAGATGAAGTCATTAAATACATACAAGTGGTTCTACATGAAAAATATTATGCTAAGTGAAATGAAACAGAAAGAGAGGAACAGATAAAGAAAGACTGCACTCATCTGGGGAATATAAAGTAACAGAATGTGAGTCGAACACCCAAGAATAGTTGAGATAAGTACTAGGAGATCTGCTTCAGGGTTTGGAAGCCGGCAGCACATGCTGGGGGAAAAGGCAGCTCAGATAGAGAAGGGAACACCAAATAAAGGATGTTTGGAGGACTCGCTCGGGATGCAAGATGTGTACAGAAAGTAGACTATAAACCAAACATGATGGCCACTCAATACCTCTATTGCAAACTACAACATCCTAAAGGAAAGAGTGAGCAAAAGGGATTGCCCTGCCACAGAAGCGGGGTGGGGTGGGAGGATGGGGTGGGAGTGGGAGGGCTACTGGTATCATTAATGGTGAAGAATGGGCACTGGTGGGGGATGGGTACTCGATCATTGTATAACTGAAACCCAAGCACAAAAGTATGTAAGTCTACAACTGTACCTCATGGTGTTTCACTAATAAAAAAATTTTTTTAAAGGAAAAAAAAAATCTTGATCCCTGGGGCTGGAGTGATAATACAGCGGATAGGGCATTTGCCTTGCACGAGGCTGACCCGTGTTCAATTCCCAACATCCCATATGATCCACTGAGCATTGCCAGGGGTAATTCCTGAGTGTAGAGCCAGGAGTAACCTCTGTGCATCACCAGGTGTGACCCAAAAAGAAAAAAAAAGTCTTGATCCCTGGCACCACATGTTCTCTGAACTACACCCAAAAATGACCACCTAGAACAATCAAAAGTTGCCTCTGAACATTGCCTAGTGTAATCCAAAAACCAAATAAGAGATAAGAGGCTGTACATACAGACTCATACTTTGTCATCCATTTTAGTATGTGAGGAAAGTGTTGGGCCACACATGCATGGGAGCTACTTGCATCTCTCTGTACTGGGGAAGGCAGAGGGTAGCTCAGGAGACCAAGCGATGCTCGGCATTGAACCAGGCCTCCTTGCAAAACATGTAGACAGTCTATTAAACTATCTCCCTGCACCCCTGTTATACTTACTCATATGTTGTCCTGCTTTCCTGATAGCAATATACAGTCTGATTATATTTATATGCTTATTTGTCACTGTCACTGTCATGTCCTCCCGTTGTTCATCGATTTGCTCGAGTGGATCCAGTAACGTCTCCATTGTGAGACTTGTTACTGTATTTGGCATATTGAATACCTCACGGGTAGCTTGCCAGGCTTTGCCATGCAGGTGAGATACTCTCGGTAGCTTGACGGGCTCTCCGAGAGGGGTGGAGGAATTGAACCCTGCTAGGCCGAGCCATCTGCGCACAAGGCAAATGCCCTACCGCTGTGCCCTCGCTCCACCCATGCTTATTTGTATAATAACTAAATAGAATTGAGTCATATTAAGCATTCAGATGTTATTTTTCCCATTCTGACAATGCCTGTTGCAAATAAAAAGCCTGTTTCTTCAGACTTATTCAGAAAAGCGGATTTATGAGCTCTCGTAACTTGTTAGCAGAATTCAAGAGAGGTTGAATCTGTGGCTCAACAGATTGCCAAAATCCAGTCTTTTCCATCTTTCTGAACAGTCATCTTCAGTGTCAGCTTAATCCCCGGGCTAGTCTTCAAACTACTACAAAACTTATCAGTATATAGATGCTAATTATTACCTTACTATCTCTCAGTATTTTTGTGCATACAGAATCAGAGCAGTTTAGCTGTTTAGTCTTCATCAAACTAGTGTGCAGCTGCCTACGGATTGCTAGCTAGAGTGATGGTTATCTGAATAATGACTGGGACCACAAGTTCCATAGCCAAGGTGGCTTGCTCAAATAGCTATTGACAAGAGGCCTTTTTCCACCCTTGAACTGCTTGAATGGGAAGCCCTGTTATGTTCTATCCCATCGTTAAATCACACATCAGTACATATGCTAAATTTTATTTGCTGCAGTCAGTTTTGCATGCAGCCCAAACTCAGATCCCTCCTCATAATAGGGTAAGCATCTAAGATCCTAAAGTATTTTGAACCAGGGGCCACACCTAGCAGTGAACAGGATCATTTCTGATAAGATGCTGGTTATACATTGCAGTCAGTAGGGTCATATCCAGCATCTGGCCTGGCGGTGCTCATGCCACCAAGTGTTGACCAAGATACACCTGGTGTTTCTTGGGGGACCATGAGATACCAGGGATCAAACTCAGGGACATCTACATGCTTGACATGTGTTCTGCCCTTTGAGCTATCTTCCTAGACTTTTGAATATATTTTAAAACTACCTCCGAAAACCTAGGCAGAGAAACAGGTAGACAGACAGAAGTTTGGGGAGGTGCATATTGCAATGAAAATCTACATCTCTCCACTACAAAGTGTAGGGTGGGAATGGATTAGGTAATCAACTAAAAATATTGCCCAAAAGTAGAGAATGAGTATGGGGAATATTGTCTGCCTTGGAGGCAGGAGAGGGTGGGGAAGGGGGTATAACTGGGGGGATTGGTGGTGGGAAATGTACACTGGTGGAGGGATGGGTGTTTGATCATTGTGTGATTGTAACCCAAACATGAAAGCTTGTAACTTTCTCATGGTGATTCAATAAAATTAAAAATATATATACCTTGAGTAGTAGAACACTTTCCCAACTTCAGTTAAGCGAAGAGATGATAATCTCAGCATTGAGTATAGTCATTGTAGTTATAAAGTATCACTCACATATTTCTTTGGGGCTCTAGAAATAATATTGATGTAATTAATTCTAAGTAGAGGGTAATTAAATTGTTTACATTTGGCCTAGTATTTTGTCAGTTTTGTGGTATTTTGACCTTTCTATTATTTAACCCTGATATTTAGATCAGGGTTTGGGTTTCAAAATGAATGTCAAGTTAAAAAATCTGAGTTAGATTTGATTATACTTGTAACTCTATAGAGTTACAAGTAGATATACAGATAATAACAAACCTTTGGTATTTATCAAGCTTTCAAGCGCTTTCTGCTATCTTTGCTTTAAAAATAACTTTGTAGATGAACAATGGGAGGACAGTGACAGTGATAGTAGTTGGGCAAATATTATTTTTCCTTTTTTAAGATAAACAAATTGAGGGGCTGGAGCGATAGCACAGAGGTTAGGGCGTTTGCCTTGCATGCAGCCAACCTGAGTTCGATTCCCACAATCCCATATGGTCCCCTGAGCACTGCCAGGAGTAATTCCTGAGTGTATAAGACAGGAGTAACCTCTGTGCACTGCCGGGTGTGACACAAAAAGAAAAAAAAAGATAAACAAATTGAGGTTTAAAGATTTTCAGTAGCATATCCAAATTTCTGTAAATAGGTAGAAACTAAATTAGAGTCCAGATCCATTCACCCTGTAAAGATTCCATTCACCCTGAAAACATCTTGGTTTCTCTGTCTTGTGCATGTCACTGATAATCTGGAGACCATTGGTAGTAATGCATAGCAATAGAGTAATCATGATAATTTTTAAAAGGTTAGTTCAGCTTTACCTCAGTGTCATGGTGTTATCCGAAAATTATAATGAAAAGCTTGACTCTTGTGTTTATTTTGGAGAAACTATAAAAATTTCCATTTTCTTTTCATTTTTTTCTTGCTTTATATTTTTCTGAGGGAAGCTAGAATGGAAAGTTACTAGCTTTAACCAGAATAAAAATGTTTAAATTCCTATTTTAATTTATTAAACAAACATTAAAGTTAAAAAGGTAATATTTTTTAACATTTGGTTTCAGAAAAAGAAAACAAAATAGCTGAAGTTCTCTGGCGTTGGCAGGTTTTCTGTGTAGATCATTTCACACAGAGTCATGAGCATTTCACTCTGCAGCCACACAGTTCCCTATTAAAACAACTCTGGATATTCAGTCCTAGAATGGACGTGCAGCAGTAATTGCAGTCTGTCTGCTGAAAGGAGAAAGTATGGTGGCAGAAAGGCTGAAGGTGTCTGGCTTGGTGATTATTTCTGAATTGTGAGGCAGAAAGAATGAGGAAACCTTGATTGGCTTTGAATGACATTCAATTGTAAAGCAAAATCAAATCTGCAAATATATGTTGACTGAATAATTAAATGCATTTTGGTTTTCTGGGTGTTTTGCTAAAATTCACATTCTGTGATGATGGGTATACATACTAAAGATAATAGAGGTTCGTAGACATATGGAAGGAGTGAGAACTTGATATTTAATGGGGGAGAAAAATTTGAAAGTTTATAAAAGATATATATGTAATAATGAACTTTTTAAAAAGTTCTTTTGGAAGATATACATACTTTTATTTTTTTTTAATTTTGAGCCACATCCAGCTCAGGGGTTACTCCTGGCTCCTATACTCAGGAATTACTCTTGGCAATGCTTGGGAGACTAAATGAAATGCCGTGAATATAAACCAAGTCAGCTACAGAGAAGGCAAGTGCCCTACTAAATGCTGTACTATAGCCATGGCCTCACTTAAAAAAGAAAGAAAGAAAAGAAAAAACAATTAGGCATTGTGATTCATGCACACGATATTTCAAACCTCATCTTTAATCAGAATGTCCCCCATTCAACTCCCATCTGCCCTCTTTGGCTTGCCCCATGACAAGCCCAGTTCTATAGGCTAGTTTTGTTGGGTTTTGTTGCCTTTGGTAGCTATTCCCTTACTATGATTCTTTACATACTACCCAGGAGAGATATCATTCATATCTATGCTTCTCTGTCTGAGTGATTTCACTCTAGTATGATGCTCTCCAGATCCATACACATAGCAGAAAATTACATGGCTTTGCCTAGTCTTGTGGCTAAGTAGTATTCCATTGTGTGTATGTACCATACTTTCTTGTCTAGTCATCTGTTCTAGGACACTTGAATTATTTTCACATCTTTTTTATTTATTTTGTTTATTTATTTATTTTGCTTTTTGGGTCACACCCGGTGATGCACAGGGGTTATTCCTGGCTCATGCACTCAGGAATTACTCCTGGCGGTGCTCAGGGGACCATATGGGATGCTGGGAATTGAACCAGGGTCGGCTGCGTGCAAGGCAAACACCCTACCTGCTGTGCTATCGCTCCTGCCCCTATTTTCACATCTTGACTGTTGTAAATAGTGCTTCAAGTAACAGCATGTGAATATCATTGTGAATAGAGAGGTACTTGGTGTAAATGCAAAAAGTGGAATTATTGGGTCATAAAATGTTTACATTTTCTTTCCTATCAGTGAAAGTTAGCATTCACAAATTATGTATTCATACTTTCTTTTTGATAAAATTATTCTCTTTGGGGTTTTCTGAGTCTTCTTATATTTTTTAGGATCAAGGGGGTTTGGGCATTGCCATCAGTGAGGAAGATACCATCAGTGGAGTCATTGTAAAAAGTCTAACTGAGAATGGAGTAGCAGCCAAGGTGAGGTGTCACCTCTGTCACTGTCAGAAACTAGTAGAACATTTCTTCTAGAATGACTTAGATACTTCCATCTCCTTTTTAGGATGGACGACTCAAAGTTGGAGATCAGATCTTGGCTGTGGATGATGAAGTTGTTGTTGGCCATCCTGTAGAAAAGGTACTTTCCCCAAAGAAAGTAGATGGTACTGTAAACCTATCCTTGAGTGCGGTGATCCTGATGACGGTGAGGATGACGATGATGACTTGACTTGAATGTGTGCATATGTGTATGTTCAGACATAATTAAAGCTATGAAGAACTAGAGAATGAGATGTATTTAAGGAAGAGAAGGGATTATTTAGAAATTTTTATCTTCTGGGGTCTTTTAATCATAGCATATTCTGATGCTTGGCAAGTTTCAAGTTCAGTTAGCAAATTCAGTGTTCACTTGGCAAGTTAGAGGTTTCATTTTGCCATAGGAAAACTTGAAACTTTTTATTTTATTTTTTCGATTTTTGGGCCACACCCAGCGATGCACAGGGGCTACTCCTGGCTCTGCACTCAGGAATTACTCCTGGTGGTGCTCGGGGGACCATATGGGAAGCTGGGAATCAAACCTGGGTTGGCCGCATGCAAGGCAAATGCCCTACCCACTGTGCCATCTCACCAGCCCCGAAAGCTTGAAACTTTTGAATAAAAGGTAATTCAATGTTAAAGTTAAGACCAAAAGAAAAATATTTTATATGCACGTTTGCTTCCTTAGATATTTAAATATTCAATATGAATATATATTAGCACTTAGACATAAAACCGTTATTGAGTTAAACACCTGGGTCTGTGGGGGTTTATTGTTGTGTACTTTTTTTCTCTTCTTTTGGAAAGGGGTTCCCACGCAGTGCTCAGGAGGCCTGGGAGTTCTTCTGAGGATCTGGGCCAGCCAGGCCGATGCTTCAGTGCCCAAAGATGTGATACTGCTTGGACCCTGTGGTGCCAGGGTTTCCTTGGGCCACCCTAACAATCTCCAGGGCCACACACAGTGGTGATGCTTAGGGAGTAATATGGTGCTGGGGATGAACTATGGTCATGCAAACCATGCCCTTTAGTGCTTGAGTTTTGTCCTCCATAATAATCACAATGGGGGACAGAGATAGTACAGCAGGTAAGGCACTTTGCCTCACATGCCACCTGCCTTGATATGATCCCAGATACTGCATAAAGTCCTCAAGCCCTGCCAGGATTGATTCCTGTGTGCTGAGACAGTATTAAGCTCTGAGCACAATCAGATGTGGCCCAAAACAAACAAACGAAAAATAAGATCACAATAATTATGGGCTGGAGCAATAGCACAGCAGGTAGGGCGTTTGCCTTGCACACAGCCAACATGGCCGACGTGAGTTCGATTCCTCCGCCCCTCTTGGAGAGCCCGGCAAGCTACTGAGAGTATCTCGCCCGCCCAGCAGAGCCTGGCAAGCTACCCGTGGCGTATTCGATATGCCAAACACAGTAACAAGTCTCACAGTTTGTTATGAGACATTACTGGTGCCCACTTGAGCAAATCGATGAACAGCAGGAGAACCGTGACCAATTATGAGTATCACTTGTCTTTGATTTATGAACACCAACAAAATAAAGCTTGTTTTATGCTTAATCTATAACTTTCCATGTTATAGTGAAAATAAGAAATTCAGCACCTCTATTTTAAAAATTCAGTTTTATCAGAAGAGAGAATTCAGGTCGGATCCTTTAATCCATAATATGTATGGTGCAACTTGTTATTTGCCTTGGTTCTTTCATTGCATGCTTTTCTTTATTCAACTTTTTAATGTATGTATTTCCATTTTATTAAAAATGTCTGCGTAGGTTGCTTTAGATTTTCTGCAGTATAAGAAATTTGTTAAATACCTTCAGTATTTTAAGGATGTAGCGGTCTAAAGAAATGTACAACATAAGTTAAAAATATAAAAAAAACTCAACCCCTGCATTTACATAAATAATAAAATATTCAGAATCAACTTTATGATAGAAATTAGCTGTTGCTGTGAACTATCTCAGGAATTGGGATGAGCTAGAAAGAAACTAGAAAGCTCCTTTCTTGACCTTTAAGGCCCAATAGGGAAATAATTTGCCTTTGACTTTTCTCTCAACCACAGAGGCAATAGATAGCGATTATAGTAGTGGTTTATTTAAGTCTGTTAATTTGCCTTTACGTTGTTTCTCCGTTTGCTGACACACGACCAGTTTATTAACCTCTTGAAAACAGCAAAGACGACTGTGAAACTGACCATTTGTTCCGAGAATCAGGATTCCCAGATTATTACATCAGCAACAACTACTGCCACTGCAGAAAAAAGGAGCTGCCCCCAATCTCCAGGGGTCCCTCCCTCGGGCTCCCCAGAACCAGAGGCTTTCTCAGGTAAGACACCAGACTTTCATGCAGTCTGTCTTGCACACCACTCCCTGTCTAGAAGCCTCCTCCCTTCCTGCAGCTCAGCCTTTGAACAAAAGTAAAGCTTGCTGAAAGGATAATCTGAGAAAAAGGGTTCCCAGAGAGAGAGCACACTGGATAATTATTTGATCTGTGACATGAACAGGAACTAGCCATAGGCTTTAGAAGACCCCTGAAGCCACTTTGAGTCTCAGTTTCATCATCACTAAATCAAGGGAGCGATAGTCTTTTGTTCTCCCAAGGAGTGAATGTCTTGATTCTATATATAAAATTATGAATCAGAAGCATTTGATACATAATTTACTTATGTATTCATTTGGGGGATTGACCCCTAAAACAGTGTTTGGGTGTTCCTGGCATCACTCCCAGCTGTACCCAGACAAGTAAGAAAGATAATCCAATGTGACCACTGGAGTCACCCCAGTGGTGCTCAGGGGATGCCAGGACTGCACCTAATAGTGCTCTAGGAGCCTCCCAGGTGACCTATGGCAGTTCTGGAAGTCATATAATCCCAGAGTTGATCTTGTGCATGCAAGGCATATTTCCTAACCCCCAAACTATGGATTTCTGTTTTGTTATTGTGCAAATTTTGAAACTCCTGGGGCTGGCATGATAGTATAGCAAGTAGGGCGCAACACTTGCCTGCGACTAACATGGGTTCTAACCCTGGTACCCCAAGCCTCATGAGGAGTGATCTTTGAGCACAGAATCAGAAGTAGGCCCTGAGCATTGCCACATGTGGACTAGAAACCTAAATAGATAAATATATAATCTGAGAAGTATAATCTGTAAAATAGCTACAATGATATCACGTTACCAGAGGGATCAATGATGATCAAAATGAAAGTCGTGAAAATGGTATTCTTGGGGCCTGAAAGATAATATAGAATATAAGGTACAGCCTGATGTGGCCCCCAAACAAAACAAAACAAAATTATCCTTTATTTCTTTGGAATTTATAGATCTGATCTCTATGGTTTGAGTATAAAGTAGCAAATGAAATGAACATATGTGGACAATGAATGTATGTGGCATGGTAATTTCATATATCATTATATCATTAAAATGTCAGTAACATATACTGAGGAAAATTGTGATTTTAATGCCTTTTTTAAAAAACTACACAGATCATAAAATAGAATTAAGCAATAGAATTTATACATCATGATGTTAAGTTATACTTAAATTAATAAATACTTAAATTTACCAATGCAGAAGAAATCTCTTTGACCTCTAAATTTATATTCAGTTCCTTTTTTCCCTCCTGTAATTTTTGTTTCTTTTTTGGTCCACAGAGCACCATGAAGTAAACAAGTATTGAATTACAGACTCAAATATGCAACACACGTGCTAATCCTTTGAACCATCTCTGTGCCCCAGTAATTTCTGTTTTGTTTTGCTTCTAATTTTAAGGAAGCAGAAGTTTAAAACATTAATAAATTTTGACAAAGAAGCTCTTAAAGTAATGCATATCCAATAAAAGCAACCATTCATTGGTTAATTTACTGAGTACTAAAAGATTATGGATATTTTCTTATTTTTAAATTTTGTCTTTATCCTTAAATAATGTTGTCTAAGAAAATATAAAATGCTAAAGAAACATATAATGTAAAATATATCACACCTGTTCTTAGAATTTCAGAAACAAGAAAGTAATTTGTCTTAGATTTCTTAAAAAGAGACCATCTTATCTAATGCATAAGCTACAACATCAAGTGTCCTAGTTTCCCCAAAATGTACTGTGTGCTGGGTGCTTTGGGGTATATCATAAAACATATGATATAAAAATTATCACAAAAAAAGGTGTGAAATTACATTCTCCTTGTTTTCTCATAATCTATTCAATTCTGGGCATATATGCACCTGGATTTAATATCTGTGTTTATAAAACATAGAGTGAGACACAAAGAAACTGCAAACAGGTCTCATTTAACATTCTATACATAAGCTCAGATTTGATTACATAAGATGATTTGATTACATAAGATGAGGTGTCTAGGATAAGAAAAAGAAGCAAAACAAAGACCTAAAAAGCCTTCAAGGGCAAGAACCCTGACCATAAATACTGATGTGTTTATGATTGTTTCTAAACGTTTATGGTCTGTGCCACATTCTTTCAATTCTGAGTTTTTTTTACAAACTGTAATTTCATAAGGAGTTTGGCTCAGTGAAATGTAGGATATTAGAGTAAAACCAAAGGTTCAATCCTACTCTCTGTTCTTGTTCAAATGTAAAACACAGAGCAATTTTTGGACTGGGGAGGTAGCCCAAAGGGCTAGAGTATCTGTCCTCTTTGACATGGCCTTGGGCTCAATCTTTGGCACCAGATGGTCTACGGAGCACCAGTGAATGTGACCCTAGGGTTCCCTAGAATTACTGGGAAGGCACGCAAACAAAAAAAGACAAATAATCACTATCACTTTAAAATAATACAAAGTAGTATGGAAGATCATTTTAGCCGGTAATTTTGTGCCCATGGCAGCTAACCCAAATTAGTAACTAATTTAATCACATGTGGCTGATACTTTTGAAAATGACTAAAATATTCAAGGTATAGTCCAAGTCTTCTTTTTTACCATCCTTAGCCTATTTTTTACTCTGTTCTCCCAAAAGCAACCAGTGTGGTGAATTTGATATCAATGCCATGTAATAAAATTTTCTTTATGCTTAATTTCATTTAAAACTTATTTTTAGGTGCAAGCAGGTCATCAACACCAGCAATCTTTGCTTCTGATCCTGCCACTTGCCCCATCATCCCAGGCTGTGAAACAACAATTGAGATTTCCAAAGGACGAACAGGATTGGGCTTGAGCATTGTTGGGGGATCCGACACGCTGCTGGTGAGAAGGGACCCAGAGATATTACAGATACATGGAAAAATCCTGAGACATAACTCACATTTCATGAAGTGAAATAGACTCCCCAAAATGCATGCTTCATTGTTACCTATATCTCATCAAAAATTCATTTGAATATTGACATACTTATCCGGGGACCACTGACCCAATAAGACTCTTTACACCTGTGATTGTGACCTTAAAGTCCAAACTACTTCTCTATTAGTTCAACAGTTCTTGCTATATTTTAATTTCATTTTTAGTGTCTGGATGTTGCTAGATTCAGCCCATATGAAAATGAATCGAAGAAACTTAAGAAGTTGTAGGCAGAATTTTCCACATGGCAAGAAAGTACTTTTCAAATGTAATAGTTCCATTTCTGTGTAGGAAATGTGATGCATATCTATCATATATGTGCATCTATAACATATGTTTTCTACTTTTTAAAAAAATCCCCTAATGATTTGAAAGAAGTTGGACACTTTCAGAAAAAAAAAATCTTATTGTTCTACATCTCTTTGAATCCCGATGTGTAACACCAGGCCAGTCATATTCAACCCTCATTAATCTCCAGAAAAGGGTCTTTGGCACGGTAATGCCAGGGATCACTCAAGGCCTTGTACATGCCAGGCAAGTGCTCTACCACTGTGCATATCTGTGACCCTTAAAAATCCTTATTCGGGGAACATAAAATAACAAAATAGGAAACTAACACCCAAGAATAGCCGAGATAAGTACCAGAAGGTTTACTCCATGGCTTGGAGGCCAGCCGCACACGCTAGGGAAAAAGGCAGCTCAGATAGAGCACCAAGTAAAGGGTGTTGGGAGGATCCACCCAGGATGGGAGAAGCATGCTGAAAGTAGACTATAGACCAAACATGATTGCCACTCAATGCCTCTTTTGCAAACCACAATACCCAAAAGGAGAGAAAGAATAAAAGGGTATGCCCTGCCACAGAGGCAGGGTGGGTGGGAGGGATACTGGGATCCGTGGTGTTGGGAAATGGACACTGGTGGAGGTATGGGTATTTGATCATTGTATAATTGAAACCCAAGCACAAAAATTTGTAAGTCTACAACTGTACCTCATGGTGTTTCGCTAATAAAAATTTAAAAAAAAAAAAGAATCCTTATCTTGGGTGCACAGTAGGTAGGGTGCTTGCCTTGCATGCGGCTGACCCGAGTTCGATTCCCAGCATCCCATATGGTCCCCCAAGCACCTCCAGGAGTAATTCCTGAGTGAAGAGCCAGGAGTAACCCCTATGCATCGCCAGGTGTGACCCAAAAAGAAAAAAAAAGAATCCTTATCTTTACTTTGTGTTCACATTCCCTAAAGGAAAAGGGATAATGTATGTTTTGTTTGGGCCCTCAGGGTGCCATTATTATCCATGAAGTCTATGAAGAAGGTGCAGCATGTAAGGATGGAAGGCTCTGGGCTGGCGATCAGATTTTGGAGGTAAAAAATGCTGTGTGTTTTGTTTTGATTTGATTCACTGCGATTTATAGTTTTCAGTAATATCAGTGATAGGGTGTTATGTGTACAACATTCCCAAACCACACTCCCCACCAAAGTGACTGTTTCTCACTGCCAGTGCCTCAGCTTCCCTAATCCCCTGTCCCCTAGTCTCACTGTGATGATGAGTTCCAGAGTATTGACCAGTTCTTAGATTCTGTTGCCTTTGGCCATTTGTTTTTCACTTACTATGCTTCTTTATAGAACACCCATGAGAGAAATCATTCTGCACCTGTCTCTCTCCTAGCTGACTTCACTGGGTGTGATATCCTGCAATATTAATTTGCAGAAACAAATTGCATGATTTTATCCTGTCTTGTAGCAGAGTAAAATTTCACTGTGTGTGAGTGTGTGTGTGTGTGTGTGTATGTGTGTTTATACCATCATTTCTTTATCCAGTGTCTGTTCTTGGACATGGGTTACACAGGTTATTTCTAGATTTTTGGCTAATGTGAACAGTGCTGCAATGAACATTGGAGCGCAAATATCTTTTCTGAGTACAGTTTTTGAGATCTTGAGGGAGTTACTCAAAAGTGGGATTATTAGATCATATAAAGCCCAATAATTAGTTTTAAACAATAGCATAATATGAGACTAACACCCAAGGACAGTAGAGACAAGGGCCAGAACTATGGCTCCATAGTTGGTAGTCTGTCTCATGAGCTGGGGGAGAAAGCAGCAGGAATAGAGAAGGGATCACTAAGTCAATGATGGTTGAATGGATCGTTCAGGATGGGAGATATATGCTGAAAATAGATACAGGACCAAATGTGATAGCCTCTCAGTATCTGTATTGCAAACCATAATGCCCAAAAGTAGAGAGAGAGTAAGAGGGAAATCGTCTGCCATAGAGGTAGGGGGAGGGTTAGGATGGCGGTGTATGTACTGAGGACATTGGCGGTAGAAAATGTACACTGGTGGAGGAATCGGTGTTCGATCATTATATGACTGAAACTCAAAAACATGCAAGATTTGTAACTATTTCATGGTAATTCAATAACAAAAAGAAATAAAGCAATTCATAAAATAAAAATGTATCCATATTGGGGGCTGGAGCAATAGCACAGTGAGTAGGGAGTTTGCCTCGCACGCGGCCGACCTGGGTTCGATTCCCAGCATCCCATATGGTCCCCTGAGCACCACCAGGGGTAATTCCTGAGCGCAGAGCCAGGAGTTACCCCTGTGCATTGCCGGGTGTGACCCAAAAAGTAAAAAAAAAAAAAGTATCCATATTAGTTTCCAAAACAGTGAAACCATTTGGCATTCCCACCATCAGGCTATGAGGATTCCTTTCTCTCCACATCGATTTTTTAAATCTGTTTCAGATTCACTGATGTGAGGATATGGTTTGTTTGATCTTTACAATTAACTGGAAAAAGGATACTTTGTGGAAGTTGATCTTTATTTATTTCTCCCTCTCTCTGTCTCCTTTCTTCTCCCCCTTTCTTCACTTTAACTATCCAGATTCCTCAGTATCATGTTGTGTTTCTTATAGGTAAATGGAATTGACTTGAGAAAGGCAACACATGATGAAGCCATTAATGTCCTGAGGCAGACACCACAACGAGTGCGACTCACACTCTACAGAGATGAGACTCCTTACAAAGAGGAGGACGTGTGCGATACCCTCACCGTTGAGCTGCAGAAGAAGCCAGGAAAAGGCCTGGGACTAAGTATTGTTGGTAAAAGGTATGACTGCAGAGAAAAGAGCAAATGGCCTTCTAGAAAAAAATGAATTTGAATTTGATAGAATACTAGCAGGAATAGGATTAAGGATTAATTAAGGATTAATTACGAGTATGCACAGGTAATTGTTACATCAACGACATTGGACTTGAGAAATCAGTATGAATGGGTAGTAGGGGCTCTTTTGAAATGATGAGTCAAAATTCATTTGACATTTTTTGAATAGCAGTTAGGTACTGTGGAGTGAAGGTAAATAAGACACAATGCCTAATATCAAAAACTGCAATTTTTGTAAATGAAAGTTAAACGTGTCCTTCGCAACAATGGGATCCATTGATGAGTGACAGTACATTGTGCAGAAGAGCCATGGAAACAGAAGTGAACCCTTCATCATATTTAAAAGAAGTTGATTATAGGGACTTCACACAGAGAAAAGAGACACAGAACTGAAGCTAAAAGTGATTAATGATAGTTGATCTGTTGAAAGGATGTTCTAAGGTAAAGGATCTGCATACTGAGAGCAGGCTGCCTGATGGAAAGGAAGCAGGAGGGACTAACTGTTGAAGGTGCATGTGTACAGCACTTGATCTATTTAAGAAATATTTTTATTCAAGTAATCTTAATCATATATAAAATAGTAAGTTGTAACTCCTTTAAAATGAAGATATCAGTGACCAGAGAGTGAGATGACTCATTTAGTTTATTGACCCTGAGAACAAGTACTGGAGCTTTCACTACATTTGCGCAGAGTTATCAATAAGATGTTATTTCAATAAGATGTTTTTAGTTACTTATAGTTTATGAATGAAAGGTTAGAATAAGATAATTATATGTAAAAAATCTTTGGGAGTGGCAGGCGATGGCCCTGACGGCTCTTTTCCTGGCTGTCCAGGTTCTGGGTGGGCCTGGGCTGTTCCCGCAGCAGGGGTGGCCCCGGCCATGGGGTAGACAGCGGAGGAAACAAGGACTAAGGTGGTTGATTGATCAGATGTCATTTATTCCATTCTCCCCACGTACCTGCCCCAGTCTCTCTGAACCTCCCACTCTAGTCTCCACTGCTCCTCATTCCCGTCTCCTTCTGTCTCTCCCACTCATCTGTCCATGCCCCATCTCTCAACGTGGGTGCTCTCTCCACGTGCCTGCTTCTGTATCCTTCTACATCCTTCTCTCTCTGTTCCCCTTGCTAGCCTCTCCACGGTCCATCTTGCCACCCTGCTCTCTCTCTCACTCTCTCATCCTCTCCCCTGCTCTCTGCTTCTCCAACTCCCTTGCTGACACTGCACCCAAATCAACATAAGAAAGCCCTTCCTGAGGGTCTACCAAGTTCAAAGGGTAAAGGTAAAAGGTAAAGGCCCTCCCGTTGATCGTCGATTTGCTCGAGCGGGCCCAGTAACGTCTCCATTGGAGACTTTGTTGTTACTGTGTCTGGCCGGGCTCTCCGAGAGGGGCGGAGGAATCGAACTCGGGTCGGCCATGTTGGCCGCGTGTAAGGCGAACGCCCTACCCGCTGTGCTATCGCTCCAGCCCAAGTTCAAAGGGAATACCACCTAAAAGGTATTTGAAAGCCCTTCCTGATTGCCCAAAGGCAAAATACCTCCTCAGGTGTTTTTCTCTTTTCCTCAGTCCAACAACTCTATCAACATCTCAGGACTAGTTATTTTTGTATGAACACAGTAAGAGATAACATTGAGACTTGTAGGACAGCTCTCCTGGGAACATCTTGCCACAGACTCAGACTACAGCGCTCAGGCCAGATTAATCTTTCCTAACCCTGGCAGGGTCTGAATCTAGTTATTACTTTTTAGATCATGATAGCATTTGTCCATGACCAAGCTCTGAACTTATAGTTAAGCATTATCGCACTTTGGCCAGGCCCATCTCGATGCCAGGGTAGCACATAGCTTACTGCTTGCCCTGGTTCCATCCAGTCCCTCGTAGGACCCTGCTTTGGGGGGGCACTAGGAAGAAAGGGCAGCTGAGGCTTAGGTGAGAGAACAGATGCCCAGGAGGAAAATATCACTGGGAGTCACATTATAAAAGCATAGCATATACTGTCTTCTTGTGTCCGTACAAAAAGGACCTTCCTCTGAGTAAACTATGCAAAGGACTTAGGGAGAAGAGGAAAACAATATTTACAATTCAAGAGAGCACAAAGAAAGAAGTTACAAATAAACACAGAGGAATGGGAGTACTGTGATGGGAACACACCAATAAACCTAAACTACCTGAGGCTATGCAGGAAGGACAAAAACAATGTGATCCTACAATTATATCTGTTTATTTCTCATAGATTGCTCTTTGTAAGATTGACCTGTAATAATTCAAAATTAAAGACATCAACAGAAATAAATCTAAATAAAATTAAATAATCAAATTACAATATTTTAAGTACAATTTATGTCATTATTTATCTTTATGGTGTATAAAATGAAAAATAATAGTCGTTGGAGTCAGAGAGATAATACAGGGGTTAAGGTGCTTGCCTTGTATTCACCATCCCACTTAGATGCCTGGCGCCATAACTGGATTGTGAGCAACAGTTTGCCCTTTATTAAACACTACGTGATAAATGAGAAAAATAATAATGCTAAACTTCAAAATTCTATTCCAGAAGTGACACTGGAGTATTTGTGTCAGACATTGTCAAAGGAGGAATTGCAGATACTGATGGAAGGCTGATGCAAGGAGACCAGATTTTAATGGTGAATGGAGAAAATGTCCGGAATGCCACCCAGGAAGCTGTGGCTGCTTTGTTAAAGGTAAAATTTCAAATTCCCAAAGTCATATACATGACCACGTAGAAGGCGGAATGTAACATTGGCCTACAAGACTCAAACTAAGACCGATTTTTCTGACTTAAAATGTCAACTCAAAATATGATTATAAGCAAGATGCCATAGTCAATGATAAATTATGAAATAGTACATTTATCATTATTCAACTGTGTACTGCATTAAGTGTTAAGAACTGAGCACTATCATAGTAAATGTTTTATCTCTGAGATAAGTATTATATGGAGCAATAGCACAGTGGGTAGGGAGTTTGCCTTGCATGCAACCAATTTGGCCGACCCGAGTTCGATTCATCGGCCCTTCTCAGAGAGCCCGGCAAGCTACTGAGAGTATCTCGCCCCCACGGCAAAGCCTGGCAGACTCCCTATGTTCCCCGTGATATATTCGATATGCCAAACACAGTAACAACAAAGTCTCACGTTAGAGACGTTACTGGGCCTGCTCGAGCAAATCGATGAACAATGGGAGGACAGTGACAGTGGCATTATATAAATTTATTCTTAAAAATATATGCACTAATTGACCAGAAAGAAGAAGGCAGAAAGTATTGATCTTAGTTCTTTATATTTACTTTTGGATTAATTATAATTCATGACACAAGGGAAAGTTCTCATTCTCACTCTTTGAAAATTGAGGAGAAATAAGGAAAGTCAGAGGAAGAGGAAAGGACATGCAATGCACCTCTGTAGATCGTACTTTGTTGATATCCTGTTCCTTTCTATTCCTTAATCCATTTCCGGAGAAACTAGATGGGATGACTTAATACTTCTTCAGAAATGGACAATGTAAGAGAAACATTTTCCCCATTTTTTCACTTGACACTGCTCAGAACTACTTATGGCACTGTGCTCAAGATTGACTCAGGACAGTGCTCAGATATGTGGGGCCAGGAATTTCAATCAGGGTTGATCATATGCAGGGCAAGAGCTTGAGCCCCTGTACTAATTCTCCAAGAGTAAATTTTGAACAACTTTTAAATCACTAAAGAGAATTTTTGATCCAATAGTCTGATTAAAAACTGTTGAGCTGCTTCAAAGTTTACCATTTAAAATCAAAGTGAATGGATCATCCTTATTAAACTAAATAATTTGATACAAATTTACCCAGCAATACCGTCACCAGGAATTATTTTAAAACTATAATGCCCTCATCCCTTGTTATCATTCTAGTTTTAAGCTTATTTTATACTATAAGAGTTGTTTCCCATAATGAAAAAATTGTTCTCTGTTGGAAAGGCAGAACCATTTTTATTTTTAAAATAAATTGTGAAATATAGAATATTTCTTTAAAAGTAAAATTCTTGCCCAGAGAGAGTTTCATTCTGCTGTAACTCTACTTTCTTTTTTTTATAATGGAAAGTGTATTATATATTTTTTTAAATTTTTATTAGTGAAGCACCATGAGGTACAGTTGTAGATTTACAGATTTTTGTGCTTGGATTTCAATTGTACAATGATCAAACACCCATCCCTCCAACAGTGCCCATTTTCCACCACCACAGGTCCCAGTATCCCTCCCACTTCCCATCTCCCTGTCCCACCCTGCCTCTGTCGCAAGGTATTCCCTTTTGTTCTCTCTCTCCTTTTGGGTGTTGTGGTTTGCAAAAGAGGCATTGAGTGGCAATCATGTTTGGTCTGTAGTCTACTTTCAGCTTGCTCTCCCATCCTGGGAGGATCCTCCCAACACGCTTTATTTGTTGCTCTTTTCTCTATCTGAGCTCCCTTTTCCCCTAGAGTGTGTGGCTGGCTTCCAAGCCATGGAGCAAAACTCTTGGTACTAATCTCAGCCACTCTTTGGTGTTAGTCTCCTATTTTGTTACTTTATGTTCCCCAGATGAATGCAGTCTTTTTATGTCTATCCCTCTCTAGAAAGAGACTCATTTCACTTAACATGATACTTTCCATGTAGTATCACTTGGATGTAAATTTCATGACTTCATCTTTTCTAACAGCTACATAGTACTCCATTGTGTAGATGTACCAAAGTTTCTTTAACCAGTCATCTGTTCTCCGGCGCTCAGGTTTTTTCCAGATTCTGGCTATTGTAAAGAGTGCTGCAATGAACAAACAAGTGCAGATGTCACTTCGACTATACTTTTTTGCCTCTCTGGGATATATTCCCAGGAGTGGTATTGCTGGGTCAAATGGGAGCTTGATTTCTAATTTTTTGAGAATCATCCATACTATTTTCCAAAAGGGCTGAACCAGTCGGTATTCCCACCAGCAGTGAAGGAGGGTCCCTTTCTTGCCACATCCGCGCCAGCACCAGTTGCTTATTGTAACTCTACTTTCTGTGTAATTTCTTTCTTTGATCTTGCTCCTTTCACTATTGTATTTCTACCTATGAAATTCATCATTTTGATTAGGATATGTCTTAGAGTCTTTTTATTATAGTCTTTTTTAGCTGGTACCTTCATGCTTCTTGGATCAGGATGTCTGCATTCTTCAGCTCTGGGAATTTTTTAGCAATATTGTCTTTAACTGTAAATATCTCATTGGGGTTGCCTCCCTCTGGAACTCCAGTGATTCTTTTGTTATTTCTCTTGAATTAATCTCACAGTTCTCTGTTCTGGCCTTGAGTTATTTTCTCCATCTTTTGCTGTTCCCTGGAAGTTTTATGAATGTCATAGTCAACCTCACCAATTCTGTTTTCAGCTGTTGTTACTCTGCAGTTAAGGGCCATTAACAAAAAACCTATGGAGTATTTTATTTCATCTACTGAATTTTTAATTAATGCCATTTCTGTTTGTAATTTTCTTATTTCTGCTCTCATTTCCTCCTGTGTATTATTGGCTATCTGTTCCACTGTTTTTTCTTTTTTTCATATACTACAGTTCAATTATTGTTTAAAAATTAGTTTGACTATACACACACACACACACACACATATATATATATGCCTTAAATATTATATGGGCTGGAGCGATAGCACAGCAGTAGGGTGTTTGCCTTGTGCATAGCCAGCCCGGCCAAGCCAGGTTCAATTCCTCACCCCTCTCGGAGAGCCCAGCAAGCTACCGAGAGTATCTCACCCACGCGTCTGGCAAGCTACCTATAACGTATTCAATATGCCAAGCACAGTAACAAGTCTCAAAATGGAGACGTTACTGGGCCCGCTTGAGCAAAATTGATGAACAACGGGAGGACAGGACAGGACTGTAAATATTATATAAATTTTCTATTTTAGCTATTATGCTTTTTGTTTGCTTTGGTTTTATAATTCATTTAAATACCTTGCATAGGACCAGAGAGGTAGCTCAATGAAGTGGAGTGAATACTTTGCATGCAGGACGCCCAGGTTTGATTGCCATCCTAGCATACCATGGTTCACTGAGCACCACCAGGTGTGGTTCCAAAATAAATAAGAGTCCTTTCACAAATAATCTTCTACCCACAAAAGCATATGTGCATATGTTCATGGCAGTGTTAATTGTTATAAGAGAAAACCTAGGGCTGGAGAGGATCAGAGGTTAAGGCACTTGCCTTTAGTGTAGCTGATCTTGATTCAGTCCCCAGCACTGCTTGTGGTTCCCCTGAGTACTGCTAGAAGTTGTCCTTGAGTACTAAGCACATATCCGGGTGTAACCCCAAAATGAGAAACAGAGAGACAGAGAGAGAGAGAGACAGAGAGAGAAAGAGAAACAGAGAGTTTAACAGTTGACAGGGTATATACTTTGATATATATAGCAAAGATACGTGTCACATGTTTAAAATGATGTTCATAAAATTGTTATTAACATGGAAGAATATATAATAGCATATTTTAAGAGTATTATTACCACATAGAGATATAACTTTGAAAAACAAAATGTTATGATATTTTTGTTAACAAACATTTAGTTAATTATACGAGTTACAAAGTTCTTTTTCTAATTTTCAAGATTTTCTTTGATGAGCATAAATAGTCTTATAATAGAAAAATTAACTTAAAAAATTTTAATAGTAACAGTGCCCTTGAATTTTAAAATACACGTGCTGAAGGTAGATGAAAGCGTTTTGACTTTACATAATATATAATTACAGTATAGAACTTGTTGAATTCTGCAGTTACATAATCTGGAAATACAAATAGGTTCCTGAAATATTTGATAAAAAATATCCCTCAACAACAGCAAAAAAAAACAACTTAATGAATAATTATGTCAGGTTTTGACCTTTCAGAGTTTGCTCTGTGATTAACATATTCAAGAGTAAGACATCCCTTATTATCCCGTCAGAAATATATAATGGTACCAGTATCTAATATTTACCTTATGCTGAACATTGTCATAAACATTGTATGAATATTATTTTATCATAATGACTTTTGGTGGTCTCCATTTTAATATTGCCGAGCAAAAAATTTAACAACATTGATGTTTATGAGCTCACACAGTAACCACGTCAAAAGCAAGTATCTCAACCACCTCATTGTGCTTTATCCACAACAGAGTATATACACATTTCTTGCATGCCTATGGTTGTTTTTAAAGGGCCACAGAGAAGTTGTCTTTAATTCTTATTTTGTACTAAGAGCGGTGTGGTTTATGTAAATATGTGTTAACAGGTCTATTCATGTATGGTGTAGCAATAGAGTTTGCCCAATTATCTGAGTACCTCTGCCATTAAGGAGAAAATAAGCTGTAGTGGTGATTTTATTGTTTTTGTTTTTCAAACTTGAGTTACTTAGTTCATCTGAGTTTCCTAACTCAACACGTTTCATGAGAGAATTGCTTAATTCTTAATTTCCCTTTACCTTGGTGAAAACAGTCTTCAATATATACATCACAAGATAAGACACTTGGTGTTGCTGTTGTTACTTGTTGATATTTTTATCATCTCTAATGTTTCATAAAAGGCTCTTTGGAAGTGTTCTTGCATGTAGAATATTTTTTAAACAGATTTTTTTAAAAAACGGATATGGCTTTGAAAATTCAATTCTGAGAAGTAGAGTAAATTCCTAGAAATATGTTTATAACACTCTCTTTAAACCATTCTAAAAATTGCTGTCCTAGTGTTCCCTCGGCACTGTAACTTTGGAAGTTGGAAGAATCAAAGCTGGTCCATTCCACTCAGAGAGAAGGCCTTCTCAAAGCAGCCAGGTGGGTAGCGGAGGAATTTCTCTGGGTGATATAGTCCCTGAGCCAAAAGGGAATTCAGTGACATTTCAATTATGGGTCTGTCAGAGGTTGTGTATATGGGCCTGGCAGGGAACTGAAGCATAGACTCAGAGGTAGGGAAAACAGTTAAATAGGATATTAACATAAGGAATTTATAAATCATTGTTAGGAATTATTTCAGACATGCTTTTCTTCCATCCTTTTTTATAATCTCAAAAGTCAATATATTTAAAACCTACTAAAACAACATTGATTTTATAACTAATATTTATCAACCAGCATTCAGCTGAAAAAAATATCCCTTGAGGATGAACTGGAAATACTCACCACCTTGAGTAAAAGTCTGATTGATATATTTTTAGGTTCCTGATGAGATCCTATTCCCTGTCTTCTGGTGCTCATTTTCATCAGCTTTCTTCATGACCCTTATTGAACCCTTGGTGACTTTCATAAGTTTCTCATTTAGGAGTCCTAATTCTACAGCTTCTAAGTCTCAGTTAAAATTTAGAGAGAATAACTTAGTGAGATATGAAAAGCCACTAAAATTTTAGATAGTCTAGAATCAGTTTCATCATTCCCTTCATTTTAACTTTCATAAATCATTAGGCAATTTCCTTCAAAAGAAAATTGGTAAATGCTGATTAAATTGTCCTTCAAATTATCAAATGCCACTGTTCTATAACAGATATTTCTTTTTTGCATCATTAAAAGAAATAAAATATGACATGATTCAATTATGATGTAATTTAACTTCTAAAAATAAAAGGTTATTATTTCTTCCAAAATTTTGTGAAATGATTGTAATGTATTTGTAGATGAGTGAAGGCAGCCTGTCATCATTCACTTTTCCACTCTCTGGATCCAGTACATCTGAGTCACTGGAAAGTAGCTCGAAGAATGCATGTAAGATCGGTTTGATATATTAAGCATGATTTACTAGCTTGACTTTTGTCATCAACACTGATTTTCACTTGTTTAAATTTACCTATAAGCTGTTTTTTCACCAAATCATCACATATCCCACTGTATGGGAAAATTCGGTAGGCAAAAATTTTAAATAAAATGAGTTTGTGCTTATAGCAGCCTTTCCCATTTTATTTTTATTTTCTTTCTCTGTTTAATGTAACACCAATAAATCAGAAAATGCCATTAAGTGAAGCCTTCTTTTTCCATGAACATTGCAGAAATTTTGATTGAGAAAATTAATATGATCCTCCTGTGTTTTAATTACATAAAATCAAGATGCAGAGTGCTTTTTGGCTTGGAGCATTGGTTGAAAGTTGTTCAAATTGAAGAAACTAACCATATGGCAGACTCTGTTTGCAATGTGACTAATATTCTAGAAATTTAGGCACGTAAGTCCATGGATTCTTTTTAATGCATCCATGACTTTATTCCTTTCAGCTGTGCACATGTGTCTTTCTCTCCAAAGCACATTCTGTTCTTGACTCATTCAAAGTAGATTATGTAGTTATATAATCAATGTTTGTAATAAGAAAAAAGAAATGGGATGTGGTGTGCATTTTTCCAACTAGAGCAGTAATAAGTTCCTTTGAAAGAAAGATTCAATCTCATGCACTACTAACTTGAGCATCTCTCTTTAAAAATGAAACAAGAGAACAAAACTAAGAAAGGAAGAAAACAGGGTATCATATTTAATCCCATACTCTTAGGGCACTGGCTAAAATTTAAGTGAACATAAAAACTCTTTAATAACTTTATTTTTAATCTTTTTCACCTTTACAGTGGCATCTGAAATACAGGGATTAAGAACAGTTGAAATAAAAAAGGTAACTGAAGCAAGAGAAGATGATAAAAACTTTGTTAACATAAGATATATCCACATACGTATTTTCCTATTGTTTAGCTATTTCATAGTATCATCGTAAAAACATTTAATATATACAGGAAAAATAGCACAGTGCAGTCCTTGTTGAAATTGCTGTCATGGTCCTTGTTTAAAAAATTGTGAGGCTGGATCGATGCCTCATAGGAAGGCCAAGTTTGATACCTGGCACCTCATGGTTCCCTAAGAAGCCCTAGGATTCACCCAAGAGCACTGAACCAGGAATAAATCCCAAACACCACTGGGTGTGGTCCCAAAACAAAGACAACAATAACAAATGTTATTTGCATATTCTGAGTTGTCAAAAATGGCATCAGTGTAACCCTATTCAGAATAATACCTGATGTCTCACTTACAATGATAGGAAGACTTTGCCTTCAACAGATAGCTCCTATTTTCCTGGAAGAGATTCCTCCAACAGCTTGCTCTTTATAGGAGAGGAAATAAAAGCAACTGTAGTTTAATAGGCTTTTTGCTACGTCCTGAATTCCCCTGTAGACATTTCATGCTATCACCCTGCATTTTAATATTCACCACAGTCCTTTGTGAGAGGACTTTATATTTATCAGTGAAGATCTAGTGATTGAGAGGCATGCTTTAATTCTAGGTTTCTGGGATTTTAAAAATGGGTTTCTGGCTTTGCACCCAGATCTGATTCCAAAATGTGTGCCCTTTCCACTTAATGAGTTTACCTGCTTCTCATTAGTCATACAACATGAATTTCATTTAGTGTATTTTACTTCCTGAACAGATGCTTATTTTTTCTCTCATGTTAAAGATATGTGTCAAAATAATGCAGTTTTCTGGAGCCTCATTTTTCCACCACCATACCTATAAAGATTACCAGAGTTATTCATGGAATCTCATGCCAAAGAAAACAAATACCAATTGAAAATATCAGTTTGACTAAAATATTCAATATCTTTCATGGCAGGGGTCCACAGATTCGCTGGGAATCAGCATTGCTGGAGGAGTGGGAAGCCCACTTGGTGATGTTCCTATATTTATTGCAATGATGCACCCCAATGGTGTTGCAGCTCAAACACAGAAACTCAGAGTAAGTTTTGCTAATATCCTGGTAACCCTAGCAACCCTGCATATCCAGCAGAAGTTTTACATGCCATTGAATCCAACCACCTGGTTTTCTTAATAATGTCTGCTTGTGCCTAAGTCAGAAAATTCAGTCACAACATTGATTTGCTATGAGTGTAAGATGAAGAAAATGTAGAAGGAAATTTGCTGTTGTATGAAAAATTGCAACTGAGTGAATGGCAAGATTTGCATTGGTTCCTTACTTTAATTTTTTATGACCTTTGAAATTCAGTGATTGCAGTTAAAATTGTTTTTATACAGTAGTATGAAGTGACATGTTTCCCTTGCATGTTTCATTGTGTAGGCATCAATTTAGCACTTCAGCACAGTAGAACTGTCCTCCCGTTGTTCATCTATTTGCTTGAGCGGGTACCAGTAACGTCTCCTTTGTGAGACTTGTTGCTACTGTTTTCGACATATCAATTACACCACGGGTAGCTTGCTGGGCTCTGCCGTGCGGGCAGGATACTCTCTGTAGCTTACCGGGCTCTCTGAGAGGGGTGGAGGAATCGAACCCCGGGTTGGCTGCATGCAAGGCATGAAGCGATAGCATAGCAGGTAGGACATTTACCTTGCACATGGCTTACCCAGGTTTGAGTCCCCCTCTCGGAGAGCCCAGCAAGCTACCGAGAGTATCTTACCTGCACAGCAAAGCCTGGCAAGCTCCCTGTGATGTATTTGATATGTCAAAAAGAGTAACAGGTCTCACAGTTTGTTGTGAGATGTTACTTGTGCCCGTTCAAGCAAATCGATGATGAACAACAGGAGGACAGTGCTACAGAGATCAGTTTACCTTCATTAAATTAAAGGCTCATTTGATTATCAATTTCTGCAAAAATTAATATAAATATGATTTTCAATGTTATCAAACTGTACAAAACTTACTTGAAAGTTGAGGAAATAGCCAAATATAGAATACCGTAATGGAATTTATGCTATCTAGTACTGATATCCTGTGAATATTCCAGGAGGTCTCTGTAAAGGAAAATCTGCATGACCTCATGAATTGAAAGGAGTCATAAAACAGAACCACCTCTTAGTTAAATGGTCTCTCAGTTAATAGATGTCAGGAATATTTTAATTCCCACTGATATCTAAGTATTGACTAGCACTTAAAAATTAATTGTTTCATATAACACAAGGGTCAGACTTTCTTTTCTGTGAAGGACCAAATATTGAATATTTTAGACTTTGTGGGACATATGGGTCTCTGTTGTAACTAGTCTGCTCTGCCCTGTGGAAGCAGCCAAATAAGCATGGCTGTCTTCCAAGGAAACTCTATTAACCAAAACAAGCAGTGGGCCAGACTTGGCCTTGCCAACCCTTGTATTAGAGTCAATTCTAATGTGTATAATAAAAAGTTCCAGAGAAATTTTGGTTTCCAAATGATATTAGAAATTTTATTCTTTTAATAGGAAGCAGTTTCTTATCCAGGAGAATAGAAGAAGAGCTTGACTCCCTGCTTGCTACTTCCTTGCTTTCCCTACAGGTACTAGAAAGCCACTGCAGAGACATCAATTATCACTTCTTTTATGTGGTTACTAGTTTGGGGTGTTAGTGGTTTCATTGGTTATATTACAGTTCCTGATAGCAGTGTATGTGTGGTATGGAAAGTGGAGAAGAAAATGATGATACGATCTGTGTCCCACTCTTCTTGGTCACTGACTGTTACTTTGTCTGCCTTGAAGGTTGGAGATAGAATTGTCACTATCTGTGGCACATCCACTGAGGGAATGACTCACACTCAAGCAGTTAACTTGCTGAAAAGTGCCTCTGGCACCATTGAAATGCAGGTAAGATTTTTTTCCAAAGCACTATTCAGAATAAGGGAAACTTAAAGACATACTTGTTGATATTGTAGTTATAAACATGATTAAATCTCCTGTTATTATTTTATTATTTCCCTTTATTCCAAATAACTATGTTTGAGAGTCCCAAGAAAGCTCATAAGAAAGATTTTTCTGTCATATTTTGTCCTGATGTATTTGTTATTTTGTACTTTAAGAGGAAAACACAGGGTCCAGAGTGATCATACCAAGGGTGGTGCACTTGCCTTGCAAACACTGACCCTGGTTTGACCGCCAGTAACCCAAATGGTAAACCAAGCACCACCATTCATGATCCCTGAACGCAGAGCCAAGAGTGAGCCCTGAGCACTGTGGGTGTGGGCCAAAGAAACAAAAGAAAAGATTAAAAAGCAGGAATAAAAACAAGTTTTCAATAGCAACTGATTAATCACTAGTAATTTGTAGTGTGATTACCTTATATGCTAAATATATTTTAAAAAATAACACTTGAATATTGAAGCATTTGAAAAACATTAAAGTAAATCTGTGGAATTGAGAAGGAAGAATACTTTTTCTGTTAGTCTCTGGACCTTGTGGAATATTTTTCTGTGAATTATGTTAACAGAAATTACTAAGTTTGATAATAAAATAGCTTGCTTACATGCTGTTCGTAAATAATTATTAAAGTCTCTCTAACCACATGATCATGTGTTTTCTTTTGTATTTTTCTTATATACAGGTAGTTGCTGGGGGAGACGTGAGTGTGGTCACAGGTCAGCAGGAGCCTGTCAGTTCTAGTCTTTCTTTCACGGGGCTGACATCAAGCAGTATATTTCAGGATGATTTAGGGTAAATTAATACGTTTTTTAGCTTTTTACATCCCTGCCACTCACGTGAATGTGAATTTACAAATAAAGTATATCAAGCTAGTGCTTGTTTGAGGGGCCACAACTAGCAATGCTCAGACCTTACTTCTGGTTCTTCACTCAGAAAGTGCTCCTGGCAGGGTGCAGGGTATTAAACCTGGGTTAGCCCTGTGGATGGGTAGTTCCAGACCCACTGTACTATCTCTCTGGCCCCTAAAACCTAGTGCTCTAAACTGCTAAAAGATTTTAGTATTACTCCGTGGCTTGGATGCCAGCCACACATGCTGGGGGAAAAGGCAGCTCAGATAGAGAAGGGAGCGCCAAATAAAAGGGTGTTGGGAGGATCCTCCCAGGATGGGAGAGGCATGCTGAAAGTAGACTATAGACCAAACATGATTGCCACTCAGTGCCTCTTTTGCAAACCACCACACCCAAAAGGAGAGAGAGAACAAAAGGGAATGTCCTGCCACAGAGGCAGTGGGGGATGGCGGAGATGGGGGGGTGGGAGGGATACTGGGATCTGTGGTGGTGGAGAATGGGCACTGGTGGAAGGATGGTTACTCGATCATTGTATAACTGAAACCCAAGTACAAAAATTTATAAATCTACAACTGTACTTCATGGTGTTTCACTAATAAGAATTTCAAAAATAAAAAAAAATTTTAAAAAAAGATTGTAGTGTGGGTTTGGTTTATTTCATGTAAAAAGACTGATTGACATGCATACCCTGCCTTTTATACTTTCTTAAGGTATACCTGTCTTAAGGTACCTGTCTTAAGGTAGCTGGGGTTTTTGTTTTGTTGGGTTTTGTTGGATTATTATTTTTTTTTGTTGGGGGGCAAGTGGTTGTTTGTTTGCTTGGTTGTTTTGTGATGACAGTTTAGTTATGATGCAACTGACCTGTGTGGCAAGGTGCTAGTACGATCTGACCTTTGAAAAATTCAGCATTGCCTAGACTGTATCAGTTTGATATGAGAAAAACCAAGTTATTTAACTTTCGTTGTATAAAAACATGGAAAATAAGAAGGGGAGAAGAAAGGTAGTATCTGTTTAAAGTTTAAAATAGTTTGATATGTCGTTTCACATTGCTTATATTTCATATTAAAATTTTTCTTTTTAAATTTGGATACACTGATGTTTCTGATTTATTTCATGGTTGTTCTGACTTTCATCCTCTTAAGATTTGTATCTATTTTTTTTCTCCCTGGGAGGAAACCCAGGGCCTCACACTTGCAAGTTGAGTGTTCTCTTATAGCCAGCTCTAGTCCTGTTCTTCTCACTTTATTTATATATATATATATATATATATATATATATATATATGTTTTTAATTTTGGGCCACATTTACTGGTGCTCATGAGCTACTTCCAGTTTTGTTTTGTTCTGTTTTGTTTTGTTTGCCATGGAGCCAATTCTGTAGTGTTCAGAGGCCCTTACAGTGCTGGGCATTGAATCCAGGACTCTAGCATGTAACTCCCATTGAACTCTCTCTCCTGCCCGGTCATCTCATTTTAAACTGAAAAAAAAAATGAATTTTTATTGCCATTAATATGTTAGTTTAAGGAAAATGAGTTTTAGAATTAAGGTTTTAAGTAGGATCCTATTAGGTCATATAAATTTAAAATAGTGTCTACAGCATGCACTGACAATTTAAGCATCCCAAAATACCCATAATTTCCTCTCTGTCAGTAACACGGAGAATTGAACTGTAGATTTTAGATCATCAGTACTTTATAAATTAATAGAGGCATACACACACACACACACACACACACACACACACACACACAGACACTCATGTTTTTGTGTTAGAGGGTTTTTTCTCTAAAATCTCTCTTTTTCCTTTCCTTCACTCCAGACCTCCTCAGTGTAAGTCTATTACATTAGACCGAGGACCAGAAGGCTTAGGCTTCAGTATAGTTGGAGGATATGGCAGCCCTCATGGAGATTTACCCATTTATGTGAAAACAGTGTTTGCAAAGGTAAGCTTGCAAATTTCAACTACTCTCCTCCCTGCTAAACATCCGTTAATAATGGTCAGCAGCAGGTTTATTAGTTTATGGCCTGAGGTGATACCAAATGGTCAACAATTTTTCATTTTCTATGGAATTACAAATGGAAGGGTCATTAAATATTTTTGCCCAGTGTGAGGCTTAGTTGTATTTGAAGGAAAATAGGCTCAAATTGAAATTCTCTGGATACTCTTGATAATACGTGTATGTATGTGTATATGTATACTATACATATATATTTATATATGTATCAATATTAATGAACTTTAGAGAGTAAGACCTATTTTTTTCCTTTGAAAAAATATTGCATATGATAGAATGTCTTTTGAAAATTGGATATTTTCAATGTGCTTGCTATAGGGCCCTATAATTTCTTTAATTTTTTTCTTGCTGTGAAGTATTAAATGAACACAAAAAGGTAGTAAAAATACTTGCGCATGTTAATTATAATATTTTGAAAGTTTAATTTTACTTAAATGAAATAGAAAAATTCACCACTGAAACATGAAGAATATCCAGCAGCACTATTACCTACAATAAAGGATAATCTTGAAATAAAGGGATTCCAGTTAAAAAAATTGTATGTACTTATAATCATATAATAACATGTTCTATCTTAAGAATGTTTAGCATAATAAAGTTATTGCAACATTGGTGTAACCGTTAAAAAATGTAAACCCATATAATTATTGTTAATCCATTGTAGGTACAAAATTAGACATAATTTCCTACAGATAAAAATCCAGAATCTCAAAATTTTACAATGTAGAGGAACAGTACTTAAATAAAATCTTTTAAAAGATTTGATACAGGAGTTTATGATTAGGTTTGTGCCCTTTTAAATTACCCAGCTGTGGAAGTTTCTATTATTTCAAAAATAATGATTATTTTTGGACAGTTTAAAATGCTGTATTGAGCTATAGGTTTAATTTATGAGATTTCTTTAAGCCATTGGTACGTCCAAAAATATAAACAGCATTTGCAGTAACTAGAAGAGTCATGCAGTCCTTTTTCACAGCCTAGAAACAATTTATTTAAGGCAAGCTAGTTAGAACATATTTTAAGGATGCCATCATTATGGATTCCTCATTAACTTTCTCATATTTTTAATCTCATGTTTTAATTGCATAATTGGCTATTCTAAACATGACTTAATATAGGGTCCTTTTTCAGACACCAGTGCCGTGTCTGTTTAATCTTCATCTCTTAGAACCCATCAGGAATCAGAGACTTCCATGTACCATCTACCTTTGGGAAATAAAGCACCCAGCATCTTGAGTAGCCATTTTACATCTACAGAATGAATTAGAATTACCACCAGCAGAATTTGTGCCTTTTTCTTATCCTTGTCGATGTATACATGAACTTTTAAGCTTCTTCAAATCTCTTAGTTTCAAGTTCTCATGCCCTTGTCATGAAAAACTGCTTTTGTTCCTACCTAATCCTTTGTCTTTTTTCCCCCTGTATATATTTCTTACTCAATTAAAAAATAAACAAACAAACAAACAAAAAAACCTTGGATGCTCTGAAGTCATTTCTACTAGGCAAATTCCCAAATATTCTTTATTAATTTGAATTTCCACCAACTGCTGTGCTGAACAGTCAAAAAACCATCCAGCTAATCTATTGACTCCTAAAGCCTGTCTCAAATTGGAATAGCAATGCTAAAACCATTTAGGAGAAAGGCCTCCTTTGTGTATGTTCATCATTGCTTAATGGCTGTGGAGTACCCGTGGAGCATTGAGAGCAATGTGTGTGTACATGCAGAGCAATTTACATTCTTGTTTAGTTCTTTTTTCTGTTGTGTAGCTGCAAGGCAGCATTTTTTGAGAAGTAACAAGCCTACTTTATAATTGCAGGGAGCAGCTTCTGAAGATGGGCGCCTCAAAAGGGGTGATCAGATCATTGCTGTCAATGGGCAGAGTCTAGAAGGGGTGACCCATGAAGAAGCTGTTGCCATCCTTAAGCGGACAAAAGGCACTGTCACTCTGATGGTTCTCTCCTGATTTTGTTGCCACAATTGAGCCAGCTCAACGCAAATCCCAGTGGAAAGACAATGTGACTGTTTTTGTGGATGGCTTTTCCCATGCTGCCTCTGTGGAGCTTTTCAGACCTAAAGAGGGAGGGGGAAAATCCCTTAATTTTGTTTGTTTTTATCATCGAGAAATTATTTTACTGACAATTTCGCCGTGTTTTCTTTTTTCTTGCTTTTCGATTAACTTAAAGAGGACTATTTGCATTAGTATATCCAGTCTTTCTTTATAAAGAAATTTGATATTTCGTAGTTACCAAGGCCAAAGCTATGTACTTAGCTTAACTGCATAGTAGAGAGAGGAAAATAATTCCAAACAACCAAAGATAAATGGTTTTCTGAAATAAAAACCATTTATGAGATATGAGGATATAAAATAAAGAAGAAAATTTTGATTTGTATAGTAATGTGTCAGTTTTATCAATTGAACACCTCTCTCCAGTTTTAACTAAAAAAAAGAAAAATGTTTTCTATTAGATCTTAAAATCTACATAGTATTTAAAGATTTTAGATACTATAAGAAACATGCCTTTAATATACACATGTATTTTACTCCTAAAATGTATTCCTAAGATTGAGTAAATGGAAAATATATGAAACTATGTCTTACATTGTCAAGGTAGCTTTTAATGAATTTGTTTCATTTTGTTTCATTTCTTTCCCTTGTTTTCCTTTGGACCGGTGGTACAATAATTTCATGTTTTAATAAGTGATGATGTATTAACTGTGCTTTCTCTAAAAAGCAACTGTGTTTACCTAGAGGAACACAGAAGATTCTCAGAATCTTGAGAGCCGGTTGTAACTGATGCAGTACTAAAAATGTGGTAGTGTGCTGTGCAACTGGTTTTCAATTAGTATTAATCTTAATGACAGGGGAAAAAACAATGTGTTAGTAATTATTTTGGTTGTGTGCCATTAGTAAATTGATAGAAAATTAAGGGGATTAACATAACTTTGTTTCATTGCCTTATATTAACATCTTATAATACAATAGTTTAAGACTAGGGGAAACAGATGGAGCTGTTTATTGAGACAACTGGTGAGGAATTATCATGTGTTCATTCCCATTTTAGAGCGTGAAACTCCTACATTAGAATATATAAAGTCACTTTAAATATTATCTATATTTGTAACAGAAGTAGTGTACAGATATTTTATTACAGCACTTTTGTGTAAATGCAGAATTGAAGTGAATAAATAAGACGTTTCATGGTGCACAAATAAAAGAGCAGGCATATTTTTTTGTTCTTTTTACTGGGGAAAAGCTTTTTTATATTGTTCAAGATTCACAATTTATGATGGGTTTTTATCATGTGTAACTGAGCATATGGTGCCCATGGTTACAATTAGAGAAACTTTGGACAACACAATTATGAAAATCTCTATATTTTAAGGCCAAAATTTTTACTAATTCTAATGATGTGTAGAAACCTTGTGGAGCACAGGAAAATACACACATTGAGAAAGGAAAGTGTCATGTTTGTGTGTATTTTTCTGACGTCATTAATGAAATATTACAAATTCTTAGGGTAGCCAAGATCTAAAGTATGTTTTCTTCAGATATAAAAGTCAGTAATGAAAAAATAAAGTCAATGAAAATGTTATATGAAGACTAAAAATCTTACTTTGACATTGATCATAGAGTTGGGGAACCTTATACTATAGTTGTACTCTAATTTGCTAATAAAAATATCAATTCCCTCTGATGTTCACCAGTGAAAACATAGGCTATTCTATTTCAGAATTTGTGTCTAGATATATGTCAATTGGACAAAGTACACATTGCTGCAATTCAGGAGGTATTATCCCAAATAATACTTATAAACTGAGGTACTGAGTATAAGAAAATTTATTGTTGTATCCTAGTAACAGTTCCAGCTTCTTAGCGATCACAACATGATACTCCATTATAAAGATAAGCCAACCTCCTCTCATGGAGGATTGTGGGAAGCTGCCACTTCTATATAAAGGTAAAGGTAAAGGCCCTCCCGTTGTTCATTGATTTGCTCGAGCGGGCCCAGTAACGTCTTCATTGGAGACTTTGTTGTTACTGTGTCATTTTAACTAGATTTTTGAAGACTAGATTTTATGGAAACTATTTTATGAAAGACTCTGAGGAGACAAATTAACCAACCAAACTAAGTTTGAATATACAAGAGGAATCACCCTAGGGAGAACACCCTAGTGTTTTGATCTGCTTTAGTTCATGTCTGCTAGGAAGCACAGATACAGCCTGATTTTGAAATAATCTTTTAAATGTAATCAATGAAACAGAGGTCAGTTATGCTATATTCCAGAAGACCAAAAATCCTAAAATACCACATGCAAATGCAGACACTAGAAGCCGGCCTATAAAGATGGGGCTTGGAGGGGAGAAATCTAGAAATCTAAGTTTTGAGAGAAACAAGTTTCTAAACCAGGAGCTGGGAGATGCGAAAGGCAAGAGAAGGATTTTTCCACTGGGGTCTTTGCGGGGACTTGTCCCTATTCGTACCTTGATATTGGATTTTTGGAATTCTAAACAGTAAAATTTAAAAAGACTTGTTCTGAGAACAAATTTTAAAAAAATAAAGCGTAATTGTCACTGTAGGGGTATATAAAAACACTTGCAGAAAACTTCCTTTCTATATTGTTATTAGTGAATTCAAAGTACATGAAATAGCAGTGATGGAAGGAAAGAGAAAGGAAAAAATCAATGTTTTAGAGAATCGTGAAAGGACATTCTTCTTACATATTGTTTTTATATGTTTTTCTGGAAATAAAAGTTCTTTAGGGTGAATGAAGTGTTTGAACAAAGATCAGACTTCAACATTATAATGTCTGCACCTTGCATAAGTCACTACTATGGATTTACCATAACAAGTTCAATCGAATTGCTTATGTGACTAAATCACTGGAAAACATCATGCATTTCTGGTGCCTTTTTTGTGACCCCTCTAGAATAAATGATTATAATATTACTAGTAATAATAGCTAAGATATATTTATCTTAGCAGATGGATATATAGCAGCAGGAGTAACACTCCTCTGTGTAACACTCCTACTAATATCCCCATGTAGAAAGTTAGTACAGTCCAAGAGAGCAGTGGAATTAGAAGTATGAAAAGATTAAAATTCACAAAAGTTAAGGAAAAGTTTTTATCATTTTAAGATTTTTCATAAACTCAGACTGCTTCATATATAATACAAGTGCTCTACTTCTAAATGACATCCCCAGCCCTTATTTTAAGAGGTCTGATAAAGTAAATTTTGATAGACTTGAAGAAGCAGATCTAAAAATACAGCACTAAGCTGCTTTAGATCTGTTTGCAGGCTTGTGCTCTGAGACTTCCATGCAGTGATTTAGTGGGGTCTGCAAGGAGATAGGACTAGTGTATTTTGTTTTTTCTTTGGTCTAAATATGTGGATGTCAAAACTATCATCATCTGCTTTCAACTAGGTTGTTTCATGTCAGTGATGAGCATTCTTTAATGCCTTTGATTTGTGCAAAGATAGTACTCAACTTTGTCCTCTAGGAATTAATATTTAACTTTGTCTGTTTGTAAAGTGATTTATTTGTAAAGTGGAATTGGCCACTCTTACCTCAAGAGAAAAATATTGTTGGCAAAATAGAGAATATTGTTGGCAAAAAGTGCATGTCTAAGTGAAAGAGCATGAAAACGAGGCAAAGCAAATGCTTAGTGATTTTTGAAAACTTGTATTGCAACCTTTTTTTTCCCTTCAAAATTTAAGTATTTCATATTACCCATTAGAAATGAGTAGATTAGAAAAACTTGTATTATTTGTCTAAAATTATGTTTATTAGTTGAGTTCTGAAAATTCAGTAGCGCCCATACAAGAATTTCTGTCAGGAAACAAATAGTGAAAGAGCTCAGAATCTCTCATAAAAATTGTTCTTGAACTTAACAACTTAACCAAAGTACCAACATTCAAAAGCCCTTGGCAGCTTTTAGGAGGGAACTTCAACTTATTTAACATTGAAGATTTTTTCAGAAGGTTCTGCTGATTGAAATACCTGATGATCTTTTCTTTTCCTTTCCAGATGCTTAGTCTTAATGTGCATGTTTTTCGAAATAAACACAGTTAATTTTTTAAAAATAGTTTTTTTTTCTCTATTACTATCTTACTGGTGTTCATTTCTCACCTAAGTCTGTCATAGAATATTAGAACTGAAAGATTCACTGCCCTGAATTTCATTAGCCTGAAGATTATACTGCTCAATTAAACCAGCAGTTTATCTTGTTTTGAAAAATTAAATGAGATAACTACATATGAAAAATAGATACAATGTACCAGATAAACTACCAAGGAATACTAGTAGTTATACATATTATAGCCTAGAAGACATAGAGTTGGTTTTCATTCACATGTAAACATATATTTTTTCTTCAAAAAAGTTATCTTTCTTTCGAACATCTCGATATTTCAGCATCCTCATCTCTCTACTGTTAATGAATATATTCCCTTATAGTAGTTTAATTTTTAACTTAAAAGTGCTTAGAAAGGAGTTGAATCTTTCTATTTAAAAGAATATCCGATCTCATTTTCCATAAATTTAAAATAATGATGAATAAAGGGCATCAAATTAAATTCTATGAGAATATGATTGTCTGCCAGGAATCAAAACTTGAGGGCTGTTCCCTTTACCAGAGAGGACCGTAAATGTTGGGATGGCACTAGTAACTCCATGGAGACCCCTTTCATTATAAATATGAGCTCCTTCTAGAGCTTTGTCAGTGCCACCTACAATGATCTCAGGATGTATTTCTCCTTGAAAAAATTTGAACATAGCAAAATCAAGAAGGTTTTGTTCATAGATTCCTTTCATAAGATGTGAAAGAAAACCAGTCTATTCCTGTTCTTAAAAGTATTCTTTGCTAATGAGGCTGTTTAAGATTTTGTTTATAAAGCTTTCGCTGAAACCAGAATTGGGTCATCGCCTTCTCTATTTTAGTTTTGGCAACCTGAGTTTGAAATAAAGGACAAATGACATAAATTAATGGAGTAAAATTAATGTTGTAGTAATATTAAATAAAGCTAATGCTTCTTGCACCTGGAGGGCTATGCAGATGGCAGGCATACCTAATTATGCACCCCGCTGCCTTTAAGTGTACTGATAAAAATCTCTCAACTGATATAAAATATGTTCATTCACTGGCTCCAGACAAGTTGAAGTAAGGCAGCATGAGACACACAAAGCATAGTCTACTCTACTTACTTTTATGAGGAAATTCCAATAAGATAGATAAAATAACTAAATATTTAACTATTTTTTTTACAAGCTACAATCACAGTCATGATCATTTAGCATTCTGTGAATACTAAATATGTCATTCTCATTACAGAAAAATTATTTTCAAACCAGTATGAAAATATTTAATTTATATTTCTTCCTCATTGCACAATAAGTTAGAAGGTAAATTTTGAGAGAAACGTAAGTGAATTGATTTTTCAGTCTGTATCCTCATTGAATTCATCAGTTACTTCTCTTAACTTATTCAATTCCTTGAGAAGTAGCAACTGTAGAAAATATGTTTTCATTATTAAGCACTTGGATAATATTGTTTTTTTGTATATTTCAGAGATGTCACTACACTTTTTGAAACATAATAGATTTTTTTTTATTTGAAAGATAAATTCCCAGGGCTGAAGCTATAATAGTACAGCCAGTCAGGCGTTTTCTTTGCACATGGCTGACCCAAGTTCGATTCCCAGAGTTCCATATAGTTCCCCGAGCACAATCAGGAGTAATTCCTAAAGGCAAAACCAGGAGTAACCCCTGTGGATTGTCCGGTGTGACCCAAAAAGTTAAAAAAAAAAAAGCTATAAATTCCCACAAAATGAATTTTTTCACAGTTGAATGCCTACATAATTAAAAGCATTAATACCAGCTTCTAGTTTACTTTGAAAATAATTTTATTGATTTATAGTATTTCATAGACACCAATTATTTTTTATGTAATTAGTCATGTGTTTGTTACCAATGTTTCATAAATAAACGACAAATAAATGTTCTTTTTCAGAACCATTGTAGTACTGCACTGTCCTCCCATTGTTCATCTGTTTGCTTTAGCGGGCCCAGTAATGTTTCCATTGTGAGACTTGTTAACTGTGTTTGGCATATCGAATATGTCACGGGTAGCTTGCCAGTCTTTGCCTTGTGGGCGAGATACTCTCAGTAGCTTGCCGGGCTCCAGGAGAGGGGTGGAGGAATCAAACTCAGGTCAC